GTGTGTGTGTGTGTGTGTGCGCGCATGCAATTAGCAAATATAGATCAATATGCATAAGTGAAAAGGCAAAAAAGATGTCGGTTAGCATTTCTAAGAAAAGAGGCGAGTGTGGTTTTCACAGGAAAATGATGGCAACAGTTTGACACATCAGTGGCTGTGATGTGTTAAATTAGGCTTCTTAAAATTCATACACAAGTGCAACTGAAGCATACTCAAAGAAACCATCTCCAACACTTCATTACTTCTTTCAGTGCCCTGGGCCATATGTAAGCTTTTGACACTTCCAAAGTTTGGATTTTTTTAGTCATTTAAAAACTGACTTGGTTTCAAGTGAATGCATAAAAAAGAATTTGGTATGCTCTTATGCAATTCTAGCTATTTCAAGTAACTGGTTGGTGTAAGAAATAACAATGAATGAAGCTGTAGATCACTCTAAAAAGGACTCGATGGCACAAAGAAACAAGTTAAATAACACAAAGATACATTTAACATCCACATTGCCTCATTTGAGAAATTGTGTTCAACTCTTCCAGGTGTTGGAATCATGGTTTGAAGTATAGGGGGGCTTGGGGGGGTCTCACCTTCCTAATTAAGACTTGGAACCCCCTCCCAATATTTATTAATCCTTTTTAACTGTAATTATAAATATTACAGCATATTTCCCATATTCATGCCTGGAAGAATATGATATCAGATACCCCTGAAGTGCACCATACAATTTCTTAACTTTAGTTTTGTACCTCCTCTGCCTCATTCTACTCACCAGTGCTGTTGTTGCGCAAGCCTGTGTAGGTACTGTACATCCCATAGGTCAAATGCAAGGCACAGGGGCTGCATCAGACCCGTGAAACTATTTCGATTTTTTATCAACGTTATCCTGTTTCACAGTGCACTGCAACGCAATGTGCACTCCCACTCCCTTCCACCAACAACAATCTAATGGGACAACAGTTACACCACATTTCTACACAGTTCCACACCAGTTATATCACCAAACAGACTTGCAGTGTTTCAACAGCAGTTCAACCGATATAAACACTTAGCAGCTACAGACCTACCTCTTAGGGACATTTCAAGATGTATTATATATATTGTTGTTGTCAGAAGAAAACTTGTATCTCCATTTTTGACATTTTTTAAGTTTTTTACATAATTTGAAAATACCTGTTACCCTCTGCATTGTATGGAAATTTTATGATGAATGGACTGAAAGAAACAGCCCAAAATGACTTGGAAAAAACTCTGGTTCCATTGACTTACAATAAAAGTGAAGTATGTTTTTTCCTTTTCGTGTAAAGTTACCATTTTGGAGATACGAGGTTTCCAACAAAAAAATACACTTGCAATATTGAAAAAAGATTTATATATATATATATATATATATATATATATACATATATATATTTTCAATATTGCAAGTGTCTGTATTTTGCAGTTGATGTTTTGGTGTAGTTTTAATAAACAATGGGTAGTTCAGGCTATCACTTGTTTAATACACTACTTTCTTACTTTCAAAGTTTCTGACATTAGTTAGCTAAACTGTAACTTCAGCTTTAGCTGTGGTATAGTTAATCTTTCGCCTTTTGTTACCAGCTTTTATAATAGGCGCCCTCTGTGTTTTAATTCAGGGGTTTTTCCTGGATGGGTAGCTGAACAATATCAAAATCCATGTGTGTGGAAGGCCCGAGTAATTGTATTAGTTCAAATGTATTACTTTCTTGTACTCAGATTAGATTTCAGTCAAAGAATAAAAATGAGCAAGAGGAGAGGAGATATACAGAACTTTCTTGGTGCTAAAAAGAGTAAGTTGAAGTTCGCAAGAAGTAGGGCACAGTGATGATAATGCAGCCTGTATTGTCTGTGATTGTCATGCAGGCTTAATACTGAGCAGAATAGTATGGGTCATGGTGAGTTTTACATTTCTGTGCTGCTGTATTAAGGAAGCAGAGCAAGGTCAGAATGGCAGTCAGCCAGCAGGAGGAGGTCAGGAAGACAATGACCAGACATGACCTACTAGCAAAGAGGTGAGTTATAAAGGAGGCTACGTAGAGGTGTATGCCATCATACAATGTAAATACTTTCAGAAAGTGGTGGGATGCACAACAATCGTACCCTACTGTTCTCAGCTATGCTAGGACTTTTAATAAGGTGTTTGATATTGATAGTAAAGAAAGCTCAAGAGCCAAAGCTACTATCTTTTCCATGAATAAAGATCCTGTCTAATATGCAGTTAATTTTCAATACAAGACAACAGCCGACAGAGTTAGATTATTGGGTGACCTATGCATTTAATGTTAGTCAGGCTAGGCCTACATGCTTCATGGTAGTAACACATGCCTACCTTTTTTGCATGTTGATAGCATCTTCGTTTCTGGCATAGCATTGTGTGGGTCTGTGTTTGAGTGTAATGATGGTCTGCTGTTGTTGTGTGTGTGTGATTCTGACTTGACTTGCTGGCAGTTTTCCTCTGGAATACTTTGTTGACCCCAGACTACAAAGGTTATTGTGTGGCATGTGCCCAGTGAGCTGGTGTAATAGATTTATCATCATGATCTACAAACTGCAGACATTACCTTTCTCCTGATTGTCATTGTATAATTCACACTCTGTATTATATTACAGGATTTAATAACTCAGAATCCTTGAAGGTTTGAATAGACCATCTGTCTATAAAATGGATAAATAATGAAATAAACTATTCTAATAAATTCTGAAATGATACATTTTGGAACTGTGACCTTTAGTGTGCACATAATTCTGTAATGTGGGCAAATTTCAGTAGACAGGCTGTAGTCCTCTAAACTGTTTTCTGTGGTAGTTTTAAGATTAAATGTCCATTTGCATCAGGGAGAAATGTGTTTGTGAGTGTAAAGCTAGATCACATACGCTTGAAAAAGAAAACATTCAGAACTTTTGGGAAAGCAGTCATAAAGACTCCTAGACCTTTACAGATTTGAAGCCCTTCAGCTATCAGAGCAGTCATCTGTAGATCTGCCTCTGTGTACATACAATGTCTTTAGCATGTAGAGCATGTAGGGTGCAGGGTGGGCTTCTCAGACCATCGCATACCATGTCTGAGTTGGCATCCAGCCTATCTCTCTCTCACACACACATACACTAGGAACAGTGTCAAAAAACAGCCATTTGCAATCTCACAAAAACCATGAGACAGACATCGAAAAACAGAGAGGAACACCAGTATGTGCTCTTATGCAAGCTGGATTTCAGCCCAGGCTTTAGCATGGAGATTATGGCTTTAGCTTTCCAGAGATACTGTTACCACAGGGTACAGAGGTTCACTGCCAGAACATGTCTAAAATATACAGTACTGTGCAAAAGTCTTAGGCACCTAAGCATATAGTTTAAAACCATATATCCTTTAATATTTATTTAGCAGCACGACAGGAAACACACTGACTTATTTTTACTCATAAATCACTCTGGCCATGTGCCAGCCTATATCTCATCTATGAGCTCTATAAAGGAAAGTAATTATTAGACTGACTCTAGTGACTGGATCACCTGTCAGGTATCTAGAGTTTTTTGAACTGTAACAATTTGCTTTTATTCTATAAAAATCTTGTTTGGCTGATCTTGAATTGGTTTATTTAATAAACTTCTTAATGTTTTTTTCAATCACTGCTTAACTTGCTTGGCTACATTGTAAATAACAGTGGTGGACGAAGTACACAAATCATGTACTTGAGTTAAAGTAGAGATACCCAAGGTAAAATATTACTCCAGTAAAAGTAGAAGTCCTCCCTTGAGACCTCCACTTGAGTAAAAGTACAAAAGTATTTTCCCTCAAATGTACTTAAGTATCGAAAGTAAAAGTACTAAAAGATTAATTATGACTCTAATGTCCTATTACCATTTTTGTAACAAGACTTTTGCTTCATCAACTTATTTTAGGTGAAAATACTCTAGTGTCATTCTTGGTAAACCAATCTTTTAATAGAATGTCATTAATTAGTCTGACGCTGATGTCTATTAAAGTTATCATAAGCACAAAACAATAAATTTCCATTAGGTAGAACCAAGTGGCTATGAAATAACTTTTTGCAAACAAGCAAAGTTTCAGTTTAAGATTTATTTGCAACTTAGTTACAAGTTTAAGTTTAATAAAAAACTTGCTTTAAACACAGGTTCACAAATGAGTTTTCCTTTACTATATTGCATCTGTAGGTCTCTGTTCATAAACATAAACTAGCTGAAACAAATGTACTATAAAATGAAAGTGTTTGTATAAATTCAGAAAAAGACACATGCCAGTCACAACTGCGTATGTGTACATATTACTATATTGTGGTCTATTTACACAAAGTTAGGTTAGTTCCATTTATGTTGGCATAGGCACTCCCAAAAATTTACGCTGCTGCACTGACGTTGAACCATATGCTTGCACTGGGTAGGTATATCCAACAGGTCAAAACAAGCTCAAAACAAAGTGCGTGCTGTAACCTGATTGGTGTTCTTGCTTCACGCTTCTTTAGTTTTGACATGTTACGTTTTTATGCACACATAAGCCAAAAGGAACGATGGATTTCGCATAATGTAGTGGAGTAAAAAGTAATATATTTGACTTTGAAATGTAGTGCAGTGAAAGTAAAAAGTCGCCCAAAATGGAAATTAGTAAAGTACAGATACACGAAAAAACTACTTAAGTACAGTAACGAATTACATTTACTTAGTTACTGTCCACCACTGGTAAGTAAGGGTCACCCTCAATATACTTCTGAGTCGAAATAAAGTTTGCTTGCAAAAATACTGCATATCATTAGATGTAAATAAACAAATACAGTAAACAAGAATTTGTTTTTTTATAAAGTTGATATCTTCTGAGCTAATTTGAAGAATAAAGTACCAGCACAATTGCAAAAAACAGAATTCCATTTTTTTACAGGCTATAGAATTATCTCCATTAATACTCATCGAAAAACAAAACAATCTCCAACTACAACACTTTTATTTCTTCATATTGATCTGTATTTGGAAAAGAATTCAGACAAACTCTGTAGTGATTCCTTTATTAAAAAACAAGGGCTTTACAAAAACACACCTTCACAAATCATAACCATCAGGCCTCAGATCAAATACTTCACCACTTCACAGATGCTGGAACAGCCAGTGACACTGCATTCACTCAATTCAGCAAGAATTGCTATTGCAATGTGTTTTTGAAATGACTGGGACTGCACAGTTCATTCGGAAAGACTAAACTATGCCATATATGGGGAGTTACACAACTTACAGCTTGAGTTAAACCTCTGATTATAAAACTCTGACATTGTTCCTTTAGGCTATGCTTAGCTTGGCTTGGTAAAAAGCTAACTCGGTACTGACTAACAGACAGAATAGCAGTCCTACTGCTTACAGAGCAGTGCGGTGTTCATATCTGTTTAGGATCTAATGGAAAACATAAGCTTTTAGACTAGGTCATAAGACATAGGACAGATATTTAAGTATATTTGATGGGATTTTCTGGGCTTCCTATTAATTTTTATTCCAGTCAGTGGACTTAAGGTCATCTTATGTATTGGTTCACTTTAAACACTTTAAATAGATATTTGACCTTTGGCCTATCTCTGACCTAATGGCTTGTTCCCTCTCATGCCTAGTGACCCTCACATCCTTCAAAAGAGCTTCTTAGTCGCTGTCGTCGTCGGACCAGCCAAAGGGGTCCATAGTGATGGCCATATTGACTTTGCGGCCCTCGCGCACACTGCAGGACTTGGAGGAGTTCTGCTTCGCCTGCATATTCACCTGCATGCCTGACTGTCGCATTGGGCTGCTCCCAGGCATGCCCACATCCAAGTCAAACACGCCTCCAAAGCCACGCATGATCGCCTGCAGGCTGGCCCCGCCCAGATCACCGTTACTACAGGAGGAGGAGATGTGACAGCTCACCTCAGAGCTGTTGGTCTCCTCAGAGTGAGACTCATAGAAAGACTCGGCGCTCAGGGTGGCAGCCAGAGGGGAGATATGGGAGAAGAACTGAGAAAGAGAGAAAGATAGTTTGCATGTGGATACCAAAAAAAGGGTTTAAATCAGAACATATTCTTAGAAATAAAGGTGCCAAAAAGGGTTCCCTGCACGACGCCATAGAAAAACTATTTTAGTTCCCTAAATAACCTTTCAATGGGTTACTCTTTAGAGAACCATTTTTGGGACGTGTGAGTGTAGAATCTTAATGTTATGTGAAGTTCTTTAAGCATTTAGGGTTTCTTCACACTCACAAATCATTTTCAAACATTGTTCTGAAAGAAACCAAAAGTGATTCTTTTATGGCATCGCTTAAAGGAAAAGTAAAGTTCAGAAAAAGTAAAGTTCTAGATAATAAGGTTTCTGACTCCCCCTAATGGTTCCAAGTTATATTTACACCCCTACTCTGTAGTCTATTTCACGTCATGGATTTCCAAGAAACAATTCAAGTAAAAAATTCTGTTTTTTCTACCATGTAAAATTTCAATACTGAGCTCCAAATAGATTTTCAGGCTCTAAATCACATCTTCTACATTGAATTGAATGGCTTACAGAATGATTTGAGCCGAATTTTAACTGTACTTTGAAAAAGGCCTATATATGACACTTATATACAACAACATTTAAAATCAAGTAATTTTTTGTCAGTATAATTCCTTAACAAATTTATTACAAGAATATTTATATTGTGTGAGGTTTTTCCTTTTTGAAATGAAATCTTTCAGTCAGTTTTCAAAATGAGTTTTACAGAAATTTGTTTTTATGTAATAGACACATTTGTTTCAAACATATAAAGCAATGGTATCCATCCTTATCCACAAGTTATGCAGGGTTTCATTTCAAAGGTTTGATCAATGATTTGATGACTGAGATTAATTAAACAAGTGGAATCAGATAAGACTGGGCACCTCTACTGTAATGTATTAATGAGAATAACCTTTTATGCATTTATGCATACCTGCATTTTTCATTGATAAACAGCTTGACTGTACACAAAGACTAATGCTGGTAAGACTCTAAAATCTCAGAGAATACATGTACAAAGTAAAGTAAAACTTTGAAGGGTCCATTTTGAAATTCTTACAGGAGTGCATGATCTGGATCTCTCCATGAGTCTGTTCTCCCACTCTCTCAGTCTCCTCTCTCTTTCCTCCAGCTCTTGTTCCTTGCAGGTCAGTTCTCTCTCCAGCCTCTTCAGCCGCTCCAGAGTTGCATCAATCTCACACCTTGGAAAGAGAAAAGGAGAGAAGGAGAAAGAAGAACAAAAAAACTACATATGCTAAAAATCACTGTATCACAAACAAATCATACGTTTTTCACTCAAATCAGAAAGCCACAGTAACATTGCTAGGATGATATGTAACACATTGTTCTTCCATACAATGCAGATACTACACTTTTTTGCTTGATGATAAGTGGGCTGGTGGGAGGGGAAGGTGACCACATTATTGACCATATTATAGTAACCATATTATTGGTTACTATTATTTTCCCCGTCCACTGGTGGGTAGGATGTCATTTTCTACTAAAAGCGGTGTAATCAAAACTGTATTTTTAATCATATGATATTTATTTATATTATATGATCATTGTACTTAACACGACCAGGGGCACAAACTAAGAAGGAAAAAAAGCCTGAGTCAATTTTGATTTCAGGTTGACTTTAAATAGCAGTGTTTGCACCTTACTGCACATTACCTCACCACACCAGCAGGGGTCATTCTGTGCCATGCTGTAAGAGGGCCACGGCTGCTCAGACACAAAGCCCTTAGTGCAGCTATTTATAAACAGGTATGTGATGCAGGGCCAGAAACCCCCTCCTCATGTGTTTTACCCCTGAAGCCTTGTCTGCTTCTGCCAAGCTCACTCTACACACACACTCTCCAAACTTCCCTCCTGCTGCTAGAATTGGTTTCTCTGCCACTTACTGACAGACACTCTCTGAATTTCTCGCCCTCTCTCCGTCTCTGTCTCTCTGACTCATGCACACACTTTCTCTTTCCTTCTCTCTCTCTCTCTCTCTCTCTCTCTCTCCCTCAGACCCTCTTTTTCCAACCTCTCTCAGTTCCTTTCTGAAGAGAACTCTCTTTCCTCTGGTGCAGATCTGTTTGAGTGGAGCACTCTTGATGTTTGTCTCTTGCCATTTTGGCTGTATTAGCTCCTGGGAATCCAGAACACACTCCCACAACAAACCCTTGACTATTTTTGCCCCTGATCCCATCTCACATATACATCTCTTCCAGCTGCCTTTCTTTCCTTTAACCTCTCGTGTTCTGTTCAACCCTCCCACACTCTCTTTCCTGCCTTTATTTAGACTGCAACCAGGAACAGGAATTATAAAAACAGACATTCTGACTTTCTCATTACAGCCTTGTGTGTCCTCTCTGTGTGTGCAGGAACACTTCTTGTACAACTTCCTGATATTGACATTACACACAATGTATGTGTGTGTGTGTATGTGTATGTGTGTGTGTGTGTGTCTGTGTGTGCTGGGATGTGTGTGTGTGTGTGTGTGTGTGGGGAGGGGTCATTTCTTGCTAAAAGCCATATATGCAGTCATTTCAGGTCCCCAAGCTACAAGAGGCCCTGCGAGTATATAGCCCTTCTTTTGCATTGATGCTTATCAGGATATTGGCAAACAAACATCTTCACTGAAAAAAAGATTATTTTTCATCTGTAGTTCATCATGTTTATAGTTTATATTGTGTTTATATTGCCTTCAAAATAAAAGCTGTATTAATCCACTGTCATTCTTACATACAAAATAACATTACAGAGGTGGGTGAGGGCCCTCCAAATGTTATGAAACAGCCTTGTGTGTATGCAAAAGGACATACCTCCATTCTGCTTTGTTGTGTAGGAAAGAATTGCACTGGTCAGGAAGCTTACTGTCATTACACATTGACTCCAGAGTAGCCAGGATCTGTTTAAACACAGGCCTCTCCTGAGAACAAAAGAAAAACATTTTTATTGAAACTATCCTTTATATTCATTACTGAAATGTTATTGACAGTTATGGTGACCCTGCTATTCTCTCCCCCAGCACTGTGTTTATAACATTATTAGGGTTAGGGGGGTGCTTCTGCACATTGCCAATAGAGTATTATTATAGAGTATTTTATGAGAACTGAACAACAATACGAAAGGAACCAAACAATTAGCTCAGTCAGTTTGATTTTATAACAACTCTTCCTTCTTTACTGCTGGACATGGACTAAGTCTAGTTTTAATCTAAATTACACTGTAAGCAGGTATTCTACACTGAAATCTAGGACTAGACTTAATTTTGTCTAGAAGCTGTCTTAAATGGGGGATGACAGGTGACGTTCTGCCAGACTAGTGATGACACTGAGTATTAAACTCTTCTGTTAACCTAAAGTAATCTTGTGGAAATGAATGCTAACAGATAATGCAAGCAATTAACAGATGAGGCTACAAAGAACAGATCAAGGAAATGGACAGAGATAGTGAGTATTGTCCTTTTCAAACAGGCAATATATTCTCTGCAAGTTCCTACTAGCTTCTGTAGTGCATAACTGTCCAGATCAATATTCAAATTATTTCTTATGTGAATATTTTTCCTAGTTTTAACTGAAAATGACATATTGGACCACATTTACCTTGGGCTCTGCCACCCAGCATGATCTCATTAACTCTGCAAAGCTGGCAGGGCAACTGCTTGGAATGGTCGGCCTCTGAAAAACACACACACGCACACACACACAAAAATCATTTGGCCATCATTACATAAAATTCCAATTATAGCCCAAGTTCAATTTCAGCCCACAAAGTAGTGGAAAAATCTCTCCCTCAGGACTGTTTATAACATGGGGTTAGGGTGGGGGGTGGTGGTGGTGCTGCTGTTTCTACACATTGAAAAGAGCCTGAGAGTCAAATATGCTATAATAGGATTAATAATATGTTTAATGTGAGTGTTGCTTATACTTGTACATTAGAAATGAGCCCTAAATGACCTTTCAAAACAAAGTATGGTTGAAAGTGCACATCGTACAGTGACACTGTGGTATGCTGAATGGGAAGTGCAGTGCAGCTCTCACATGTAACCCACTTTATTTTGCTGATACTATAGAGGCACAGCAGAAATCTTAAACTCTGGAAAGCATGGAAAATGCAATCCTTTGGGAAAGTAACGCACCCCAAAATATCTTTCCATCAAACTTTTGACCTCTCCCATTCCCTCTTATAGTCAGTCTGTTTTAATTCTAGTTTTACTTCTTTTCAGATCTCTTTCCATTCTCTTCATCTTCCGCTCACTCTCACTCACTGGGTTTGTTTATCTAAAGTACATTTCTGGATTACATGCTTGTACTAAAGCACTGTGGTCTGATCTTATGATCAAGGCCCACAGCAGGCAGAGAAGATCACAAACACACACACACACACACACACGCACATATACACACAACCATATACTACAGATATCATGCTCGGGCTGAGTAAAGAGCACTCATGTTCCATAAAAGCAGCAGAGTCTCGCTCCCTCACTCAATCACAGATGTCTGAGATCAGCCCACTATAAATACCCAGCCAGAAATGCACAGGAATCTATTATCATCCTGTTCCTCTAACCAGGGAGAGGAGGGGAGGTAATAATATCATGAACTGAGCAGTTAAAGTGGGAATAGAAACATAAACAAGCATTCAAATGCTGCCATAACAGTGAACTTCCTCTTACCAGTCATCTAGCTGGAGAGGCCACAGAAGATTTGTGGGATATGTAATGTTTTACCTCATTTTTTTCCACAACCAGCCAGGCCACCTGCAAGCCCTCAAATCCTTTAAAGGGCACCTCTCTGGTCAGCATTTCCCATAAAACCTGCAAGACAAAACTATCACCTCAAAATCTTACTCAATACTGAAAAAACCCCACCCTACAACACATATAATTGCAGTCATATGAATACCCCATAATTCCAATTTTTCTAGCATGAAATTGCTAGTTGACATTTTATAACAAAACGGACCAACAGAAATTGTCCAAAGTTTTAACATTAATGCAAAAAAAGGTTTTTCGTGTCTTATTAAGTTAACATTTCAGAGAGATGAAGTTTCGATATGACAATATGACAATAAACATGTGCGCATATGCACACAATCCAATGCTCAGACATGGCTCTTACATACATTAGAGATGGCACAATACCACTTTTTTCTGACACGGATATCAATATTGAAATCTTGAGTATCATCCAATACTGATCCAATGTTTCTTCTTAAACAACTGCTAAGCTTTAAAATGAGCCATTTTAATTGAAGCACTAAGATGAGCACTTGAATGTATGCCATCATGCTCAAACTACTAAAAACTCTAGTATCCCACAGAAAGAAAAACACAGCTAACAACATCACATCACACAATGTACATCACACAATGTGAGGATGTGCTAGATTTGTTACAGGATCAGATTCATTCTTTTTCCCTTCAATATCCAATGCAGCATTTTCTGCTGATATTGGCCTGAAGCACTACATGGTATCAGATCAGTTCCATCTCTCTCTCTCTCTCTCTCTCTCTCTCTCTCTCACAAACACACACACACACACACAGACACTCACGCAAAACACACTCAAGTACTCACCACACCATACGAGTATGTGTCGCAGGTTTCAGATACAGGCAGGCTCTGGATCACCTCTGGGGCCATCCAGGGGAATGTACCCACCAACGACATGTGTGTGGTGTGAGACAGGAACTTAGATGCCCCAAAATCACATATCTGACGGAAAAGTGAAATATGTGGAAAGTACGTAGGGTGGAAGACAGTAATATACACACAACAACATTAGCATGCTACTTACAAATGACAGAACATTCGGCCGCAACAAACAGATATCAAAGAATTTGAACTTTGCTAAAATAATATGTACCTTCAGTACGTTGTCAGCAGCTAACACCACTAAAAAAGAAAACTCAGAGTTAGTTCAGAAAGCCATTACATTTCTGTCACAAACACCCACACATGCACACAAACACACACAGCTTTGTTCACCCCTCTTACAGACTCTAAAGCCGTCAGAATTTCCTCTCCTTGCAACTATAGATATATTAGGTTTAATAACAGAGTTCTAAGTACACTATGGATTTACTGTTTGAAAGTCTGGAATCAATATGTTATATAAGAACTATTTGCCAATAAATGTATATAGTTATTCAAATATGCTAGTTACATGTTTCACGTTTAGAAGCTAGGCAGCTGGAAAAAAAATAACTTATGCATGAACAGCGCTGTAGATGATTTTCCATAGCTTCAAAAACACAGAGGTTACAAAAGTAGCCCTGTGATGGAGTGTGTGTGTGAGACAAAAGTACTTTAGAAACATTAAGTGAAACATCCACAAGTGCTTGGTGTCTAGTTTATAATATTTAAATGCAATTTTTTTTTTAAGTTGAATCTCATGAATTTTCTTAACCTAGGAAATTTCCTAACAGAAGATCAGTAATTAATTCAATATAATTTATTTATTATAAATAAAAGTATATGAACATTTGAAATACAATTACGTTGCATTGCCCTCTCTCTTTTTTAAATTTGCAAAACTGGAATAACTTATGGAACAGCTGCTATTATATATTCCTAATCAGTGGCCTGTGGATAAAAGAGCTCCCCATGAGGGCCTCACTATAACTGCTAGTGAGATGTTGATTATGAGCGGTGCTGTTACATTCAAAATGTGCCACTAAGTACTAACAGTGAGTATGAAATATGCTCACTCTTTACTACGTGTGTTAATGCTAACTTTATTTAGCAAAAGGCATTAAGTTTATTTAACTGCATTACTGCTTATAAACCATAATTGAAAAAATCTCCTTAGAAAATGTACAGATATAATAAAGGTGCCAAAAGGGGTTGTTTTGAGCAATACAATAGAAGAACCACTTTTATTTCCCTAAAGAATCAAATCATTCTGAATGGCATTATTTACATTTACACTGTAAGGATTTAAATATAGACATTTTGAAAAATCATTTTAATTCCCCTTTAAAGGACATTTTTTTTTAATAAAATATGTTATACTAACATCCACGTAATGTAAAAGTTCTACACCCATCCATTTTTCCTATAACCATACATCCAAGCCAAGAACCATTTACGTACCTTCATATAGAGTGCACACTACTACACATCTACACATATATTAACATAAAAACTTGCCATTCCGTGATTTCAGATCCCTGTGAATGACTTTCACTGGAGCTTCTGCATGTAAATAATGCATTCCTAAAAAAATAAAATCACATCAATTATAAGAATCCCATTACATTAGAACATATTTGTCAGGCTCCAGTCCTCACAGGTAAAAACACTGCAGACTTCAGCATACAGCCTAATTAAACACACCTGATTCAGCGCATCAGCTACTTAACAAGGCCTTCATGAACTGAACTCAGAGCGTTAGATGAGGGTAAACATTACTATTCACAGCACCTTACCCTGGAAGGTCTCTAGTTTGACATGCCTGAATTAGAATATGATCATGATGCAGAAGTATGCAGACACATCCCTACCTTTAGCGATATCCATTGCCCACATCATTACTTGACCCATGTCCATCTCTTCACTGTCTGGACTAGACAAATATTCGTACAGCGACCCTCCATTGGCGTATTCTTTCATACACGTACAAAGACATACATATATGCAAAGAGTAAGATTCAGATGTAGTTCAGTATCAAGGATCAAACATAACCTGCACAGATGCACACATTTTATTTGTCCTCAGAACAAGCATAGAAACAGAGAACAGACAAATATCTATCCAAACCAAAGAGAGAGATATTCACTGGTGCTAATTTATCACATATAACTCCTAGTGAAGAGGCAAACACTGCTTACAATAGTGGTTGCCTCCCTGCTCTAACTCACCTCAACTCATCAGGCAATTATCAACCCTTCATGAGCAGTAAATCAGGTGTGCATAACAGAGAAAAGACAAAAATAGTAGGGGAAACAGGGTAAGCCAGTGGGTTAGAGCCAATCCAAGTGTCTCAGCAAACATAAAAAATAAACCATGTTACAGTGATTTTAGTAGAGACAATCAATAAGAAATGCTTTGTCTGTTCAACCTAAAAACATTACTTCATGTGATAATAAACAATTCAACTAGTCTTATTCAACCCAAATCATTCTTTCAAAGTAAATATTTTATTTATTTTTTGACAGGTTAAGAACACATGGAGATTGTAGTGAGTGATTTATGTCAAAAATGTAATTTTTCCCTTTTCAAAGTTAATTTATTTGAGGTTCACTCTTTGTGTGGTTTCAAGAAAACAGAAATAGGAGAGTATTCAGATAAATGAAAATTTATTTGGTGCTCTCAGTAAGGGGTGGAAAATATTTGAGTAGCTGTATTGTACTTCATTTCTGTACTCAAGTATTATTGAAATTGAATACTTGTACTCACTCACATTTTCGAGAGAAAAAACTTTAAATCCTTACATTTTCATTTAAACCTTAAAGTACAAAGTACACATTTTAAAGACCAGCCAATCTCACAATTAGCTGAGTTCCTGTGCATTTTAATTAGTTGTTTTTATTAAAATGTCTAACCAAATTCATATCAATTTAAAATGAAAGTGCCAACAGCTAAGCTAATTTATCAGTACTGCCTGAGTAGACATTGCATCACATAACCGCATCACATACCACCAATAAAATAAATCTTTTAAGTTATTTTTTAAAACATTTCCTTTTTACTTTTATATATTTGCATGTTTAAATGCAGATACTTTATACTTTAACCCAAAAAGTAAATAATATAATTATAAAATATTTTTATCACCGTACTTTCACTTTTCCACTTGAGTGAGAGTTCAATTCAGTATTCTTCTTTTTCACTTACATTGTCTTTGTACTTTTTTCTACTTCTGCTCTCAATACATCCGAGCACAAACTAAACCAACTTTGTTATGACTCTGAATAAGACCTGTTCAATACCTGATACAAGTCTGCTTGAGGATGCGTGTGCTTGAGCAAATTTTGGCCAATCTGGGCATTCCCTGATTGGAAAACAATGGCCTCACTCATTACACACTTGCCTTAATGTTACTGAGTAATAACATTGTTAAGTAATCACAGATAGGACTGATTTGGATTTTTCTGACACTGTATAGCACTATTATCTATAAAAATGAACAAAATTACTCAGCAAAAGACAAAAGTAGCAGCTATCTAAAAGCTGGAATTTTTATTCTTATTAAATGACCAAAATTTGATGGATGTTTGACTTTGTGTAATTATCATTTTAACAGAAAGTGATCTCTTTCATGGACCAAAACTATACATACTGAAACCAAAACAAAAAATGGCAAATTTTTTAACACCAGTATATACGCTAGATTTAGGTTTTGCTTTAATATTTCACATTGTGTCATTCTACTGCTAGAACAATGCAAACAACAAAATGGTTCCACATAGTAAGAACAGGGTAAGGTCATGGGCAAGTCAGAGTTGGGGTTGAGGACATGAAAGCACATGCACAAACACAGCATCAACTAAGCTAATTTCGTTCCTATGAGCAAAGCCATTAAGTGCTGATCAACCCAGTAATAAACAGCCAAGATCAACTTTCAAATGTACTGCCAGCTAAAAGCATAACCACAAATCTACTGTGTGACAGGAGAGCCAGTACAATACAGGCAAGACAGAAAGAGACAGGATGGATTACTGTAAGCACGGAACTGACAATGTGCTGCTCCATAACTACCTGCAGCACAAGGTTTCATATATGCTAACTTTAATTTTATGTGCTAAAATGAAAGCATAGCAATGTGTGACCAGCTCAAGCTGTTTTTTTACTAGTAGAAGTGGACAGTCACAAATTGCATAATTACAAATTACCCTTTAACAGATGTTTTTGCGCATAAAAAGTGTACTTTTATAAATTATTTAAATTAGATATTTAAAAAACGGTGATCTCTCAATCTAATCTCAGCTAAATATCTCAAATAAATGTGCTGTGTTCTTGTGCTATTTTTTCATACTGTTGTTTCTAAATAACACGCAAGGCATCTGCTCATTACTAAAGCAGTTGCTTATACATTCTATTGTAAGTGGCTTTCCAAATTATTATTGTATTATATTATATATCATTCACCTATTTAAACACTGTTCATGAAGGTGGACTTTATATGTTACCCCGAGCACTGTTTAATAACTTTCCTCTAATTCTCAAGGTCATTCATTTTTTTTATAATCTAGTTACAGTTGCCATTCATCTACTGAAAGATGGTAATTATATGTATCAATGCAAGGTGTCATACTGTATCGTTCAGTATGAGCCTCTCAATGCAAGTACAAATCTGTTTAATACAGATCGTATTGCATGAAGTACAATAAAAATTAAACAATCAGCCTACACTGAGGGCAGACCCTCCCTCCTCTGAAAACATTGTTTCTTCTTTATCTCAAAATCAAGACCAGAGAGGAAAAGCATACTAGCATATACTCTAAGGGTATTAATTTGGGGCAAACATATTAGCTTGTGGCGAGTGCATTATTATAAAATACTCCTGTGAATCATTATACCTTGTCAAATAGGTACTATCAGTACTCTTTCAGTACCCCACATATTAGTGTTAGAGTGTAAGAGTCATGGAACATCAGAATAAGCTTTAGCATAGTAGTATAAGGTAATTTTCCACAACAACCAAAGCATGATGAATGGCAGTTTTGGACAGATGACTGAGATAATGTCATTTTCATTTGTTCTCAATAGAAAATCTGTGGTCAACCTGTTTTATAAGTGTATGCAGCTCTCAACTTTCAAATAAGGAAAACAGAACTAAGAACTGAAGGCTAACAGAGAGCAGGCAGAACATGTGCAGCCAGGAGCAGAGGAGGAAGATAACCATAATGATAAAAAATACATGCAAAATGCTCAAACCAAGAATCCACAAATAAGTGGGAAAATCAGCTGCATAATGAACTCCCTAGTCACATTCACACTTTTGTTACCTGTGACAATGCCATAGTTTGGTGCCTCAAGAATCGCTCCATAAAACTGAATGATGTTTTTGTGGCTCAGAACACTGAGAATCTCAGCCTGAACATGAGAAAAGAAACAAATTGTTTAAAGGGGAAGACAATCAGGTAAACACTTGACCAACCGATTAACGGATGCCTAACAAATGTCCAGTAAGCTATATCATTATCATTTATACACTGGAAACAGCAACCTCTTCACAAAAGGCAACTCCAAATGAGACTACAGCAGTGACCAGAAAAGCTGAGTAAGTGTAGTGGTCAGCGGGAACAGTTCAAGTTCAGTAAACAGCAGAACACAGTGATCCTCAAACATGAGGGGGGCTCTGGCTCTTACTGAAAGCTGTGAGCCTGCAGGAACCAACTATATTTGACACATAGAACATATCAGATATGAGAGAGAGTCATGAAAGACTAGAACCGTGCTTGGAAAGCATCTCATATTAGGCAGGTGCTCCCTCTCGCCCTCTGCCATGCTTCAGACAATGAACATATCTCAGGGAGAAACTGCTATTAAAACAGTAGTGCCATGTATAAAAAGGCTACAAATTACGAGTACTCTAATGTTTTTTTATCTTACATTCACAAAATTAAAATGTGATCTGTGCAAAACTGAAGGGGAAGACAATCAGGTTTTGTTTTTTTATTTATTTTTTATTTATTTTATGTTTTTTTTTTCAAATATATCACACTTGACATTGTGCACTAAAATTTGCAGAAAAAATGTTCCCTGAAGACAATGTGTTTTATTTAACTTAGAAAATCAACAAAAAATGTCATTAGATTGGGGATTTCAAACTTTTGCACACAACTGTACACAAAATAGTTACAGACATGCCGCTAGATCTCAGGGACATTGTTTTAAAGTATTTTTTCCAATCAGCTGCTTGTTACTATACAGTGTATATAAAAAAAAAAATTATATTAAAATCTCATATTAATAAAACTAGTCAGTAAGCGTCGGCAGAAACTTGGATTCCTTTATCGAAATAAGTCTTGTCTGCCTATGTATGCAAGAAAAAGGGTCATGGAGGCAACGTTACTATCAGTTCTGAGCGACAGTGATGTAGTTTATAGACATGTGTTCACCAGTACCCTCAAACCACTAGACTGATTCTATCACCCTTACAACACTTATCACTGCAGACTGTATGAAAAAGCTGGTTGGTCCTCACTAACAGCACAAAGGGAAACACACTGGCTTAGTTTTATTTATAAATCACTCTCCAGCCATACACCATCTATGATCTCTGTAAATAATGGTAACAGTAATTATCAGACTTGCTCTAGTGACTGGATCACCTGTCAGGTACCCAGGAGTTTTTTCTGATCTGGGAAAATCTACTTTTAGCTATAGCACACCAGCAAGGAGGGAGTCTTTAAAGTCATTTTAAACTTTTAATCTCTAGCCACCTTCAGACACCCTGTGAGTGTTTTAGTTGAGTTTAAGGTTTTTCTTTTTTAAATTAATTAATTAAAATCTTTTTTTTAATTTTGATCTTAATTCTATTACTGTTTAATTTATTCTGTTTTATTTTATCTTTTTACTTTTTTACAATCCTTTTACTTAATTTGCCTCTTTTATCCTTTTAAGTTGAAATTTATAGCTGGTTTTAACTACTATATCTTGGTTTTATTTATTTTTCTTGTTGCTCTTCTTAATTCATTCATAATTGTCCTCTTAATTTCTTTTTCCATTTTGCTTGTTTGATTATTTATGTAGTTCTGTTTATTTCAGTTTAAACTGATTCAATTACATTTTAATTTCTTTTCATTCCCTTTGCATTGTAAATGCTCAGTTGCATTTAAAATGAGGGTCAACCCTAAGGTATTTCTGAGAGAAAATAAAGGTTGATTGATTGAAATTCACTTGCTATGTAAAGGCTGTTGGTTTTTCCTATAATACAGTTTGTTATGATTAATGCAGTTGTTCAACATTCTAGAATACACATGATGCCCAGAAAAGTGTATTTATGAGAATAGCATATCATAGGAAGGCCCCTTAGTAAGGGCCACATCAACCGAAAAGGAACTCAAACTTATACACCAAAATAAAACAAAGCACTGCAGTTGATTTGTGTAGGTTCATATTTATGTCCCACCTCTTTATCAATCTTCAGCAGCTTTTTGACAGCCACCTCTTTGTCCTGTGAGATCCAGCGTGCCCGATACACACTCCCGAAGCTCCCGCCACCACAGTTCTCATAAAAGTGAACATCATCGAAACGTATCTGCACGAAACTTGCACTGAGGGACGACATCTCATACTGACATGTGCTCACACGCAAAACGCCACAATCTGCAGAAGGAGGGAGAGATGAGACAAAAAGCAAGTAATTCCTTTTAATATATATATATATATATATATATATATATATATATATATATATATATATATATATATATATATATATATATATATATATACAGTGATTCAGTGCCTTTATCTTTCATCAGCTTTAATAACCACTGGAAAACATTTCAGTCTTCAATGAGTGGGGATTTGCTTCGACACTAGTGGCACACGTGACACTGTACAAAGAAAAGACGTGTGAAATGCCTGGCCTCTGTGTGTGATTTACAGCATGTTCTGACTGTCCGTCTGCTTCCAGGACCACTTGACCCATTGCTGTTACTGCCTCTGTCTTATGCAGCACCTTCACAACATAAAGCTGCATGCACTATACATCATGTATGGTCATGCATTACTGTGATACTGGCCTTTTAAATAACAGCTGTTATTTGGTAACTGGCTGCAAAATAAAATTGCAAAATAATGATTTATGTGCCTCTCAGCTAATCACAATCAACTCTCAGTGCTACTTCTTCCATCAAGCGAACGAAAAATTAAGACAAAACTCTTAGAACAAACCTCCAGATATATATTGGTGATTATATTTGGTGATTGATTGGCAACAGGTCAGTAACATGATTGGGTATAAAAAAGCATCCCAGAGAGGCTGAGTCTTTCAGAAGTAAAGATGAGGAGGGGTTCACCACTCTGTGAAAGACTGCACAATCAAATAGTCCAACAATTGTAGAACAACGTTTCTCAACATAAAAAAGCAAAGAATCTTTGTTTTTTGTAATTTACGGTACATAATAATATTAAAAGATTCAGAGAATCTGGAGAAATCTCTGTATGCAAGGGACAAGGCCAAAAACTAGTGTTTGCTGGCCATGATCTTTGGGCCCTCAGGCGGCACTGCATTAAAACAGACATGATTCTGTAGTGGAAATCACTGCATGGGCTCAGAAAAACTTCTGAAAATCACTGTCTGTGAAAACAGTTTATCCACAAATGCAAGTTAAAACTTTAAAACACAAGGAAGAAACCATGTATAAACATGATCCAGAAACGCTGCCCCCTTCTCTGGGCCTGAGCTCATTTAAAATGGACTAAGGGGAAGTGGAAAAGTGTCCTGTGGTCCGACGAATCAACATTTGAATTTTTTTTTCAAAAATCAAATCATGGACACTGTGTCCTCTGAGCTAAAGACCACTCAGCTTGTTATCAGTGCACAGGTCAAAATCCAGTATTCATGGTGGCATGGGGGTGCATTAGTGCACATGGCATGGATGACGTGCACATCTGTGAAGGCACCATTAATGCTGAATGATATATACATGTTTTGGCAACATATGCTGCCATCCAGACGTCTTTTTCAGGGAAGGCTTTGCTTATTTCAGCAAGACGATGCCAAACCACATTCTGCATGAAATCTTACATCAAACAAGAATGGGGAAACTTTTCACTTTCAAAACTACAGCATCTGTCTCCTCAGTTCCCAAACACTTACAGAGCGTTGTTAAAAGAAGAGGTGATGAAACACAGTGGTGAACATGCCCCCTTCCCAACTTTTTTGGAATGTGTTGTTGGCATCAAATTCAAAATGAGCATATATTTTTCAAAAAACGATACAATTTCTTTATGTTGTGTTTGTAGTATTTTCCTTTAAAAATACGGTTTACATAATTTGCATATTGTTGCATTCTATTTTTATTTACATTCTGCACAGCGTCCCAACTTTTTTTGGAAATGGGGTTGTACATGCAGAGTGTTGTAAAGCAAAATAGTAATAGCCCAAAGTAAACTTAGTTCTTCAGATTTACCACTATTTTAACACTATCAACGCTACATAGAAAAACTCAGAAGACGTGTTTAGTCACTGGTGGTTCTGTATAGTAAATAAAATGGTTATATTTGCGTCATAGACATTGCGACTCCTGGTTCCTATCAAAAACCGCTGTAAAAGAATCGGAGTCGGTAAGTTTCTCTGAAACGCGCCATTTCACATCAGACCACTCTGAATTGCTATGTATATATCTTAGCGATTGAATTATACAGATATTTTGGGAAAAAAAACAGTTGAAGTTCCCCGTTTACCCCACACTTCCCCTGTCTGGACTTTTGTAGAACTACGAGGGTATGAACACCCACAGACCCCCCACTCACACAGTCCTATCTTTTAACACATCAAATTCTCAGCCGCTAAAAACAACAAATGATCAGTGTGGCTGCGGGCACGGTGACATCAGAGCAAAACAGAGTGCACTGTGTCACACGTTCAAATATTCCTGACAAGACGCAGCTCCTGCAGGCCAGCTCAGCTCCTCAGTGCACTCATTTTCTCAAGGACAAAAAACTTAAAAGTGCTGATTTTGTGAACAACAGTGACAGTTACAGAACCCCCCCCCCGCACCCCCCACCCCACACACTGACTCAGCACGCTAACAGAGCATATGACATAATAAAGATGCAGCTAACATTATCTGGAATATTCTTGCCCTCCTCACCACCTTCCAGTTTCCAGGTTCTAAACAGTGTGTCTGAGCAGGAGATCCGCACTTTCCGAATTAGCGACGCGGTATAATTTAAGGATTCACATGTAGATTAAACTCAAATGTGACTAGTCTCTTAATCCACTCCATGTCATCCAAGATATATCGATGGTTTATAACATATGTGCTGTTACCAGATGTTTATTAAAGTTAATTAAACAACTTGTTTCATTATCTGTATGATGAATTAAGCCAATAAAATAATGCCTCCATACCTGTTCGTCGTGTTTTCCGCACCGTCCTGTAGTAACGGTTGGTCTCTCGCTCCGGACAATCCGCGTCATAAAATAATGCGGAGCCTTATTGTCTCGTGTTACTGCACTTCCATAACAGGACACGCGACGGGGGCCCGGTGCGCCATAAAACTCAACAAAAGCCTACAGCGCCGCACCACGGCCACATATGGAACTGGGACACTGACGGGAGTTGCATTTGCAAAAGCTCACTGAACAAAGGCAGGGGTGGCAAATACTTAAGTAATTGTTCGTTTTGACTATACTTAAGTACTATTACAGAAGATTTGTACTTTACTTAAGTACTATTAAAAGTGAATACTTGTACTCTTACTTAATTACATGTCCAAGAGAAAAAAAACATACTTTTGACTCCCAACATTTTTATTTAGATCTTCAGTGCTCGACCGCCAGCACTGAGTATTTTTAAATGTCGATGTCTTATTGACATTCACTGAAGTATATCTTTGGCTTACACTTTTAATTAAGATTCTACCACAGTATTCATACCTTCACTTAAGTTTCTCCCCACTATTTACACCCCTGAATCAATTACTGAACTGGCCTCGGGAGCCCTTAGACCACAAGGTCCTAGGAAGCTCAAAGACAAGGGACAGTGTGCTGTAGATGTAAAAATTAGATGAATAAACAGCCGTTATATGTAATGACCAAATTAATGATTATACACTGTTTTAAATAACTAAAAGCCTCCTAACACTAAAATATACAGAAATATAGAAACAAATAGAGAATTATTCATTTCAGTTACATTATATTTTTACAGCACTGTTCAAAGTGTACATAAACAAACACAAGTGGATTATTATTCTGTTTTCCTTCAAACTAAACAAGCTGTAACTGTGCCTTTAAGACTGCTATATCTAACTGAACTCTGTTCTTACTGACTGCCCTGTACTGGGAGTCATTCAAAAAGCAGTCCAAGCTGAAACACTCCTTTTAATTTCAGCAAGAGTGGATCACGCTAAACTGCTGTAGACTGAACAGGTGGATATATGCAAATGAACTCTTTTGTGACATCAGCGAAGCACAGAATTCATTTTAAAAATTCATTTTTTTGCATTATTGTCAGAGTAAGGGGGCAGAGGGAGGCCTTTAAATACACTTGTGCCCAAAGGCCACGTGAGACCATGACCCGTCCCTGTCCTGAACAATAGTTTAGTTCAATATAAAGCATAATAGTTAATGTGGGTATACATTGCAGACAAATATCAAATTGTTTTTAGTCCAATACAAGTATAAAGTCTTTGAGTTGCCCCCTACCCCCATGGGAGTAAAAATTGTGGTTAGCTTTGAGGCATATACTTGACTAGTAAGGGTCTAGTTACACTTTATGGCAAATTTAGTATTTCTAGGCATTACGTTCCTGGATGCCCACCATGTTTTATCAGAGAAAGAAAATTTGTGCATAGTCACACAGAGTACTACAAAGCATTCACATTTCATCTGGGGCCCTAATAACTTGGTGCCACAGCAAATTGTTGCAATCAGACAGAAAGCATTGAGCAATACGTTTATTTAGATCATACTATATACAGTGTAAGTAGAGGCATATTCCAACAGATAAAGAACTCTACAGCTTCTAAGAGATGCTTTCTCCTAGGCAGGATGAAAACAAACAAGGCATTCTGAGGTTCATTAAAATATAAATTAACAAAATGATGTCAACCAAAAAATATTCAAATATGTCCGAATATACAAAAAGACATCAAAAATGCTACAGGCTATGGCAAGAGGTAAATTGATAGCACAGAAATATACTAGCAATAAAAATAGTCCTTGAGCAAAAATACTGATGTAGCCCACTATAAAAGGCTTCAAATAAAAGAACACAAGATCTGGAGATTTAACAAAGCATCATTAGTGTGATGTTTCATAGTTGCACATGTAATGTTTCATTAAGTTACTGGCCCCCCTTAACTCAGTTAAGTAGTATTTAAAGACCTTCAAAAACCTTCTATGACTAGGTAGTGTTCTGAGGGACATACAGATGTATCACAAGTACTGAAAATAGGATTACACTGTACTGTAATGGTCTACTATAGTAATGACTTGACTGCCTTTTCAAAGTACAAGGCATATTCAGATTGTTTTAGCACACTTTGTGTTGAATCTAAGGACACTAATACACAGACACGCACGCGCACACACACACACACACACACGCACACACAATAAATGTGTCATTCGACACTGAATATCAGTTCTCCGAATGCCAGCAAATGAGGTTAATTTTTAAATCTGCAGATATGACTGGCAGTAATAATTAGTATGGAGTAAATACACATACATACAGTTGTATGCAAAACTTTTGGGATTCCTGATCAAATGACATGTTTTGTGATTAAGTAAAAAAAGTACACATCCTTTTACTTCTGCACATTTTATAGCAAAATTAGTGTTTATTTTTTAATTTAACATATTGGTAAAACATAAACATAAAATGTGGGCTTGGAAAAAGTTATGGCACATTTTATATTTCATTACGGGTCCAAGCACCATAGGAGAATGGAACACTATTGACATTGTAGGGTAGGCTCTGTAAGTGATCCAGACACCAAATTTGGTGCATAGGTGTAGTTTTGCACCTACTACTCCAGCAAATAAATTGAGCCCAACTGGCCTGCTGATAGCGCTACAGAGCAACATTTTACATTTTTGGCCCATATCTCCTGAACTGAGGCCTTTTTCGTCATCTGAATCTTTGCATCACTCCATAAAAAAACCCTCACTGTATCTATATGGGATGGGAGACTCCTGGTCAAGACTTATTTACAAAATCTGGATATTTGTAAACAATATGGCTGCCACATATCAACTGAGCCTTTCTGGGTGGACCTAAATTTACTTAAATAGCTACAGATCAGGATAGTTCAATAGGGGCACTATAACAACCAAAAATCTGTTTCTCAGCAGCCACTTGGCCAATTAAGCTTAAAATTTGCATGCTGCAACTTTGGGCCACTTGATAAGTAAGGTCTTAGGGACAACTCAATCACTGGACAAAGAAGACAAAATAATTTCAACAGGCATTTGGAGAGCACTGGACAATCATCACACAAATTGAATAATAGGTCCACACAGACATTTTCTAATAGCCTATAATGTTTGATCTCAGTTGGCCATGTGGTGGTGCTATTACTTTAGTTTTTATCAAATCACCTCAAAATTTGTCTTAGAACAATCTGTGGAGTCTGAAGATAAACAGTTATTAAAAACATAACTTTTAACCAGAGTGTGGCAGCAATATTTGAACAAATTGATGCGACCTGGCTTAGTTTGACTTAAAGTGCTACAAATATATCAGCAATTGTTTTATTATAACTAAATTTGAAAGATTTGTACAGAATGATAAACAGAGGGTCTATTATGTTACTTAATAATCACAATAACTGAAAGGAACTAGTCCCTAAAATGGTGTTCCTTATTGCTCTCTACCAATAAACTGTCCCAAAAAATGTAGTGTTAACATGGGCCACTTGTGGCTCAGCATGAAAACATCTCCCTTCCAATCAGAAGGTGCTCAGGTTCAAATCCTGTCAGAGCTGTCCTTACTGAAGCAAAGGACAATTTAAAGCAATGCGAGGTTTGTATCTTGAGAGCTTTGTAAGACACTGAAAATTAATATTTATCAATAACTTATGATGTCAATGGAGACTTATAGTGCCAATGAAGGCTGACAGTGCTTGGACCCCTATAAATGCAGCTATATATTTTTTTGTGTTTTTTTGTAAACCTACCAAATAAATAGAGATTTTGCTTTAAAATGTGTGGAAAAACGTAATATTTATGATTGTTCTCTGTAAAGCATGTTTTAACTAACTCATAATAATCAATAAAATATGTCATTTAACGAGGGGTGTTCATAGTTTTGCATTTGAATGTACAAACACACGTCTCCCCCAGCATACACATATTTTAAAACGTAAATTTGGACAGAAATGAATGCCCTTATACATACACACAGATCAATTGGCAGTGGTAGCACACACAGTAAGTATTCAACAGTTTTTGCAGCTGACAGGTATAGCTTCGATTTACTAATGGTGGACACTGTATGCAAGCTATGGACAGAGGTGGCTAGTTCCATTTACTTGGTTACCTTTACTCATATTAATGTTGTTGGATTTGCATTTTGCTGAGTATTTTCAAACTTTCTTGAGAGGAAAGTAACATACTTTTTACTGCTGCATTTTAGTCATTCCTTTCATTTCTTTCCGTTCATTCATGCAAACTTTCAGTCAATAACTTTTTCATTTTACTCCATTACAGACAGCATGTATACTTCTTTACTGTTGCTTAGACCTCTTTAGAGGTTTGCTATTTTATTTTAGACCAAGATTGTATCAAATAGAGAAGAGAAGCTAACAATCTTTACTTCATATAGATGTTGATCAGATTTTTTATAATAGATTTTTCAAAACTGCTGCATAAGAGTAGTTTAGTATGAAATGATGCATTCTAGAGAAACTTACAAAGCCACAATTGTTCGGAATGGTGGTGTTAGGAAACAAATGTCCGAAGAGTGAAATTTTTACACATGCTGCCTGATGCCTGAGACATTGTTTCATGATTGTTTTGAGATACAGGTTTTTCTAAAACGCTTATGTTTAATACATTTAAAGGTTGAGAGGTAGGGCGATACAGGGCGATGCAGTGCCCAAACAAATATTTTCAGATTTTCCTCTATTTTACCATCATCAACAGTACATATAAAAACTCAGAAGATGTGTAGGTTCACTGGTCATTTTGGGTAGTAAATAAAATGGCCACATTTATTGTGACCCCTGGCACCTGTCCCCACCAGTGTAAGGAAATCTGAGTCAGTAAATTTCTCTAGAATGCAGCATTTTACATCAAACTTTACATGACTTTCTTTACATCTCAACGACTGAATTATACGAACATTCTGAAAAATCACTGGTACCCTACTTTAAGTAGGGTTTTGAACTGCAAGATACTAGGAGAGATACTTCTACATTTACTTGAGTTATTATTTCAGTGCTTTTACTTGAATATTGGTTTAGGCTATGCTACCCACTTCTGGCTATGGATGAGTGTTTCTGTGTGTCAAAGAGAGAGGAAGAGATAGAGAGATGTATCAGAGAGAGAGCATGAGAAAAAGAAGAAAGAAAATGTAGATACTGTAGAGGAGAGTGGGATCACAGAGCATTTCGGCTCTTAGGTTCTTCTTGGCTCCAGTCTGAAGGAGAGTTGGGATAGGGTCCTCTGGTTGTCAATCACAGACAGCTGTCGCACATAGTTGCGCACTTCCTGGGGATTCTTACTGGCTGGAGATGCCTCAACATCTAGGAGAAATAGACAAAACAACTTACAGCTCAGTTTCCAAAAAAGTTGGGATGCTGTGCAAAATGTAAATAAAAATAGAATGCAATGATATAGTAGAAAGACAACAAATCAAAAACTGAAATTCTATTGCATTTTGAAAAATATATGCCCATGTCTTTAAACAACACTCTGTAACCATTTGGGAACTGAGGAGACCAACTGCATGTTTTGCCTGATATAGGATTTCAGCTGCTCAACAGTTCAGGGTCTCCAAATGGTTTCAGTGGTGACAGGTCTGGACTGCAGGCAGGCCAGTTTAGTTCACTTTGCCTCAGTTCATCTTAAATGAGCTCGGGCCCAGAGAAGGTGATGTTTCTGCATCCTGCTTAGATATGATTTCTTCGTTGCATTGTGGAGTTTTAACTTGCATATGTGGATGCAGCAATGAACTGTGTTCACAGACAATGGTTTCTGAAAGTGTTCCTGAGCCCATGCAGTGATTTCCATTACAGAATCATGTCGGTTTTTAATGCAGTGCTGCCTGAGGGCCAGAAGATCATGGCTAGCCAATGTTGGTGTGGTTTTTGGCCTTGTCCCTTGCATACAGAGATTTCTCTGAATCTTTTAATGATATTATGTAAAGTAAATGATGAAATCATTCATGCTATTTTATGTTAGGAAATATTATTCTTGGATTGTTGCACTATTTGCCCATGTAGTCTTTCACAGAGTGGTGAACCCCTCCTCATCTTTACTTCTGAAAGACTCAGCCTTTCTGGGATGCTCTTTTTATACCCAATCATGTTACTGACCTGATGCTAATTAACCACCAGAGGTTTTTTTCAGCATTTACCCGTCCCAACTTTGCTGAAACATGTTGCTGGCATCAAATTCAAAATGTGCATATATTTTTCAAAAACATGAAAATTTCTTAGGGTTTAACTGAATTGCACATGATTGCATTTTGTTTTTATTTACATTTTGCCCAGCGCCCAACTTTCTGGAAATGGGGTTGTACTTTCTTTAACTAACAACCCAACCTGAGGTCAGTTACGTCTCTACTCAGTCAGTATTTCCAGTTTAGCAAATACAAAACTGGAAATCACCTACAGATTTTTAAACTGGTTAAATTCACCTTCTGAATTTGGTATTACTGAACTTTTTCTTTTTTCTTGATTTTTTTCATGAAATTAATTTCCTTTGATTTTAAGTCCCTGAAGATCATGAATATTCAGCTAATGAATAATTGCCACATAAATAATTGCAATTAACAATGTTATAGTCTTTTGTGAAAGACAATTAAATTGTATTAAAATACATGCCCAAAAAATTGGCTGTTTATCTATCTTGCTTGTAAGCTGTTAATACTTAGTAGCTCCGAACTGATGACAGAGACAGATCAAGCTCAGTTAACAAAAACATTATGCTGCACTCTAAATATGTTTACCAGTCAGAAGTAAGAACTTCTGTTGTTTTTGTAAAATGAATGATGTGTCTCAATAAATGTATTTTCTGCTTTCTTTTATTCACATGAATTGCCTCAAACAAATGATAAAAACACATCTAATTAAATTCTGTTTGTTATGTTGTAAACAACTATGGAAAATAACTGCAGTCAGCTCATATAATTGTGATCTGCTCAAATTGCGATCAGTTCATTATGTAATAATGACCTATTTGGTTTATTAGATTCTACAGATGTAACATATCTTTAAAGTCAACTTACTGAAGGGCTGGCTCCTGCAGTGTCTCACTGCCCGGACTGTATTAGCAATCAAACGCTGAAGGAAGCAAACGAAAATTATTATATACCAAAGGCCACATAAAAATGATTTACCTTTTAATTGTCATTGTATAAGTACAATGAGATTCAGTGTGTGGTTCTCCATCAAAGCAATATCACATATAACAATTTTAAAAGTAGTAGGAGCATGTAGTGTAAATGGTACAAGCAGGTCACTGTGGGTGCAAGGAGTCTTGAAGGCCATGGCTCAGATAAATTACACTTGTGCCAATAGTAAAGTACTAGTGTGGTCAGTAAACAGTAGTGGGCAAATATACAATATTGTATATTTGCACAATATTGTCTATTGTGCAATATGCATAGGCATCAGAGTACAGAACCATGACGCTTTATTATCTGTATCTGTAGAAACATGTTTACATGAGATGCACGTCACTGACATATTGTCCATGTATGCAACTGTCAGCTATTTGGCAGCTCACTGACCTCCACATTGAATTGACATGCAGCATGACTATGTCTGCTGTCACCTCTAGGTTGGTCTATGTGTTTAAATGTCTATATGTTTAAAAAGCTAACTGAATTGTACTTACCATTTTCTCAAAGTTCACCAGTCCATCAACAAATGTCTTGTTACCCTCATGAGTGAACGTCATGTCTGTTGATTGAAGTTTTGATTTGGGTGTTAAACTCATTACATTTTGTTGCATATGCTCATGATTCACCAGCTCACCCTTACTCTTAGTGAATGTAACTTACTGTGGGAAGAAAAACCTAAATGACACAAGGCACATTCAATAGCCATCATTTTGCTTGGATCTGGCCTTACCTTTAATGAGGAGGGGCATGAAGGGAATGATTGGTGGCTCCATCTTAGCCACAGTGAGGCGGTACACACGGTGGTTCCTGGATGGATCCTATTCAGACAGAGCATTGATAAGTGGCAGCTAAAACAGTCAGTGAGGAATGTATATGGGAAAAAAAACATCACAAGCTAAACATCAAGCTGATATGATACATACTAGTAAACTCTCAAACTCTGCGTAGAACTTCTTGAATTTACTGGGTAGCTTCTGCATAAAGAAAAGAAAAGAAAAAAATTGTATTAGTATTTGCTAAATGTTTGTATCACTACTAGAGGAGTGACTGATTTGCCTCTAGACATCCAGCAGAGGCTCAGATTATTTTAACAGGCTGTTTAACACGCACCCATTCACACATGGACATGTGATTATACATCATTAAATTCATACAACATGTAAAAACTTAAAATCCAAAAAAGGTGGGACAGTGTTTAATTCAATGCAAACTGAGGGGTCGAAAGTCACAGCCATTCTGTTTTGGTTTTCGTTCTCGCCCTTTAGAATTTCTCACAATTTCCCAAATCTGTTGATGATATTATGCACAGTCTCTAAAATACTGTGATTGCTCATTGAGGAACATTGTTCTTAAACTATTGAATTATTCATTAGTACAAGCCTGCGACTAGCGGAGAGCCTCAACCCATCCTTGCTCATAATTACTAGGCCTTCCTTAGATGCTCCTTTTATACCCAAACATGACTGCATCACCTGTTCAAGATGTTTTTGAACATTTCACAACATTTCTAGTTTTAAATGATCCCAGTCTCAACTTTTTTTAAATGAATTTATATTTACAAAACACAATAAAACTGATAAAGTGGTAAAACAATATATATCATGTCTTTGCACTGTTTTCATTTAAAGTCAAGTCAAAGTGGATTTACAAATTCCAGCTGTTTTTATTAGTAACTGAAATACTGTCCCAATTGTTCAGGAATTGAGGTTTGTGAATATGGTACATTGTGCTTGTTTGTGTTATACTTACCTCCCATGTCTGACTGAGTCGGCTGACAGCTGGATTGCACATGCCCATTATGATAGCAAAAAAGGAGTTGAGATTCCTAAACTCTCTGCAGCTGAAGAAATATAGATCATCATTCTTTTTAAGTCTCTTCAAAAACCCAATGACATTGTTCAGAGGTTAATACTGTTACTACTTCTATTGAATTAGGTTGCATATAGTACTGTACAACAATCAGAGACCACTCTTTTTAAATTTAATTTCCTGTCAAAATGCCTTTAAGTACAAATTATTCAGTATCAGGACAAAAGCAGAAAACACTTCACAGAAAAATACACAGAAACTTTAACAACTAAGCATATCACTTTTCTCAGTATTTAGTGTGTATACTCTTTGCCTTTATTACAGCTTCCATTCTTTACGGGGGAATTGCTTTCAGTTTTTAAAGAAACCTGCAGGGATATTTTTTTGGTTGCATTTTTGCTTCTCACGATTCAAGTAATCCCAATTACAAAGTTAAACTCATCAGTCCATAAATTCTTACTGCACAACTCAGATGTCCAGTTTTAGCATTGGAGTGTAAATTTTCTTCTTTATTGCCTATATCCTTCTCTCAGTAACAGCTTCTTGACAACTACACATCATTTCAGACCCATAGTGTTGAGGTTTCTAATGTCTTCAGAAATGCCTCATATAACCATTTCAGATGCATATTAGAATGACATTTGCAAAGTGACTAAAGTGTGGTAGTTTAGCTTAAATAGTTGCTTGTGTGTCTTTGAAGGGTGTTAAAGACATCGCTGAAGATGTCAGTGACACTTTTTGGAGAACCTTTTGTTGGTTTTAAGATGGAGAATGGAAGAGTTAAAGTGGCAGTAGGATGCACAAAGATAAGAGTAGACAAATTAAATACTGATAAATTTGATATTATACAACCTCTTTTCCAAAAAAGTTGGGGTGCTGTGCAAAATATAAATAAAAACAGAATGTAATGACTTTTTTGACCCATTTTGAGTTTGATGCCAGCAACACGTTTCAAAAAAGTTGGGACAGGGGCATTTTAAAAGGTGTTGTATCACCACTTCTTTTAATAACACTCTGTAAGTATTTAGGACTGAGGAGACCAATTGCTGTATGTTTGGAAGTGAAATGTTTTCCCGTTGTTGCTTGATATGGGTTTTCATCTGCTCAACAGTTTGTAAACGCCTTTGTCGTAACTGTTGTTTCATAATGTGCCAAGGGTTTTCAATGGATGTCAAGTCTGGACTGCAACCAGGTCAGTTTAGCACCCAGACTCTTTTACTTCGAAGCAGTTCTGTCGTAATACATGCAGAATGTGATTTGGCATTGTCCTGTTGAAATAATCAAGGCCATCCCTGAAAAAGGCATCATCTAGAGTGCAGCTCATGTTGCTCCAAAACCTGTACATGTTGTTCAGCAATAATGGTGCCTTCACAGATGTGCAATTTACTCATGCCAAGTGCACTAATGCACCCCATACCACTATGGTTGCTGGCTTTTGAACTGTGAGATGATAACAAGCCAGATATTCCCTCTCCTCTTTAGACCAGAGGACGCGGCGTCTATGATTTTCAAAAAGCATTTTAAATTTCTATTCGTCGGACCACAGGACACTTTTGCACTTTGCCTCAGTCCATCTTAAATGAGCTCAGGCCCAGAGGAGGCAGTGGCATTTTTGGATTTTTGGAGTTTTAACTTGCAATTGTGGACGCTGTGACAAACTGTGTTCACAGACAATGGTTTTCGAAAGTGTTCCTCAGCCCAGTAATCTATTTTTGATGCAGTGCCACCTGAGGGCCTGAAGATAAAAGCCAGCCAATACTGGTTTTCATCCTTGTCCCTTGCATACAGAGATTTCTCTGGAATCTTGTAATGTTATTATGTATCATAGATAATGAAAAGCAAAAGTTCTTTGCTATTTTTTTAAACGCTATTCTAGAATTGTTGCACTATTTGCCCACACAGACTTTCACAGAGTAGTGAACTCCTCTCCCATCTTTCTGAAAGACTCTCTGGGATGCTCTTTTTATAGAGTCCTTGTTTGTCCCTATTCCAAGTTTTTGAAATGTGTTGCTGGCATCAAATTCAAAATGGACATGAAAAATAAATTACTTTTATTTAATGTCTGCTGGACATGGAATAAACCACTGGGTGGTCCCTGAGGTTTGCCCGTAAACAATATGTGTGTGTGTTTTGCTTACTGAGCAGCAATCTTGATGAACTTCTTAAGCAGCTGTACCCGTTTACTGAGGGTACCACACAGGCTGACCTCTGTCACTACCCACAGCTGTACTTGGTTAAAGCGGCGCAGGAACAGCTCCAGGTTGGCTGTGGAGCGACGGTATGCCTGCCGCCCAAATGTGTGATATACCAGTTCATACTGCAGGAAAGACACACAAACACACACACAGACACACACACACACACTACTTTAAAGAACCATCCAACAAAACAAATGTTGAAACAAATGTGATTCTCCTATGGCATTACTATGGCATCTTTTTGCCACTTACATTATTTAAGGGTGGTATTAGTACACTTGAAGAATATGGATGAACGCAAACATGATAACGATACAAAATCATGAATTTTGTCAAAACATAGCAGCTGAAAGAGCAATGCCGTGCTACAGAATAATGTATATGACAAATAAGTTAAATATAAATACATTACAAAGTGTTCATATGTATATATATATATTAGGGGTGCAGGAAAAAATCGACTCTTAGATGCATCATGATGAGGACGTGAATGATTCTGAATCGATTCACAAATGTCAAAAACCGATTTTCTAAATATTTAATTTATAATGTAATGTTGACGGAACGCAAAAGGCGGAACTTGGAAGTGCGGAAGTGCAGCACCTGGACAGTCTGTGGTGGCACATAACAAAAACACAACTGGATGAGCAAGAAATCCGACCAGCTCCCTCTGCATTAAAGCCAGGTTAGGTCAGGAGGCACAACTCAAATATTAACATTTTGTCCTTTCAACAAAAATCAAACCACCTTGGGAGCCGCAACATTTAATGTCCAGTATGTCTCAGTATGTGTTAATGTCCTAGTATAGACTAAACAATATAAACGAAAATGCAGATTTACTTTACTCTGCTTTAAGCTTTAGCTCAGCTACAGCCGCTTTCCTCCCATCTCCGCCAGAAAACTTTTCCTCAGAAGTAGATCAGTTAAATGTCTCTCAACGTTCGACTGTTTTACGAGGCTGAAGTCGCTTCCTATTCTCCAGCTTCTTGTTCAAATTTACCCGTTCCACCTTAAATATATATATATATATATATATATATATTTTATATATATATAAAAAAAAAACATAATATATATATATATATATATATATATATATATATATATATATATATATACACACATTTCACCATAACAAATAACATCCTACTTTCATGCCAGAGTTAGTTTTAAGTCTCACCAAAGGTATTTGTAAGCTCCTTTATGCATCAACCTGCAATATGGCTGAGTAAAATACCAAAATATCTGTTGTCACTGGTGTTGAATTGTGTTCTTGCACTGGTCTTATTAAACATATTTTCTAGTCTCCCAGTACACGGATATGAAAGCTGCGAGTGGGCTGACCCAGCACTTGAGGCTACATAGAACTCTCTCTTCAGGTGTTTCTAAGGTAGATCAATCAGAACACACTCTTGAGTATGCACATTCATGCCCCCGATAACTATAAGCAGCTTTAAACTCTCAACTGTTTTAAGAGCACACAACTTAATTGGAATGTTTGTCACTGTACTAAAGACAAACACTCTACGTCAAGAATCAACCAATCCTCCACATTTACAAGTGTTTCTCTTCATCAGTACAAATCCATAGCTGCACCTATTATGTCTTGTTACATAATATGTTAAGAGAATTCTGAACAAAACAATCTAGCATGGTAATTTTCCACACCCAGAAAACCATCTGCAAGACCTTCAGAACCTTCATCACAGTTTGGCAATCCATTTAGATGCCATTAAATGCACTACCATGCAGCTACAATTGGACTATCACTACGCAAGAAGACTAAAAATGGACAAAAGTCCAGATGGATACCTAAATTAAAAATTGCTTAGAAAACATTTCGAATCTTCTGGCTATTCCTTTAGAACAGTGTGGTTCCCAGTCATGGTCCTGAAGTACCCTACCCTAAACACTCACTCAGCTCAAGATGTTTTTAATTAGCTGATTAGTTGGATCAGGTGTGCTGGGAGTAGAGAAGGATGTAATCACTGGCCATGATGGACAATCTTAAGCTAGTAAAGCAAGTGTGTGTAATACTATGTGTGTGTATGTGTGCATAATCTATACCTCATGCACACAGCTGAAGAGTTCCCAATCATACAGGGTCATCTGAAAAGCCAGGTCTTTAGAACTCATAAGCTCAAAACTGGACATGGAACCTGTGGAAGGACCTTCTTGCTCTGGAAGAGAAGCCTGGAAACATACACAGAATACTTAGCATCACAACATACTTCTTCTCACACACATGCAAAATATTTTAATAAGTGGATTATCTCACCAGTGAGTCAAGCTGTTCTCTTGTACAGACAAACAGTCGCCCATTTACTCCTAGTGACTGGAACACTGACACATCATTGGGCTTCAGAATCTGCTTCTCTTCATTGAAACAAAAGCACCAAAAGTACCAATCAGCTGACCCTTTTGTCTTTTCCTAATCTTTTTTTAACACCTAAGTGATTTTTGAGATTTTTCCAAGCATCTGTAGGTATATTCAATGAAGGAATGTCACAATAAGAACAACTTCGAAAAGGGAAGGGAAGGGGAAGGTTGTCTGTGGTTACAAAACTCTGATCAAAAGAGCAATTTTAAAGGTGTAGTATCCTTGCATGTCTGTTTATCCCTGTGCGTTTCTATGGTGTCATATGTCGTATATTTTTGCCACCTGTTAACAAATACGTTTTCTCTCACTCAAAGCTGCTAAGTAATTTTTTCTAGCGCATAAATTTGTCTCAGAATTTGTCTACCTACTGTTGTATAAAACGAGATACAATCTTATACCACTTTCGTGTTATTGCTTTTTTGTTGGTTAGATGTATTCTTGTTAAATACTTGTCATTATCCATAACATGATCATTTATATCTCAATGGTACATATCTTTGCTGCATTCTTTGGGAACTGAATGGCTCAAAATGTTTTTATTGTTAATTTTCCCTAAAGGGTATAATTTCTAAAAGATGTGCCTCCTTACTACCACATATTCTCCAACATGGCTGTTGATGACCCGTTTGTTTACTCAATATTTTAGACATTATAAAATAGCAGGTTTAACTTTTTCATCCAAATTCTTTCCACATCCTTAAATTAGTGGTTGTGTGTTGTGTTATACACATTTTAGCCTGCTCTTCCTCTGTAATATCAATGCTTAACTCTCTCCCATTTAGCTTTAATGTACAGAGTGGAGGAAGCTTAAATTCCCTCAGGCTGCGGTAAAGCTGGGATGTCACCTCAAATTTTGTCCCATTGTATGTCTTCACTACAGCATCTACCACTGAATTTAGAGGCTTGAAAGTTTCTGTATTTTGTATTTTGATTGTAAGATAATCCATTAGTTGTAAATACCCCAAAAAAACCCTTATCTCTTAAACCATAATTCTCTTTTAATTCCTGGAAACTCACATTTCCATTCTTGACAATTCTACACACTGCAGTGATGCCCTTTTTTTGGTCAGTCAGGCTTTGTTTAAATCGCTCATCATAAGTGAACCAACTTATTATTATTTGCCTTTCAAACTATACCATTTAATTAAATCAAACCAATTGTCTAGTGTATGGGAATTTATTGAATCTAGTGAATCTTCTAATATCTTTGTAAGTTTCATATTTCATATTTCCAATGTCTTCTCAATGTCTTTCCACCTTGCATTGTAGCTTTCATCACACCATTTAAGTAATGGTCCAAGTTATGCTGCCTGAAAAATAATCTAATAAGCTAACATTCCTTTTGATCCTAGCTGTTGGGTTTTGATATATAGTTTTGATACACTTAATTGAGTCTTTGCTAAAACCAAATCACTCTAACACTAAACATATTTATATATCGATGTTGTCGGGACAAAACCTTGTATATCCATTTTTGTCGTTTTTTTAGTTTTTGACATAATTTGAAAATGCCTGTTGTCCTTTACAACAGCCCAAAATTATTTGGAAAAAAGTCTGGTTCTGTTGATTTACATTAAAAGTAAAGTACGTTTTTTTCATTCTCCTGTAAAGTTCTCATTTTGGAGATACGAAGTTTTGTTCCGACAACAGTGATATATTTAAATATACTATATATATATTTGTGTTGGCGACGTCTGGTTCCAGCCACTGTAAAAAATATGAGTCTGTAAGTTTCTCTAGAATGAAACATTTTACACCAACCCAATCTGAATGACTTTGTTTACATCTTAACTATTTGATTATACACACATTTTGAAAAATTCCCTTTTTGAGTTCCCCTTTAAGATATGCAGCTCGTTTAAGTTTCTTCTAAAGAGAGGTAGGAGCTATCAACTTTCTCACGTATAACAGCCTTCAGAGCATCCCATAAAATAGTAGTGTTAATTTATTATATATCATTTTCCTCAATATATCTCTTAATTTATCATTTCTGTTCAATTGTGGTTTTATTGCTCAAAATACCTATATTTAGTCTCCTGGCAGTGTTTTTCTGTATATTGCCCAAATGTATGTCTAGAGAGATTGCATTATGGTCCATATCAGCTGCCCCAAATTTACATTCTGTTACCCTATGTAATTCCCAGCTATTCATAAATACATTCTCAATCAATTCTTGATTGAGTGTTATGTGGGAAGGCGTAACGTGTATAATCTTTTTCCGATGGGTGGAATTCTCTCTAAACATCGACCAATTTTTGTTTCTTTAAAGAAGCATTCATGAATTTAGTCATGTGCATCTTATTCCTTTTAAGGCTTGTTGGCTCTAGATTGTAATCTAGAATTACATTAAAATTTCCCCCACAAATCACAATGCCTTCTGATTCTGAAGCAATCATTCTAAATAAGGATTTTAAAAAACGTTTTTCACTGTCTGGTGGGGTATATATATTAACCAATATAACTTTTCGTGTTCTATTTTGACATATAAATTATACATTCTGTAAAACTGCTGAAACATTCACCAGGCAGACTTCTTTCACCAAGTAAGCAGTGAGATGGCCTTTTATAAAATCTTTTTCTGTGCTGTAAAGAGAAAATTCAATGCTGTTTAACTTTATTTCAACAAACTGCTGCTGGTCTTTGCATAATTTTCCTGTACATTCTAAAGTCATGCACAGAGGATATTACAAGAAAATTACACATATTATTATATGCTATTCTATAAATTATTATAGTAGTATCATATGGCACTACTGAAATTTTTGAGTTTCTTATTGTATTACCACCATTCTTTTACATAAGAGTACCTCCAGAAGAACTGAGGCTGATCAGAAGTAGCTCCTCAGTAGAACCTAGTTTATCGGCTACGGCTGCTGTCACCTCTCTCCCAGTCGCCAGCACAGGAACTCGGATGGTGGTATATGTGTGATCACTGCAGTACACTTTCAGTAGTACTAAACAACACACACGCACATACAACACAAAGAGCGAGAAGGCAAGAATGAGAGACAACACAACGGGACATAAGATTTGATAACGCTAACGTTATTTATCCACATGTGCACCAAATACACTCATACTCACTGTCATCAAAGCTCCTGATTGGTTGTTTCTTTGCAAGCCTCTCTTCTCCAGAGCTGAACTGCCGCAACAGAACTTTATGCTAAAAGTGAAACGAAGTGTTTTATTACAGTAAAACAGGAGCACACAATAACTTTATTAGATAGATCATTGAGGATAATTAAGCATGTAAAACAGTTTGACACAATTAGCAAAACACCTTTTTTTGAGAGGTTCGAGCATCGTCAGGACTGAGAAAAAGAAGAAAAAAAGAGTTTGCTTTCTAAGAGCTTCAGTTTTCACAACACTCATATACTCATTCATATTCTATAAATTTACTGTACATGTCATATATGCTTACTATTGCCTAATGATTTTCTCCAGTTCTGGTAGTAGTTCCCTCAGTGGGCGTAAAACTCTGGCGTCGTTTGATATAAAACCATACAGCTCCTGTATACACACAATTTCACACACACACACAAACAGGCTTTTCAGTACAATGTTACATATTTCGAATATATGTATAACACTGCTGTGATATCTAACTTCATAGTTTAATTTTTTACACCATTTGAAGATGGCAGCTTGAGCACTTCAAATAGACCAATAGAAATGTTCAAAAATTACATGGAATAAAATCTTACATTTATGTTTATTAAAGGACTTTTTTTGTCCTTCTGATGTAAAAGCTATATCATTTTGGAGATAAAAGTTTTTTTTTCAGTGGTATATGCAATACGTATTATGTACATGCACTATATGTACAAAAGTGTCTGCACACTTGCTGTATTACATATTTGCTCCAAATTCAAGGGAATAAAGAGCCCCTGTTTTCTGCAGCAATAGCCTCTATAGATCTGGCTTGCAAATGGGTCTTCCAAACCACTTTAGAGGTGTTTACTGAGGTTGAGGTTAGGGCTTTGTGCAGGCCAGACAAAACTCCACTCTCAACAAACCACATCTGCAAGGCCCTCACTTTGAGTGCCAGGGCAGTGTTATTCTGAAACAGTAAAGGGTCTCAAAGTGTTGTCCTAAGTTAGAAGCATTATGGAGTTTTAACTGCTGAGGGGCCCTCACCACAATGAACAGCCCTAGACTATTATTCCCCCTCCAACAAACTTTCCAGTTGGCAGCATTATACATTAAATGAGGTAACATTCTGCTGGCGTCAAACCTAAACTTCATCAGACTGCCTGATAGTGAAGCATAATTAATCACTCCATAGAACCACATTTCCACTGCTCCAAAGTCAAACTGCAGTGAGTTTTACACCACTATATATACCACTTAGCTTTGGCTGCAGTCAGTAATTAATGCCTACAAAGTGCACCAATATAGTGGGCGTCCCTGACAAAACAGTCAGTAAGTGTAGGTACAAGGTACCTATTAAACCGGCACATCGGTTTATATAGTAAGTAGAGAGCATGTCTGTATGTACAACTAAAAGAAGTATCATTCTCCCAGTAATTTGGGGGACTGTAGTGTGGTTTGGTGGTTAGTGTTTTGAGTGTCTACAGTCCCACAGATAGGACAACTGTGTGTGTGTGTTTGTATGTGTCTAACCTCTAAAAAGCTGAGCGCAGTGTCATCCTCCAGTAGATGGTGGACCTGCAGATTGGCCCACCGCAGAGCCAGGCTCAGCACACGTCTTTTACTAGCCACAGCATAGTCCATGCGCTCCTGCTCTGAACCCTGAGACGCCTGAGAATGGTAGGTGCACACATGCTAAGGACTACACACATAAGCACAAACTGTATGAAGACAAGAGGCTTACTTCATCATGAGGAAAGTAAAAATACTCACTATAATCAGGTTCAATTAAAATGTTTTGACTGTTAATAGCATCAGTTGCTAAAAAGCTTAGGGCAGCTAAATTTTGGAGATGTGAAACAGAATGTAAAACTGAACTGTGAGAATGACTTTGAGTAGGATATTGGGCCAGCAGGGCTGGGCACAGTTGGCTGTTGGGCATGAAGACACAGTGCATGAGAACAAAGTCATCCAGAGCAGGATCTGTGTTGGAAAGGCAGCAATTAAGCAAACAGTCAGATCTTCCATCCAAACATCCATTTCATCAACAAAACTAATCTATTTATTTCTATTTTTTATCAGTGTGGTCTATAAGTTTAATAAATGTATGTTGCTAATTTCGAATAAGGACTATTAACCTGGGTCAGAGAAATGAATATCCAGACGCATTGTCTCCAGCAAATGTTCCAGAATCTTCTCTGGGGTTCCTGACATCACAGTGTACCTTCAGACCAAATACATACTAATTAATACACCAATGGATGTTAAATTAATTGATTGTTGGTGAACAGACAGACAGACGAAAAAACAACTTAAACACATTCATAAACCATTTATAAACTGATTGGCAGGTGCATACTTGAAATGGGCAGGGACATTTCCATGGCTGGAGGGGCGAAGACTCTTCTGAAGCACCAATACATCCTTATCATGTTCCTTTAGGCGTACTGTGTTTGCCTCTACATCCTGCACATACACATGCATTTAGACAATCACTGAGACAATGGGGAAGACTTTTCTTTATTTTAAACTGTGTTTTCATAAGTTGAATAACATCTGTCGTGTGTGTGTATTGCACCCTGAGTATGCGGTTAAAGTCTTCTTTGTCCACTCGTAAAAAGTGGCAGTTGTCCTCTCTCAGAACTATGGAGGCAGCACGTGGAGCATCATTGACCAACGCCAACTTGCCAAAGTCATCACCCTCATGCAGAGTGCAAACCACCCCCTACAAACACAGAGCCAATGCAACATTTTATTTGCACTGAGCCTCATGTAATGAGACCAGTAAGAGTCAGTGTGTCCCACCGTGTCAAGAGCCTCACCTTGCCATAGATGACAACATTTACAGATCCTTTCTGGATAATGTACCAGGATGTGCCCTCCTCACCCTGATTAAACACTAAATAGCACATACAAAAACATATTGGTTAATTAATTATGATTATCATAGCAAGCCACTTGAAAACAAGCACATTAATCTGCATATTAGAACAAAACTGCGATCTTTCCTATTACTACATGTTCTAAGCAAAGAACAGAAGTAAATATTTATAAACTACTTGCACTTACACACTGTGCCTGCTTTGGCATGTGATTCAAATATGAGCACACCAGCAAGCTCTCTTTTCACCTGCAGAGAGCAACACAACCACAAGTAACTCTTTGTGTACAACTGCAATGCAATGTACTAAAAACAAAACATTTTCAGTGTTACAAAATACTATAAACAGTAATCTCCATGCCATGTATGGACACAAAACAGATAATCACTATGCATGTGTAAGAGTAACCGAACAAGGTCAATATATATATAAAGACATCTTACAGTGTTGGAGAGGTGAGCGAGAGCTTTAATATGCAGCAGCTCATCGTAAATAATTTCCAGATCTTCAGGTGTCCTCTGCCCCGGCCTACACAGAAATGCATAAGAAAAGAGCAAAGACAGAATAACAGGTAAAGTATCTCTTTCTTTTAAAATCTGTGATTTCTCTTTGATAGAAGAATAATCAGACTATATTTCTTACAGTATTTTGCTTTGCAGTAGGTGAGACTTGAGAGGACTGTATCACATATTAAGATGTGATGATAAGATGTGACCCCTGGTTCCAACAATCAAAAATGGGTGATCTCCCTACTGTAGATGCACATCACCATTCTGAGCTAACAGAAGTTTCATGTGATTATAATTTGCTTAGCGCTCATACTAACAAAGATTAAATGTGCTAATTGACACATTCTAAATCACTGTTCCTTCTAGTTTAATTTAATATGTAAAATGTATGCTATTTCTTCATGTACAGGAGAAAAAAAACTTAGCAATGTCATGACCAACAAAGAAAGAATGGGTTCCACTGCTTCCCTTTTTCTGTGTGTATCAGAATTGTAGTTCATTACAGGTTATTACACTCAAAACTACAGATCATGTTGTACCTAAAATGGGCAACTAAAAAACTGCAAAAACATTTAAAAATAAACTAATTCCCACCTTTTTCATGTAAATTTATGGAGAGGTGAAAAAGTTATTTGCTCTGTAGTTTTGTTTTGTGTTGTGTTAGTGTACTGATCTTCTGAACAACGCTGCAAAAAGCAGAACAAGGCAGAAGTTGATTTGAAGTGTTTTTCAGGTTTGAATTGATGTAAAATGTTGATTTTTTAAAATATAAACGAACATCTAGCTTTGCATTGTTTCATCGAAAATATTTAAGTTGTATATAATCAAATAAATAGTTTGACACCACATGGATTTTTATTATTACTATTTTTATTTTTTTATGCTGTGATGGAGATTTTGAATCAATGTTCCCTCAGTAATCAAACAGAATAGATATTGTAATCAATAACCAAATAGGTAGTATTGGCTAACAGAGAATAATAATTCTCTCACAAAGGGTAGGCCTTAGCCTGTCTGCATAGGAGATTCTAGACACTGGAATGCCCCTGGGTTCACAGAGAGGCCTGCGCATACTGGTAAAGACTGGTAAAAAGTGGTTGAAACCAGTTTTTAGGAGTAACTGCAACATGCAATGGCAAAATTGATTAACGAAGAGATACACCTATTAGAGAATAAACTAATATCAAAATTTGAGAAGTAAGGCAGGGGGGATATCAAATTACCCCAGAAAATGGTATATAAACTGTTGTTTGAAACACTGTTTGTGCAGTTGTGCTACTTGATGCTGAAATAAAGAAGCAGCCTTTTTCCTCTCTTTCCACAAACTCAGTGTATGAAGACTATTTCCTTTTTGACATCTTTTGAGAACTTAGACTTAAAACAGTTATTAGTGTAAATGTTAAGCCGGTATTAAAAGATTTCTTTTTTAATATTATGCTGGAGGCCTGGGGTTGAAGGGGATAGCCCTTGGTCCCGACAGCTGAACCATTATTTACAGTGAAAAAAAATCATGACATCAGAAATGACAATTCTTTACTGTATATAAACAAATGAAGTGATAGAAACTACAAATCCAATACTTTTCATTATCTAGCAAAGAAAAAATTGCAGGTACTATAAATGCTTACTGTTCCATAATTTAATCTTATGCTCATCCACACCACAACTAATGTCCTCTCTTGCTTGTACACATGCAAATAAGCCCTAGCTTATCCTGTTTTATAGATGGTCAACACTTGGGTAGGACTTCAGATCAGACAGGAATCAGTTGTGACTGGCTTATTTATATACATTTAATTGGCAGTTTGTCTTTATAACCATTATAATTATTTGGACTTTGACTGTTGTCTGATATAGTATTTGTTATTTGGTACACTGATATGCAGTGTATTTTCAGGTTAAATTTTGGAGATAAGTGTAACACCTTTTGAAACAGTGTACATAAGCATTTGCTAACTGCGCTCCAGAAATACACAAATCTATTAAAGGCAAACACTGAGTGAGAATAAAAGAATTTTGGAAATCATGGGTCACTGAATGCTTATATTTAAGCAAAGAAAAACATGCTTATAGTTTGGTTTAAACAGAGCGTTGTTGTGCTAACTATGTGAAGAGTTTTTAAAACAAGTAATAGAGGTAATAGAAGAAATAGAAGAAATGTATGTTGGCAATCGTATAAAAGTATAAGTCACTCCCGGCCCTATTACACCTCTCCTTAGTAATGGGTTAGACTGTAACAATGGAAGCAGATTTCTACACTACTGTTATTTGTAACACGCAATATGGTTATCTTGTATCTGCATTTTAAAGGTAAAGCACAAACAACTAAAACAGAAAGTGTTAGTCTCTCCTAATTGTAATTCAAACTAACTCAATTTTGTTAACTTGTGGGTACTGCGGTGGTCCACTCACACTTTGCTGAGAATCATGCGCATGTGTGCATCTGGGCCAATCTGTGAGAGGAAGAGGAGGGTCTCCTGCAGCTCTTCCTCTGCTTCTCGTTTCTCATCTTCATTAGGCAACACCGCATCCTCCTCTTCATCATCAAGGAAACGATAGAACAGGTACTTGTCTTGAAAGTTAAGCTCTTGATCCACTGTAGAAGAAGATCTCAATGATTAAAAAATTCAAAAGCTTCTTACAGTCTGTATGGAACTGAGTGCTGTGTGCTTCTTTGTAGATTGACTCTGACATTTCTAAAGTTGTTGAATGAGGCCATGAAGAGTAATACTAAAATCTTGATAGTAGTGTTGTAATATGACTATTAGCTACACATATCTTTGCTGTCAGAACGAAACATTGTATCTCCAAACCACCAAGCTACGACAGAAAGACATTAGATAGACAGACAGACAGACAGATAGATAGATAGATAGATAGATAGATAGATAGATAGATATATAGATAGATAGATAGATAGATAGATAGATAAGATAGATAGATAGTTAGACAGATAGATATGTGCAAGTAGCAGTCTCACCATGGTTGAGAATTCCCTCCTCTAGCAAAGCCTGCCACATGCCAACTGCATGGGCTCGACTGTGAACACATGAACTCTGCTGTAATAGCCAATCAACCAGCTCAGTGCCCACACAACATTGCCTGTAGATACAAAACAAACAGAATGCACAAATGAACATGAATGCTTGGCACTGAAAATGATGTGTTGATGAGTTCTTTTCTATTTCAATATTAGACAATTCTGACAACTCTGTGCTATATCAAAGTGAATATATTCAGCATCTAAAACTAAAACACAAATGCCATTTTACATGTATCGAAGGACTGATAGCTATTTGACTATATTCAAACTAATTACTAAAAATCACCTATATATAACTAATATCAGCACAGTGATTATAAGCAATGAGATGCAGATACATGTTATGCACATCACGTTAACTGAAAAAAGCCATGTGCAAAATGTACCTGTATGTTTTCAAATGGTATTTTCTGTCTCTGATCATGTGGGGAGCTCTCGCCAAAACTGCATTACGTAAGACCTTGCCTGCCCTCAAAATCTTTTCTGATGGGACCTGAGAGAGAGATAAGGAAATGGGGAGAATGGAAAAAAGAGAGACAGTGAGACAGAGGGAGATAGGAATAGAAAAAGAGCAAGAAAAGAGAGTGATGGAAAGAGAGGTGGATTGAAACAAAGAGAGATAAAGCCTTTAGATGTAACAATCTAAATCTAAAAAAACAAGAGCACAAATCCATATGTACACCTGGCTGACACTGATGACATAAAAGACTGGCAGCAGCAAATGACCCTTTCTATTCTCTATGAACACAATTCCATTGTATTTCTGTGAAACAAGTGACAATAACCTGAAGCCATGTAGGAGTGTACATCCCAGTGAGGACTACTGGGAAACAATTAAATGAGCAGTTATGTCTCGTAAATTACATTTTTTTATAATCATTTACAAGCATTTTTGTTTAAGGAGTTCTCTTTTTCAAAACTCTTCATACAGTTATAACAATAACAATTTGTTTGGATTAAACCATGAAAAAAAATGTTCATGCTTGAACAAAATATGCATTCAGTGACCATAATTCCAAAAATTGTGTCTCAGCTGTAACAAAACGGTTATTATTTCTGTAGCTTAATTTGTAAATACTTGCAAGCACTTTTGCAAAACTATCAAAACACTGATCTCCACTGAACAGGAAAATACACTGCATATCAATTTGCTAAGTCACAAATACGATACTGGTCAACAATCAAAGCCCACAAAATGATACTGATTCTACAGAGTTGAGCATTTCTAAAAAGGGGTCACTTCTAAAGTTATTTTGTTCACAGTGCTCCATTATGGGCACAGCAAGTGATCAGTAAGTGCTTTTATGTATGTGTATAAAGAAAAAGGGACATAAATGTTTGATGTGAATGAGAACATGTGGCCAAATGATGCAGACCATGTAGAGTAAGCATCCACAGTATCTGTGACTTTGTATTGGGTTTTTTAGTTTCTGTTTGTTCCTCTTCAGCAGCAAAGATATATCATTCTGTTTAGTAATGTTTCTGATGTAATGAGTTTTTTATTCCCTGTAACAAATGGTTTGTCAGTTCAATGTGGTGACAAGCAAAATAACAGTTTTTTTTTCCAACTCAAATAATTTTAATGAAAAAATGCAGATAAACAAAACAAATATTTTACATCAATTCAAATCTCAAAAACTACCTTAAAGGCAACAGTTTTTAGTGTTTTTGAGGTGACTGTGCTATAACTGACAGTGTTTGTATAGGTTTGCAACACTTTGTATAAAATTACCTGTTGTGATGAGCTGTGTGTTTCTGCAGAGAAGTATGTGAAGAGTTTTGAAAAAGTGACGGCACAGAAAAACGTTTCTTTGCAATTCCAAAAAACACAACTTATAGTAAATAGCATTTAACAACAGATAATAAACAGGAGGGAAAATGTACCTTGTTCAGATTTTTTGACATAAAATTCAGGGGATCTGTGCAGAGATTGTCCTTGTCTGGTATTCCTGCAGGTAGGCAAACAGATTTATATATATATATCTTGCAGAGAACTTAAAAGCCAGACCTTGAATCTAGATTTGGTCCTGGATTTTGTAATTGCTGGTAGTTATGACACTAGGTGACCAATCAGTTACACCAAAAGTTTAGTTGACTACCAGAAATTACAAATTCCAAGACCTAAAACTTGATTCAAGGTCCAGATTTAAAGATTTGACCTGTAAAATATTGCTTTAAATAAGAATATTTCTTTGTTGAACTTTAGTTGAATGTTTAATCATCATGTCTAAAGCTTCCAGACACATGCCTATTAAATGCTGAACTGTAAACATTTTTAAATAATAAAAATACCAATTTATAAATAAATTATCAAAAGGTTTAATTCCAAAAACCATTACACACCACTTTCAAGTATTTTCTTTTTTTATGATATACTTTGTTGGGATTGGCCTTTACATATATAAGAAACATCAATGCTATTTTATGATTCATACCACCTTTATTAGAGAAGAAATTATATACATCATATATTATATATCAGTTCTTATTCTTTTCAAAAACTTGTTATATTCAAAATTGTTACACATGGATATAATGCATTTTGGAATGAAACTTTTTTAATTTTATCCTGATTTACTGATTTTTCAAAATTGCTTATTGTCCCAGCCCTACAGAACTTTATGTATCAGCAGAAGCTAGACTAACAAACGGCCCTATTTATAGCAATTTCATTCACAGAAATAGGGTTTTAAGAACAACTGTGATTCTGCAACTGTACAGAACCATTAAAAGACCACTCAGATCAATTAAGTTAAATGATATGTTTGTCTGTGTGTGTGAGAGAGCAAGAGAGATAGGTACTCACTGTCATTGCTAGCTCCGCTCTCCATCACCCCATAAGGAGGGGCGAGCAGTCCTGCCATGCACTGTCTGTATTTCTGTAATACACATTACTACATGTTACAGAGAGAATCAGTCATATGTACTGCATACTTATGGAATTAACACTTTCCTCAGAAGATACCCTGTCACCACAGCTTCTTAGCCAGCACCCCATAGAGAGCCCACCCAATTAGAGTTAAGCCCCCCGTGACTTAGCAACCGTCCTTATGAATATTCATACCTCCCTTATTTATGTCTTTGTCCAGTCTGTATTTGTGTCACCTTGTCTCCATGGTAATGGATGATGAGGTAATAGATGCAGCTGGGGGAACAGCTGTCTGTAAATGACCGAACTACCCTTACCTAAGTACACTACATACACACACATGTGCACACACAGTCATTTTCATTCAAAGATTTGTCTCAGAAAGTCCTGTTCGTTTACTCATGCATATAAAAACATGTTTTTCAGTCAAAATGTTAATAATTTTGCAGTGTCAGGAAAAAAGCAGAAAACATACATTTAACAAAGAAATTACACAGAAGCCTCAACAACTTAATACCATATAAAATGTTTCAAATTTAGTGTGTTCAGACCATGCCTTTATTTCATTAGACTTTCTTTCAGTTGTTCAAAGACGTCTGCAGGAAAATTTTTCCACACCTCCAAAGTTCAGCTGGTTGCATTGTCTGCTTCTCTAAACCCACATGGTTTTCTCCTGTTTCTCAAAAATGGTGTCTTTTCAGTGCTGTTTATCTGATGGTCACAATTTTGACAGCCTATCAGATCCTACACATTTGTTAGACCCCTCTTCTCTATTAGTTAAATCATTTTTAACTCCGTTTTGGAAACTCTTACGCAAGTGATCTTATACCTAATTTCCTCAGAAGTATCTGTTGAAAAACATATAACTTAAACCTAATGGGCATTTTGCCTTTAAATTAAATAAATGAAGGGTCTCTGGTCTCTGACTTATGTACAGTACTGTACATTGTCCAAGGCTTTGGATTTTGTTTTAAAAATATGTTTTATTATTATACAACTTCTTTATTACACATTACACATTTATTATATGTCTATTCGTCTTCTTTGACTTCACTAATTATCGTCATCACAGAAACAGGCCACTTTCATACAACAAAATTGTGAATTCATCACAATGCTTCTCCATTATACTAAAATTTATTTAGGGTAAATCTCACAGTCTGATGGAAAACTCATCACAGAAAGCGCTGCTGTATAGTAAAATAGGAAATAGTGGACATTACATAGCGAATAGAATTCTGTATTTAGTCTTGGACAGTACCTCAGCAATGACAGCAACCTTGACTGTCAATCAACCTTTTTTAATCGGCAACTACAATACCATTTTAAACATTATTGCCTCTTACATTCCATGTTGTTCACAAGTACAGAATTGCTGAAAGAAGAAAAACAATCCTGCATGCAAATCTACAGCATTACACCTTTCAATCATCTAAAATTCAAATTTACATTTACATTTATTTACAATATACTGAAGAATAGTAAAGCTAATGTGCCCTTTCTGGCACAGCTGAAGCTGCTAAGCAGCTGAGGACACAGATTAATGTGTAAAATCCACAGGATCCCTTCCCACCTACAGACAGATTATGGATAACTGGGGAGACAGATGAATAAGCATGACATTATTTCACAGGGACAAACATGCCGAGAACTGATTATGAGCTTTAAAACAGTAACATCTGGAAAGAAACTTGTTTCCTTGAGAAAAGTGTCCATTGAGCACCATTAAAAAACAGAAAAGAAATTTGAACACCACCAAATGTTTAGCCTTGATGAAACTGAGGGCCTGGCTGAACAAATTAGAGGACACAGCTGAACTGGACCTAATAAATAAAATAAAACTGACTGCATCGCGTGGATTTTTTGAACTACTACCTATCTGCAGCATGTTATAAATTAACTGTAACACATTCCGTATAGATATAATTGTATATGTGTGCTCAACATACCCATTCTGCAACCCTGCATCCTTACACTTTTTTTTTTTTTAATAAAATTTTTACCCCGATTTTTCTCCCTAATTTAGTCGTCTCCAATTCCACCCGCTAGTTAGGACTCCCCCAATCACACGATGCTGTCAACGCTAGGAGGGTGAAGGTGACACAGGCTTCCCCCGAGACCTGTGAAGCCAACCACCGCTTCTTTTCGAACTGCCGCTCACGCAACGTCACCGGACAGCCGAACGCGCTCGGAGGAAAGCGCCAACCGCCAGATCTGTTACGTCAGCTAACAGACGCCTGCGCTGACTAGCATCGCGCTGAGTGATGGGGGGAGAAGGAGGGGTCATCCTACCCACCCAGAGAGAGGGAGGCCAATTGTGCTCTCTCGGACTCCCGGCTACGGATGGCTGTAGCATCACCAGGGATCGAACTCGCGATCTCCTGATGATAGGAGCTTAGACGCTTAGACGGTTGCGCCACTCGGGAGCCCTTGCATCCTTACACTTTAATAAAAGGCAATATACTCTTTTGCAAATAGCCCCCAGGCCCCCTCGCTACATACAAACACTAAAACAAAAAACTGCTCTCTCTCTCTGCTTTCCAGCTGGCTGCTCTCTTACAGGTTGAATAATTAAACCATGATTATGTAATTCACACGCACACACAGGAAGCGTGTTCCTTTTCTTAAGCCATTGCCAGGTCAGGCTGTGCCCCATCCTGCCTGGAACACAAGCTGATCTCAGATCTGAGAGAGAAGCTCCTCAACATGCAGCTCACAGCAGTTCCTGCAAGTTTCTGCTGCTGTAGTCCAAACAATGATGACTAGTGGAGTTTGCACTAGAAGCAGAATACCAGACAATAGCCACAAGGATTTTATCCCAACCTATCCCAGTGGCCAACAGTAGAGTAAGAAACAATGATATAGATTAAACACTAACCTGTGGAAGTTTACACTATATTAGTCATGGGAGACATCATTATAGATCACAATCTATATCACTCTATCACATTCAGTATACATATTATCAATATGGCTGCTATAGCAAAAATACAGTTTCTTAATACTTTTTACAAAACAGACAACAGACAAAACAAACATGCATCACAATATTTATTTTTTTCTGAAGTTAGATAAATTGGAACAGATAGAATACCCCACCAGTGCCACATTTAAATATTACCAAACCTATGAGTACAATGATTATTACTCAGCATTTCATACTGCACTGCACTAAATCCACCAGTACTAGTGTGTATTACTCAACTCAAGCCTCCTTACACAAACTCGTGAATTATACACAGTAATGTAAACATTAACCAAAGAAAAATCTTATTTCTTTAAGTTAATTTAACTACTTTTATGTATTTTAATCATTCTTTTAAAACAGACAATCGTAAGCACCCACAAACAACATTACAGTTAACTACGTTACTGCTAGCTACGAATAACATTGTTGTGTGACACCAGTACCGGTATACCATATAGACAACAGATCAGACAGCAAAACACTATACTACACTTTCAGCTAAATAAAATCTAAAAGATTTCCCAGACAAGACTTACCCAAGAAAGGTTTTTGTAGTGCAGTCTGACAGATTCCTCCAAAAAAAAAGACTCTTGTCTCTGTCACTTTCAAAACAAAGCCGACACGGCAGCATCATCTACTACAGCCCCCAAATCTTCCTCTCTATCAGAGAAACCCTCCACACACAGATGCATGCGCACAAAACAAAACTCTTCTTCCACACACTCATGTCTGTAAGTTTGTGTGTATGTGTGTGTGTGATTGGACACCAGGCGTTGCCAGGCGATTACTGTAAGCCAATCAGGGAGCTACACACAATGCACCCTTCATACGAGAGAGAGAGAGAGAGAGTGAGAATGTGAAAGCAAGATAGCGTGCATAAAGAAGAGAGTGTGAGTGTGAAGGAGAGAGAGGGTAAAAAGAGAAGATGAGACAAGGAGAATGTGTGTATGGGCTGCTAAAAGGCTCTCGAGAGCAAAGTCTCATCAATGATTGAAGATGTTAAATTGTATTTACATTGAACAGACAGACAGTCGCGCGCGCGTGTGTGTGTGTGTATGTGTGTGTGTGTACCCATTAGGCACAAAGAAATCACATTTAGCATATTAAAACTGGTCTGTCTTTCTTTGAGAAGAGCTTGGCTAATCTAGCATAGAAGGTTTTTTATAGGAGGTTTTAAGAAGGTCTTTCTGACTAAAAGCAGTCCCCATCAAAGTAACAACTTCCCAGACATGTCTGGGGAAGAGCCTAATAAAAACAACAAATGCCCTTTACGGTCAGTCAACTCAGTGTTACAGTTAAAGGAATAGTCCAGCATTACAATACAACCAAATGGTCACACTTTCAGAGCCTGCCAGTCGGTTTCTATTAAAAGGGTAGTTTGAGGCAACATGTTTCCTATGGTCTGTGGAAACTGATCATATGCCAAAGTTGCAGCAGATAAAGGTTAGTTTGAAATAATAATAATTGAATAATTTCTTTAAGTCAATACTACTCTAATGTTATCAGTCATTTTTGGTCATGAATAAGCGTTAGTGTATGCTCAAATCCCTCTGTTTCCCTCTATATGAAGTATATTTTTTTTACTTCACTTTTAGTACTGTGTGGTTGCAATAATTTAAAACCTAAATTTAAATTATCCTTACCTGTTTAATTAGACTTTAGACATATGTTAAGCAATAGTGTAGGCTTGCAATACGTTCACATGCATGTTTATTGTTATTTTTTTTTGTATGTGTTATGCACTGAACATTTTGCACACTCTATTATGTACTTGTCAATACCATTACACAGTAACCTGCATGTACACTCTAAAAAATGAACAGGAACACAAAAGACAGCATTAAGAGGGCAGAAGGTGGACTTGCTCTTTTTGCAGGGCACCTAACTGTTACAGCATGGGTTTGCAACACAAGTGTAGAGCTGTTGCCCCAATTGGGCAGGCCAGAACACAACATGCTGCATCTCACCTCCACTTCTACCTGTTCTTCCCTGCCTGCCTGTCACCACCAGGACTATGAAAAAATGAAAATAAGAGGATAAGGAAGCTGTACAGAAGGAGACGTGCTCTGAGAATTGCATAGAGAGGTCACTGAAGATCTTAGCTACTGTATTACAGGCTAAATCAACTGTTTCCCCATGACAAAATCACAGAACCAAGGACCTGCAGGAATGAAAATGAGTGTGGTTAGAGCTGAAGGAACTGGAGCGCAAGTCAGGTTTTTATTTTAATTATATTTGACTCTTATTAAGTAGTCCAGCCATGACCAACACCTCTAATTTCAACTGTGTTGTGCCACCTGCTTTTTTCTAGCAATTGTAGTATCCCACCCCCCTTCCTGTAGCACTTGTATTTCCTCTCCCCAACCCCCATCACCTCACTCCTCCAACCAGGGAACCCCACTTCCCTCTCATCTCTCCTAATTTCCACTATCCCTGCTTCAGTGAAGACCTGTATCAGCCAGATCTGTGGGATGCTACCATAACTGTTCTCACTTTTTCCCTGAGACTGCAGAAAGTGCCTTAACTCATCCCAGTGGCAAAGACAGGATGGTCTAGCACCCTCAATAACTGTTTCACTCACATCATACATCATGAAGACCTTTGAGAGGCTGATCCTTAAACAGCTCCTGACTTTGGTCATGAACCATCAGGACACCCCAAAAGTTTGGATACCTGATAGACACAGGTGAGGATAATGCTCTGATATACATTCTTCACACAGATTACAAGCCACAGCCATACTTAGAACCAAGTTCTTTGATTTCTCCAGCTTTAAACCACATCCTGCTCCTCCAACTGGGAAACACGCTCAGGGCAATACAGGCTGATGCACCCACAGCCTCCTTACTGACTGGACTGAAAAGATAACATGGACAGAAAAGGCCAGTGCACACTTTTTGTTCTATGGATACTCTGGTCTTTCAAAGTGTACAGGGACCATTCTTTCAGCCTGTTGAGTGGTGTGCAAACTGGGGTTATTCTTTCAGTCTGTGGTGGCCAGTGTTCTTTTCCCTGCAGTGGTCTACTGGGGGTGCAATGTTATTGCAGAGGAAGCCAAGCACCTCAGCAAACTGATCAAAAAAGCCAGCACCATCACAAGACTGACTCTGGAGTCACTGGAGGCAGAGACAAAGAAGAGGACTGTAGCAAAACTGGAGAACATTTTGAGCAATTCTGCCCATCTCCTTTTACCCTGTTCTTCAATAGTCAGAACCCCCACAAGACCACCACAGAGCAGGCATTATTCAGGTGGTGGAACATTCTCAGCACCACAATGACTTTGAAGTGGTGATGGCATGTGGTGTGCGTTGTGCTGGTACAAGTGGATCAGATACAGCAGTGCTGCTGGAGTCTACCAACCAAACATATCCTTTGAGCAGCATCCTGTGACCACTGATTAAGGACTAGAGGATGACCTACAGAAACTGTGCAGCAATTGATGAATTTTGTCTCTCACTTTACATCTACAAGGTAGACCAACAAGATAGGTTGGACAGTAAGCAGACACAATGTTTAAAAACTCCAGCAGTACTGCTGTGTCTGATCTAATCATACCATCACAATGCACACTAACACACCACAACCCTGTCAGTGTCACTGCAGTACTGAAAATGACCCACCACCCAAATTATACCAGCTCTCTGGTGGTCCTGTGGGGCTGCTGAATATTGAAGAACAGGGGGAAAGGGGGTGAACAAAGTATGCATAGAAACAGACAGACTAAAGTCTGTAATTGTAGAATTACATAGCGCACCTATATGGTGAGTGGAGCTGATAAAACAGACAATGAATGTAAAAAGGACTTAATGAAGTGACCAATTGGTGTATACAACAATAATCTAAAACATTATGACCATTCACAGATGAAACAAAAAACGATGATTACCTCATAACAATGGGACATGGCAAGGTCTGAGATATATTAGATGATACGTGAACACTCAATTTATGTAGTGAACATGTTGGATGCAGGAAAAATGGGCAGGCATGAACACCTGAGCAACTCTAACAAGGGCCAAATCATTAGGACAAGATGACTGAGTAGGAGCATTGCGAGGTGCGCAAGGCCAGCGAAGGTTACCCCTCTTCCAAACAGAAAGGGAGACAGGAGAATTTTCATAATTCATAAGTATAACTTTGAACTTAAATTTCATCAAATTTTCACACAAGTCCCAATAGTAGATTAGAGTAGAAAAAAAGGAAATTAACCAAATGAGATAAAAATATTAGACTTGGTCATGTATTTATTGAGGAAAATGATCCAATACATGAGTGGCAAAACTATGTGAACCTTTGCTTTTAGTAATTAGTGTGACCCCCTTGTGCAGTAATAACTGTAACTAAACGTTACTGGTAACTGTTGATTAGTCCAGCACATTGGCTTGGTGGAATTTTAGCCCATTCCTCTGTACAAAACAGCTTCAACTCTGTTATGTTAGTGGGTTTTCTCCAATGAACTGCTTGCTACAGGTCCTTCCACAACATTTCTATAGGGTTAAGGTCATGACATTCCAAAACAGTACCTTTTTTCCTCCTTAACCATTCTTTGGTGGAATGAGTTGTGTGCTTAGGGTCATTGTCTTTGCTGCATGACCCACATTCTCCTGAGTCTCAGCTGTCGGACAGATGTCCTGACATTTCCTTTCGAATTTGCTGGTATAATTCAGAGTTCATTGTTCCATCAATTATGGCAAGCTGTCCTGGCCCGGATGCAACAAAACATACCCAAACCATGACACCACCACCATGTTTAACAGAGGGGATACGGTTTTTATGATGTAATGCTGTGTTTTCCTTTCTCCAAACATAACGTTTCTCATTTAAACCAAAAAGATCTATTTTGGTCTCATCCATCCACAAAACATTGTTCCTTCTGACTTGTCCATGTGATCTAGCAAACTGCAGACGGGCAGCAATGTTTGTTTTGGAGAGCAGCGGCTTTCTCTTTGCAACCCTGCCATGCACACCATTGTTGTTCAGTGTTCTCCTAACGGTGGACTCATAAACATTAACATTAGCTACTATGAGACAGGCCTTTTCACAAGATTTTGAAGTGTGTCATTTGTGAGGTCAGACACTGATGTTGGACAAGAGGGCCTGGCTCACAATCTCCGTTCTAGATCAGGGGCCTACGCCAACCCCTGAAAAGCAACTCCATAGCATTATCCCTCCTCCACCAAACTTTACAGTTGGCACAATGCAGTCACACAGATAACTTTCTCCTGGAATTCACCAAACCCAGACTCATCTATTAGACTGCCAGATAGAGAAGCGTGATTTGTCACTTCACAGAATATGTTTCCACTGGTCCAGAGTGCACACATATATACACACATATCTATATATATACCTGGCAGTCTCATCAATTATTGAAGATATGACATTGAACAGACCATGTGTATGCATGCCATTGCAGCTGAATTTCCTCTTAGGGATCCACTTTACTTGGAGCTATAAGAATATAGCAGGTGAGAGGGAAAGAGAGAAAGAGAGAAAGAAAGGGGGGGTGGACAGAGACAGAGAGCTTTGCACCATTTGCTCCATAAAACTGATACATAATTCATGCTGTATTTTTTCACTGAGGTCCTTCCAATTATGCTTTCAAAGCTTTTCAAACCAGCATCTCACTCTGACCTATGAGTAAACAACACACCAGCAGGCTGTATGTGTGCGAGTGCACAAATACATCACAAGTGTCTGTCTGTGTGTGTGAGTGTGTATGTAAATAAACAAGACATGCAAAAAAGAGGCAGCTCATATGGTCATCTGTAAACTGTGAGCAAGAGGTGATACAGCATACATAGGCAGCATTAACAACACAGCTGCCTAAATGTGCTCAGACTACTCTGATATTGTAAATGCATAAATTTTGCCTTTCATACATACTTGCGTACATACTTACACACACTTTCTGTACATTATCTATGAAGGCCAGAAATTATGAGAGACTAAAAGCTTGGCAGAGTTTACTGATGCTTGAGCTTTAAGATAGGCTGCTGATATTCACACTATGCTTAAGATATTTCTGAACAGACATTTAAACACAGTATTCTGTGTCTTTTTGCTTTCACAAACTTAACTCCCAACTCCAACTGAAATATAAAACAAAATAAACAGATGAGTTTTATGGCCCAACAATAACAGACTGAAGAGCCAGTGAGCATAATATCATGGAGATCACAAGCTGTGGGCAGTACATACGCAAACACCCACACAAAGACCCATGAACATACCTACATACCATATTTTATAATGGTAGCTCTTTGTTTTTTTTTCATCATTTGTCCTTTTTCTATGTGCAGTGTTTGCTGCTCTGCTCTTTCTGTACCACACAATTTCAAAGGACTCCACATGTAGAATGCATTACATAAAGACCATGATGTGCTTCTTACCGAGGAGAACACACAAATACACCTATACACAGCCTACAGTGGCCTGCAGAAAACTAACAAATAAAGCTGTTTGCAAAAGTTTGGGTGCCCATGGTCACATTACTTTTTTATTGATATGAAAATAAGGACACATCCTCTACAGAGAGCATAGTTCATAGTACAGTTGGATTTACAATTCTTGTTTATTTGCTGAATTTCACATATTGGAAACATAAAAACGTGCATTTATGGTACATTTAAAATTGTATGCAAAACGTGATTTTAAAAACATTTAACTCGACCAGGGGTGTTCAAACTTTTGCATTCAACTGTAGCTTTTATAAATACAAATACTTTTATGTTGATGTGTTTTCCCTGGTTGTTCTACAAAGTGCATGCACACAAACGTATGTACACACACACACACAAACATTTTACTAAAAGTGCCATGATGTTCAAAACCACATGGCACCCTCCTGAGGACAGCTATGGCACTTTACTGCAGGCAGATTTTTATGGTCACACTCTCAGACCCACACATCCATATTCTAAAACCTCAAACAGACTAACAGACTCACACACCTCCCACAGGGTCTTGAACTCCCTCTGTTCAATGCGCAGGAGTTCACTGTTCTCTCGGCTGACAATGGTGGCATGCCGTGGCGTGTTATCCAGGATAGACTCTCCAAACGCAGTCCCTATTCCCAGCGTACAGATAGTTACAGCATCCTAGAAAGATAGAGTCAGAAAAATAATTAAGTCTGAATCACAGTATGTGCTAATCTTCAAATTATTCAAATTTATTCATACTGACTTTAAAAAGGTCACTGCTAATGGCAAGAGCTATGGCATCACATAGTGGACACCACACACACACACACCACTTTCAACAAATATTTCACATATGTTCATGTTACTGAATGTATTTAACTCCAAATTTGCTGAACAGACTAGTACACACAGATAACTACTCAAAAAGAAAGCTACTCAAAACATCACAGGGCCAGGAATGTAGGCCCTTTAGCAACAAAAATGCCATTTCAAATAGCATGTTTTTAAGCACTGCGTATTTGTGTTGCTCCACTGCCCTGGACGAACTGCTGAGCCATCCAATCCATGTGTTTCAGACTGATTTGATCAGTGCTTCATTGTGGCAGCAGAATACCCCGCAGAGCGCTTAAAAATCCATGCCTCACACACAGCTACAACAACAGAATGAATATATTATTAGTGAAACCACACGTCCACACAAATATCTGTAGAAAGTGAATATTCATGACTGCAGGACAGTCTCTGTAGAAAGAGAGAGTAAGAATTGCACAGTAGATCATATCTGCATTGTTCTCTATTGATTCTGTGACTAGTTGCCAGAAAGAGGAAGTGGCATTGAGCTCCGATACTGGAGACACCACTCTCCTCTTTCTAAGGCAAGCAGCAACTCTTGCATGGATTATAATTTATAGTCAAGCAGAGTAGAGTTTTTTCGAAACTCTGCCATGTTTCAAAACTGTTTTGCATGAACAGGCCTCTCCACACCCTGTCAAAGCATCAATAGGACACAGGTCAGCGCTTTGTTGTGGCTGTTCCAGGACACTGTGAATGTTTAGGATCACTGACCTGTTGGAACGCCCACTTTGTGCCAAGCTTGAATTTTCAATCCGTTGGCCTGATGTTTTCTCAATAATTCTATTATATTTCTCAGACATCATGATTTCCAAATCATGTTAAGCTGCCAAGGGCCAGAGTGAGATAAACATCATACAAGGACACCATTCCACTATCATGCTTGACAATGTAAGATGTTGCTGGTGGTAGGTTGTCTTGGCTCTTCACCAAACACAGACTATCCTGTTTTGTCCAAGTACAATCTCATTTCCAAAAAAGTTGGGACGCTGTGTAAAATGTAAATAAAAACAGAATGCAATGATGTTCAAATAATTTAAATCTTATGTTTAATTAAAAAAACAAAGACAATATATCAAATGTTGAAACTGAGCGATTTTATTGTTTTTTGAAGAATATATATGCCCATTTTGAATTTGATGCCAGCAACACGTTTCAGAAAAGTTAAGACTGGGGCAACAAAAGGTTGGTAAAGTTGTGTTATGCTTAAAAAAAAAAAAACCTGACGGAACTAATAATGGTAATTGACAACAGGTCAGTAACATGATCAGGTATAAGAAGAGCATCGCAGAGAGGCTGAGTCTTCAAGAAGTAAAGAGCATGGGCAAATGGTGCAACAATTCAAAAATAAAGTTTCTCAACATAAGCTAGCAAAGAATTTTTGCTTTTCATCATCTATGGTACATAATGTCATTAAAAGGTTCAGAGAATCTGGAGAAATCTCTGTATGCAAGGGACAAGGTCAAAACCAGTATTTGATGGCAATGATTTTTGGACCCTCAGGCAGCACTGCATTAAAAACAGACATGATTTTCTAGTGGAAATCACTGCATGGGCTCAGAAACACTTCTGAAAATTTTAAATGGACTGAGGCAAAGTGGAAAAGTGTCCTCTGATCTGACAAACCAAAATTTGAAATTCTTTTTGGAAATCATAGACACTGCGTCCTTCAGGCTAAAGACCACTCAGCTTGTTATCAGTGCAGTATTCATGATGGCATGGGGGGCATTAGTGCACATGGCATGGATGATGTGCACATCTATGAAGGCACCATTAATGCTAAATGATATATACATGTTTTGGCAACATATGCTGCCATCCAGATGACGTCTTTTTCAGGGAAGGCCTTGATTATTTCAGCAAGACAGCGCAAAACCACATTCTGCATGTATTACAACAGCATTGCTCTGTATAAAAAGAGTCCAGGTGCTTAACTGGCCTGCCTGCAGTCCAAACCTGTCACCACTGAAAACATTTTGCGCATTATGGAATGAAAAATACTGCAAATTAGCCCCCAAGTTGTTGAGCAGCTGAAATCCTATATCAAACAAGAACAGGAAAACATTTCACTTTCAAAACTACAGCAACTGGTCTCCTGAGCTCCCAAACGTGTTGTTAAAAGAAGAGGTGATGAAACACAGTGGTAAACATACCCCTGTCTCAACTTTTTTGGAATATGTTGTCGGCATCAAATTCAAAATGGGCATATATTTTTCAAAAAACAATAAAAACAAAAAAAGTTTCAACATTTGATATGTTTTCTTTGTAGTATTTTCCTTTAAATATGTGGCTTACTTGATTTGCAAATCATTGCATTCTATTTTTATTTCAATTCTGCACAATGTCCCAATTTTTTTGGAACTGAGGTTGTATTTACATTTTGCAGTGTCCCAACTTTTTTGGAAACAAGGTTGTAGTTCAACTTCGGACTACTTCGGACAACTTCAGGATATATCCTGAGATCAATCTTCCAGAACTCATTAGGCTTGTCCAAGGGGTCTCTGACAAACGTCAGATGGATAGCTCTGCTCTTTTTTCGACAAAAGAGGCTTCTTCTCGGGGGCCTTTGCATAGATGCCATGTCTGTTCAGCGTTCTTCATTGATTTTTCCTCTTCTATTATTCTCTCTGGCATTTTAGGGGGGACGCCTACTTCTTGCAACGATTACCATTGTATTAAATGCCTTTCACTTGTATGCTGTTGCAGAAGTAGGTAGTAAAATTTATTCAGCAACATTTACTCAAGTAATATTTTGATAGTATTACTCTTTTCTGAGTACTTTCAAGTGACAGTACTTTTACTTCTTATTAAAAATATTTGTGAGGAACATTATCAAAGTTTTACATAATTACCTTTTAATCTTCAACATTTAGTTACTAATTCCTTTATTCTGTTTCTTTATGTTACATGGTAACAGTATGTTACTGATAACAGCATCTGCACTGCTTTGTGATTAATTACACCTCAGACTTTCGTGGTTTTGCTTTTTTTCCCAATTTTAGACCAAGCATGTACCAAAAAAAAATAAAATAACAAACTTCAGTTCCTGTGCTGATAGATTTAAGATGTACTGCCACCTACTGACATATCCTGCAGAAAATAGCCTAAATTAAAGAGTGACACAGTTTGGCAATTAAAACCTTCTAATATCCTTTACTTCACTCAAAAAGGCTTCTGGAATAGTTTTACAAAACACTACTCTACTCTGGTCATACAAGTGCAAATCTAGTTCAAATCATAGCCTAGTATAAAGATTAGGCTATTTAACCTGTTGGATACATATACTGTGTGTATATATATCATATCCTAACCCTAGTCATCATCCTAAAAGCCTAACCTTACCGAAAAAAATAGCATTTCTTGAGTTTTAAGGATTTCAGTACAAAACATTCTAAGGGATGTTTAGCAACATTTCAGGTAAGTAAGTACAATACTTCACAGGTAGGCCAACAAATTTGCTAGAATTCTTGTAGATCCCTATAAACCAGATGTCAAAAATTTTAATGGAATTACCACCTTATTAAAAGACTCCAAATGCCACAATAACACTTCTGTCAGAGTAAGAATTTATAGACTAACCTTAATTAATTCACCACTTGGATATAAATATTGCATTTAATGAGTAGCCTACAAGCCACCATGTACGCTCATAAAGAGTCTTCTTGGATGAGTTTTTAATATGTAGCCTTAACAGTTGTTTATCTACAATTTCAAACTGTAGCTTATTGAACCTATTCAGATAGTGTGCTGTGGAAGTTCACAGATGCTGCTCTGGTTGAAAAGCTATTCCGTGCTAAACAATTAATGAACAATACAGAAAGAAGGAATGATTCCAATGACATCAAAGTGATTTGAACCTTTGAAAAAAATGGTAGAGTATTTAGAGCATATTTAACAAAAGAAATGTGGACATAGTTACAACTAGGCCAATCACCCTTTAATGTAAATCTTAATGTAGGTTTCAGCTATGCAGGATTTAAGCTGAATGTTGATTAAATGTCTAATACGTTATACTGATGGAATCAGTTAACTATTTGCTAAATATGTTGCAAAATCTGTGTGTATAAGATGCTGTCAGCTGCTGTAATTAAACAATATAAAAATTTAAAAGGGATTCTCTCCCATTTAGAAAATGTATTGTCCTATCTGCCACTATTGCTTCTGGGTGTATCTGTCCTTGGCTATACTGGCTAACGTGCCCAACAGTTTACTGTGCATATTTGTTTCATTCTCAGTGATTCTTTGACAAAAAAAGAACTGCCCTAACTGGAGATATGCAGATCTGCAGTTTCGCTAAAATGAAAAATTGTATATAGTTATGAAAAAGCATTGCAGTTTGTGTACTTGGAACATTTTTTCAAAAATAAATAATAATAATAATAATACAGAAAGCTACTATCTTCAGACTGAAATGCCCCTGATGTGTGTGACTATTTTTTTAAATCTACAAGATTTACAAATTAATTTAATCATTTTTCATCTTGGATCTGAAATACATGATTTTTATTGCTTATATAAAACACATAATAGGTGATAAAAATGTTTAAATGTAAGCACAGATTATCATGTGTACTCTAACATTTTCAATAAAACAGAATGGTCCACTATATGCCTTCCCTTTGTGGATGGAAACATATCCCACACTCCAGAAATAATGTTGTATAATAATGGTTGATTGAATATGTGGGCTTAGGTAGTAGTGTAGTAGTGTGGTGTATGCTGCTGACTAAAAGAGGCCTTGTTGTTATTTCTCTCTCTAACTATTGGAGACAATATCTTAACTATTTACTGGAGAGCAGGCCTATATGTACAAATCTCAATATTAACATCTAACTGAGGTGTAAACTGCAGAGCAATTCTGCTTACTTCTCATCTATCATGTACTAATAAAACTGTATCAATTGTAAGTATAGGCCCATAGCAGAATCTTTAAGCTTTTTTCAGAGTCTTCTAGAATCCCTTTTCCTTTAGGGCCAGTGAACAGAGCTTTAAGCGTGACTCATCGGATCCCCTGCTCTTTAAGAAACATGATCAGATTCTCCACAGTACTCCCACCACCTACACACGCGACAAAACATTCAAGAAGCCAGTGACCGGGATCACCACCCACTCAAACTGTCTGTGTATGAGCACACTGACACAATTATATCTAAAACAAAAAAAATAACTCACAACCTCATGAATGTTCTAAATTGAGGCAATACTTTTAGTGTGTGTGTTTTTTTTTACCTGATAGTTGGCAGTCTCAGACACCTTCACATCAAGCGAGCCAGACAGAACAGCATACCAGCTAGTGCCAATATCTCCCTGTCGATACACTGGGGGTGGAGGGGGGGGGTGGGAGGGATGTCTCAGTGGGTAATCTAGTTTGCACCTTTTTTTTTAAATTTTAGATACAATATTTCCAGTAGGTCTGAAGCCAACACAGCGCACGGCTTTCACTTACAGGTGATTCCTTTCTCCAGGTATTCATAGAAGCCACACAGACAGATTTGCTGCAGGAGGTTGGGGTGAAACTTCTCAAAGGCCTTCACCACCTTCAGCCTGGCCAGAATGATGTCCACATCCTCCCCTGAGCGCTCTGCTGGCCTGAGTAGCACAAATAAATACGCATACACATACACAAATACACAGCACATATACATAGTTAGAAGAGCAAGGAACATATAGTCAAGCCAGCAGTGTCATCATTTATATAGAACTTAATGCAGTACACCATGTTACACAAACTGCCATTCTTAATATTTCACATCTTAACACACACAACCGTGCTCATACATGTGAGTTACGCAACAATGGATAGTCTACATGCATATTTTTTGGTTTTTACAACAAGGAGAAGGAGGTGGGAGAGGCAGGGTGACAAGTTCAGCTGAAAGGTTTATAAAACAAACATCATAAAGAAAAAAAAATACACAAAAAAAAACACATGGTAGAAAATTACCACTGCTCTATTAATAGCCTCTAGAGTTCTTGAATGGAATAATATAAATTGTGCCATTTAGCAGTTACTAAGCAGACACTGCAGTTGTAGTTGGAAATGTGACGCATATAGTACCTTCTATAAGGTGTTGCATGATCTGTGGATTGTTTAATAGTGGACAAGCCGATGGGCCAAATTTTTAGAGATTTTACTTAGATTAGACCAAACAGAATCCCAATCTAATGGAAGTTCAATACATTAAAGCACTCGCTCCCATAGTTGTTCAGCTGCCAACTGCTCAACGGCATGGTCTGACAGGAATAGTCTACATCTGTTCCCAACTCACTATTAAGAGTGAGTGTGTACATACACTGTGTAAATGCATCATACGTTGTCTCTAAGACAGGACCCTCATTACATTCTCTGCATCAGGGACATCAGTATGTTGCCACAGAGATGGTAACTTAAGGTGATGCTAGAGACAAGAAGAGCTCATCAAATACTCTCACTCACATTAGCAGAAAGATTTACACTGTATGCATTTTTGCAGTTTTTCAATTGTTTTTAAAGGTCGAGACGGGTTTTGCTTGCTGTTTTTGTTTTTGTGCAGGGCAGTCCAGGCGCCACTGTCAAGTGGCCTAAGTCAAGAGTGTTTTTTTCTTTGCTCACCAAACAGATAAAAGCTAAGGCAGGTCTTCAGTGACATGGACAATGCTTGTTAGGTAGTAGCAGATCACTTTCTAAAAAGGCAAGTGCCTGAAATTTCTGCCTATACGATATAATGACAGCTAGCCAGCACAGCTGATTGACAGTTATGAAGCTTTTGTAGCAGTACAAAGAAAAAAAGACAGTGCAGTACACCTCATGTTTTTCAGCCTTCGGGAAAATGCAATGTTACTCCAATGCAGTAGCCCACACGTAAGAGAACAATAGATTACCAAGCAGAAAAACATGTTTACAGAAGCAATGGTTACTAAATACTATACCAAGAAACACTATTCTATTATACTGCTGATGTTAAAGGTCCTGACCAGTGTTGAGTGCTGTATTATTTTCTCTTCTCTAGGTCACCTGATTGAGTTCATGGAGAACAATTATGCCCTGCTGATGCTTTGAATAAAGTGTTGTGTATTATACTGAGTTAGCTCTATTCATATACTGTCATTTGTAAAGCTGTATAACATTCTGTATGTTATCATGTAAGGAAGAGTAGCTGTCCTGGCTAACAGGCATCTAAATAAGCCAATAATGATAATCATAACTTCTATCAGCCCCCAGGCCATCTTATAGATCTTCAAAAACTATAGACTTAGTACAAAACTGTCTAAAACAAGATGCCTCTTTATCAGAGGTTGCTTTGCTTACAACATAACTGATGATTCTTTTATACGCCCCTCTGCTTGGCTGTACTTAATCAAATTACCACAGGCAAAGCCATAAGCCTAAGAATGCATCATGTACTATATGACGAATTCCTGTACCAAGAACATGTACAATGTCAAAGATATAATGTGTATTCTAAATTATGGTCCAGTGGAGTTACTGCAAAGCATGGCAATTTGTGTGATTTGTATTTGTTCATTTGCCTGCAGGTCACAGTGAGGCATAACATGTTGACCTGAGTGATCCTGACCAGTCATTCTGCATTCTTCAGAGTGTGTTTGTGAGTGTGTGTGTTAAAGGCCAGGCATTATGTGCTTGGAGTCAGCGGTGTGGAAACAAGAACACATCCACTGGGCACAGAATTGCAAGTGCATTTCAGATCCCCACCAGAGTAAAGCCATCTCTTGCTATTGCCTGCATTCCCTCTCTCTCTGTCTTATTACAATTGCATTGCTCACCAGCACTTCTACTATTGTGAATTGCAAAATCAACTAAATGGTCTTTTCTAAAATCTTCCTTTCCCTTCTCCCTCCATCTCTCTCAGATGTGTTCATATATACTACTGGGTCTGCCATGCTATGTAGTCCCCATCCCTTTTGCTTCAGACAGCTGATGTAAATGCACCACCCCACCCCCTCTGCCTGATCTCAGGGCTGCAGGGATATTTGCTCAGACAGGTATCTCAACCTATCTCACAGTCTGTAGAACAGAGGTTAATAGGCTGCATCAAACCCCAGTTGAACCGATTCCTTGTCCAACCCATAGGATTAGCCTTCACTGCTTCATTTCACGATACTGTCAAAAATGTATCGGTCAATCATTTACAACAGACATCTCAGCATGCCATAAATGAAATGGCTAACTGATAAATAAATAAATACTTGTTGAGAAGAATGTACATTTTCCACAATACTGCCTGTATTAAGAAGGCAGATATTTTCTGCTCTGAACAGACACAATTTAGTGAGTCTCTGAAGTGCAGCGGCAGCTTGAGCAGCACAGAGCTCAGCATCAGGGGGGCACTTCTGTGCTGTGGGCGCTGATCTTGAGTGTAAAGGACTGGTGCTGAGTGCTCCAGAGTTAAGTGCATGGCCCTGAAAGCAAAGAAATCCGCTGAATGAATATGATATTGATTCGTTTAAACATGATCTCCTTTTGATAGGTTTAAAGACTCAATAGAAGACATCAGCTGCTGCCAGGCCAATCTCACCAGCTAGAAAGGTGATCTCACACTTCCTCATATTGCCATGGTAACCTGCGTGTGCTAAGAAGGGGCTGGGGTTCGGAGTGAGAAGGGGGGCCAATGCAGCACATCTTCACAGTGAGAATGAGACACGCAGCCACGCGGAATTCAGTGAACAGATAAAGATTTGGCCATTAACCTTAACAGCACCTTGAAACTTCCCTCCTCGCTTATTTGCTTGAATTACAAAGGGGTCTCCACTTTTAGTCAGTCTCTCTGTCTCTCTCTCACACACATACACACACAGTCTGGTGCATGCTTGTGTCCCTGCAGCATCACAGCCACTTCTGCTGGCCGCGAGACATTTAGCCTTACACACGCTAGAAAATCGTGAACGTGGCGTTTCAGTTTGGGGAATACGCAAGTGCTCGATTAAAAATCACGTACCGTTATTAGAGATAGTCAGCAATGCCAAATAGCCTAAAACAAGCAGTTTCTGAACGCGCATTTAACAGTCTTGCATGGACAGCATGGTAAAACAGGCAAAATCATCAAACGTCCACTTATAAACGCACAACCATGCTGCAATAACAGCGGACGGCGATGGCGGATTGGCATCACGCTGTCCACCTTGTTGCTCGAACGAAGGGGTGCAAATCGCAGTGGCAAAGCACCTACATGGATTTTTGCTCACCTCTTGTCAAGGCAGACAATCCACTCGGTGGAGGCAACTGACTGGGCGGAGGTGTACACCGCTACCATCTTCGGCTAGACTGCTGTGTATCGTAGACGCTTTAGCAAGCTACTCTACGCTACATCAGCCTGCTTTAGTCTACGAGGGGTTTGACAGCCCCCCCCGCACCTCCTAGCACCCCTCCCTCTCAACCACTGCCGTTGACTGCAGTGGCGCGGATTCAGTTTCGCTATGTTAGCTCACAGAAACAATAGCACCGTCCGGCAGGAAAGCTACTTCAAGGTGTCATAAAAATTGGGTATAGGTCATGTTTTCATGAACAAATGAAAACCCTAAAGGATGCATTATAAACGATAAACACGGTCAGGCTGCGTTGCTTTTGGCAAAGTTTCACACCTAATTAAACACACTAGCTGATCTGCGGGTCAAGGACAGCATGTGGTCGTGAAGGACCATGGCCATAAGCATTATCCCTGTGCTGGTGACTGTAGCAGGTGTGTACTGACACAGGGGCAGCTGCCCCGAAAACGGGTCGAGCGGTGGTGCCGAGGCGGGTCAGTCGCTACAGTAATAGACTGTCGCCGTGGTGACAACCTAGATGCTGCAGCAGCAGAGAAAGAAGAGTGGGCGGGAGAGGAAGTGATGAGATGCTGTCAGGCACAGCGTCCTGCCCTGGAGGAGGTCAGGCTAAAATAAAGCAGTGGTTCGGACAATCAAATTTGCACAGTTTACTCGAAATGGACATGATCAGCCAAGGCATGTTTGCACTGGAGCATATATATATATATATATATATATATATATATATATATATATATATATATATATATATAACCTATATGTAGGTTAAATGCAAGATGCACTATACATGTTTTAGGTATCCTAACCATTAATGTGTTTAGTGTCTCTGCTGAGTAGTCAGTTGGGTTGTAACAAAACAACTTAAATTGCTGCCAACTGAGTAGTTTTTCTCAAAACTGTTGTTCAAATATGTGATTTAAAAAGTTTTCTTTTACACTTAAGCTTGTGATCATTAATATTATGTATTACAATGTCATGAAACTTCAAACATTAAAAAAATGATATAAACATTTGAACCAAATTTAAAAAATTAACTTTAAGAGTTTATATGATGTATACTATATACTTATACTTTATTTAACTTAAAATTTGAGTGTGTTTAACTCCATGTATAATTTTAGGCCATTTAAAAACTGAGTTTCAAAACTTCATTCATTTAAGGCAACAAGTTGCAAATGTGAATGAATGAATGAATGAATGAAAGAGTTGTCAGTTAACAAAATCTTTAATTATTTTTATCAGTATTTGACCAGGACACAATTGTTCTTATTTTGGTTTTATATCCTGGCCATTGTACAACCCCATTTCCAAAAAAAGTTGGGATGCTGTGCAGAATGTAAATAAAAATATAATGCAATATGGTTATATGGTTAAATCATGTTAGCCATATTTTTAAAGGGAAATACTACAGAGACAACAAATTTGATGCTAACAACACATTCCAAAAAAGTTGGGATGGGGGCATGTTTACCACTGTGTTTTATCACCTCTTCTTTTAACCACACTCTGTAAGCGTTTGGGAACTGAGGAGACCAACTGCTGTAATTTTGAAAGTAAAATGCTTTCTCGTTCTTATTTCATATAGGATTTCAGGGACTCGACATTTCGAGGTCTTCTTTGTTGTATTTTTCATTCCATAATGCGGCAAATGTTTCAGGCATATGAAATGAATGTGACAGGCCTAACAAGCCAAGTGGTCTTTATCCCAGAGTGGTCTTTATCCCACTTTATCACAGCGTCCATGATTTCCAAAAAGAATTTCAAATGTTGATTCGTTAGACCACAGGACACTTCTCCACTTTGCATCAGTACATTTTAAATGAGCTTGCGATATGGTCCCTAAAGATATGGTCTCTTAACAATTCACCCTTTGTTTCCTTGCATAGTCATGAAAGGCGTCAACACCATCAACACTGAAAAAATTACAGGAGAGGATAGTTTGGACCATTTTTTCTGAAGCTTGTGATCCCAATCACTTTGGAACGCATTACATGTATTTTAACCTATCTATTTTATCAAGCAGAATTACCAGTATCTGGAAAACAGGCCATGCAGTTCCACTTCACAAAGGAGGTGATACCTCAGATCTTAATAACTACAGACCCATCTCAAATTAGTCATGCTTAGCCAAAATCTTAGAATCCGTAGTGAACTTAACACATTTCTTCATGAAATTCAGTTTTGTCAGACTTCCAATCTGGTTTTAGAGATCAAAGCACAATCTCTGCTGCTACTCTCAAGTCATTATATTTCGAGAAAAAAGTTGTGATATTTCGAGAAAAAAAGTTGTAATATTTCAAGGATAAAGTGGGCTAAGTGTAGGGGGCTGCCATAACGGGTTGGGGTCTTGGTTGCTGTACTGGCGTGCCAGAGTTCCACACACTCCTGTCTGCTTGTGGATCGATCATTTTGATTACCATTCTCATGGTCTGTGAAACTTCATGACCTCTTTGAATGGCGCGGAGATGTAGCCACCGATAGCCTTGTAGACGACCCTGCCTGCAATTCTCCTTCAACAAACAGACAGACGGTTTCCTCCGAGTCTGGTTCTTTATTCTAAATGAACAGTTGCCGTTTCAGCCATTTCTTATACTAATAACAGGCTGGTGCTGATGTGTCAGGAGTATTTCTTTATGGGTGAAATCGATATGAAAGTATAACTCCGCCCCTCATTTTAACAGCAGGAGGTGCTACCTTCCCTTTGCAAAGCTTTTGGCCACAATATTGCAACCTTTCCTGGTATTAATGCCACTTTAATGTTGTAATTCTACGACTTTATTCTTGAAGTCTACTATTTTTATTTTTATTAACAGTGACCCTAAAACGCCGTCGTATGGTTCAACGTCAGTGCAGCAGTGTAAAATTTTGGGGGTGCCTATGTCAACATAAATGATGCAACTAACCTAACTTTGTGTACATAGACCACAATATAGAAATATGTACACATATGCACTTGTGACTGGCATGTGTCTTTTTTCTCAATTTATACAAACAATATTTCATTTTATAGTAAATTATTTTTTTTTGCTAGTTTATGTTTATGAACAGAGACCTACAGATGCAACATAGTAAAGGAAAACTCATTTGTGAATCTGTGTTTGAAGCAAGTTTTCTTTAAACTTAAACTTGTAACTAAGTTGCAAATAAATCTTAAACTAAACTTTCCATAGCCTCTTGGTTCTACCTAATGGAAATTGTTTTGTGCTTATAATTTTAGTAGACATCAGTGACAGACTAATTAATGACATTCTATTAAAAGATTGGTTTACCAAGAGTGACACTGGAGTATTTTCACTTAATATGAATTAATGAAGCTAGAGTCATGTTACAAAAATGATCATAAGACATTAGAGTCTTTTAGTACTTTTACTTTTGATACTTAAGTACATACATACATACATCCATCATCTAAACCACTTATCCTTCTGGGTCGCGGTGGGGTGCTGGAGCCTATCCCATCCTTCTGGGTCGCGGTGGGGTGCTGGAGCCTATCCCAGCTGTCACTGCGCGGAAGGCAGGATAAACCCTGGACAGGTCGCCAGTCCATCGCAGGGCAGACAGACATATACATACATGGGAGGAAACCGGAGTACCCGGAGGAAACCCACGCAGACACGGGGAGAACATGCAAACTCCACACAGAAACAACCCTGGCCGCCCGGCTGGGAATCGAACCCAGGCCATTCTTGCTGTGAGGCAACAGCGCTACCCACTGCGCCACCGTGCCTCCCTACTTAAGTACATTTGAAGGCAAATACTTTTGTAGAGGTCTAAAGGGAGGACTTCTATATTTTACCTTGGGTATCTCTACTTTAACTCAAGTACATGATTTGTGTACTTCATCCACCACTGGTTAAAGCTGTATCATGCAAAGAAGAAATCATATATAAACAGGACCCAGAAACGCTGCCAACTTCTCTGGGCCCAAGCTCATTTAAGATGGACTGAGGCAAAGTGGAAAAGTGTCATGTGGTCCAATGAAATTCTTTTTGGAAATCATGGACACTGCATCCTCCACACTAAAGACCTCCCAGCTTGTTATTAGTTCTAAAGCTAGCATCCATGATGGCACGGTGGAGCATTAGTGCACATGGCATGGGTAACTTGCACATCTGTGAAGGCACCATTAATGCTGAACGAAATATACAGGTTTTGGCAACATATGCTGCCATCCAGACAGTGTCTTTTTCAAAAAAGACCTTGCATATTTCAGCAAGACAATGCTAAACTACACTAGCATCCACCACAATAGCATGGCTTTGCAGAAGAAGAGTCCAGGTGCTGAACAGACCTGCCTGTAGTCCAGACCTGTCACCAATAGGAAACATTTGCCACATCATGAAACGAAAAATCCAGCAAAGACCCAGGACTGTTGAGCAGCTAGAGTCCTACATCAGACAAGAATGGGACAACATTCCTCTCCTAAAACTATATAAATGAGTTAACATGAGTTAACATTTTTCATGAAATGGTAAAATGTCTCACTTTCAACATCTGATATGTGTTTTATGTTCTGTGAATAAAATATGGGTCTATGAGATTTGCAAATCATCACATTCTGTTTTTATTAACATTTATTTACATTTTACAGCGTCCCAACTTTTTTGGAATTGGGGTTGTGTATATATATATATATATATATATATATATATATATATATGTGTGTGTATATATATATATATATATATGTGTGTGTGTATATATATATATATATATATATATATATATATGCATATATAGCACTGCTGTCAGAAAAAAAACATTGTATCTCCAAAATGGTAACTTTACAGGAGAAGGAAAAAACGTTTTACTTTTAATGTAAGTCAATGTAACCAGATATTTTTCCAAGTAATTTTGGACCTTTCTTACGATCCATTGAAATTTATACATTATGTAACGGGCAACAGGCACTTTCACGTTATGTCGAAAGCTGAAAAATGATGCAATGATGTGCAGATCATTTAAACCCTATATTTCATTTAAAATAGTACAAAGACAACAAATCAAATGTTGAGACTGAGAAATTTAATTGTTTTTTGAACAATATATGCCCATTTTGAATTTGATGGCATCAACACGTTTCAAAAAAGTTGTAACGGGGGCACCACTGTGTTTCATCACCTCTTCTTTTACTTCTTCTACTCTGTAAGCATTTGGGAACTGAGGAGACCAATTGCTGTAGTTTTGAAAGTGAAATGTTTTCGTATTCTTGTTTGATATAGGATTTCAGCTGCTCAACAGTTCAGGGGCTCATTTGTTGTATTTTTAATTTCATAATGCGCAAAATGTTTTCAGTGGGTGACAGGTCTAGACTGCAGGCAGGCCAGTTTAGCACCTGGACTCTTTTAATACAGAGCAATGATGTTGTAATACATGCAGAATGTGGTTTTACATTGTCTTGCTGAAATAAACAAGGCCTTCCCTGAAAAAGACGTCATCTGGATGGCAGCATATGTTGCCAAAACATGTATATATCATTTAGCATTAATGGTTCCTTCACAAATGTACCAGTCACCCATGCCATGTGCACTAATGCACACCTATACTATCATGGATGCTGGCTTTTGAACTGTGCGCTGATAACAAGCTGAGTGGTCTTTAGCCCGGAGGACACAGTGTCCATGTTTTCTAAAAAGAATTTCAAATGTTGATTTGTTGGACCACAAGGCACTTTTACACTTCCCCTCAGTCCATTTTAAATGAGCTTGGGCCCAGAGAAGGCGACAGCATTTCTGGGTCCTGTTTATATATGGTTTCTTCTTTGTGTTTTGTGAGCCTGCATTTGTGGATGCAACGCCAAACTATTTTCACAGACAGTGGTTATTTGCTATCTTACATTGAAAAACATTATTGTTGACTCTTCACAGAGTGGTGAACCTCATCTTTCCTTCTGAAAGACTCAGCCTCTCTGGGATGCTCATTTTATACCCAATCATGTTACTGACCTGTTGCCAAACAACCACCAGGTGTTTTTTATCATTACACAACTTTACCAGCATTTTGTTGCCCCGTCCCAACTTTTTTGGAATGTGTTTTTGGCATCAAATTCAAAATGGGCAAATATTTTTCAAAAAAAACAATAAATGTTCCCAGTTTCAACAATAAATGTTTCCCATTTGATTTATTGTCTTTGTACTAATTTCAAATAAATATAGGGTTTAAATTATTTGCACATCATTGCATTTTGTTTTTATTTACATTTTACACACCGTCCCAACTTCTTTGGAAATGGGGTTGTATATATCATTGTCTATTTTATCAGCTCCACTTACCATATAGATACACTTTATATATGTACATTTACAGACTGTCCCAGAGGACAAAAATTCTTTCTTACAATCGTCTCAGAGAAATAAAGTTGATCTCAATATTGTATTAATGAAGGATCACTGATTTTTGAATTGTTTCTCCTAAACCCCCCTCAGGAGAAAAAAGGAGATTAATCAGCATTTCACTGTGAGAAGTTCCGGTGATGAATGAGAAATATTATTCAGCTGAGACTGGGGTGAGATGAGTGAGACACTGAAGAGTTAAGCCGCATGTGTGACACCATTTTGATCAAGGTGAAAAATCTGAGGATTAATTCTCAGAGCCAAATTTCAGAAACAGGATAAAATGGCATAAGTCTTATTCTGATTTCAAACTGGACTTAACCATGTCTAGGAGAAGTACCTGAGATCAAGAGGAGATCTCATTTAGAATATTTCTTTCCTCTGGAGTAGTCCATCTGTTTCTTTGCATAATTTGTTAGCCTTCAGACAACAAACATGTCTTGCCTGGAGTAAGTGCAAAACTATGTAAACCTGATTTTTGGCCAACCAATTGCTTTAATAAGCTATGTCATGAAAATTGATTGATATTAATTGATACTAATGTAATCTATTTGGATAGTAGACAAGAAAGCTTGTAACTGTAATGAAGGAACTTTCTACTATATCAGTGTTTACAGGAAACTTGCTCAACGCAGGTATTTCCATGACAAAAGAAAGTGATATACACTTCCACCGAGAAAGTAGAAGCATTTTCCCATACTCTCACTTAACTTAGTTAATAGAAACAATAGCTCATAGTCTTGCTTTAACACTAGACATCATTGAATTGAGGGCAAAGAACAACTCTTTTGAAACTGCCCTGTTAGTTTCACAAGCACAAGTTCAGAATGTGGAAATAATGCAGGGCTAAGACATTTTCTCTACAGCTCAATGTACAAGCAGTAAGGGCAGAATAATGACTCTGAGATCCATGATTTGAATGACTAAAATTTAGTTGAAAATCACTCAGAGAAACGTAAAAATACAGCATCTTTTCAACAGTTACCACCAACAGCAAGATACATTTCTAAATAAACACATTATCTTACTGTGAGCACAGTAACCCATATATATATATATATATATTACTCATTACTACATATAGTACTACATACTGTTACATTACTACATATAATATATCCATATATTCCCATTAGATCCATTTCAGCTTCCATTCAAGGCCTCCTGCTCCTTCTGCCTGTATATAATGTCCCCTTTTCTCTAATGCTTTTTCTCCTAAGGAATTTTAGGATAAATCACCTTAAAGTCTTCTGAGCCACCAAAGAGCAACATTTGAGCAATACAATTTCCTCTGTGGCAAAAACACGGTTTAGCTTGGTCATACAAAAAAGAACCTTCCACACTGCTAAGCATAGCAATGGATGCATGACCTTGCAAGGGTCTTCGGAACATTGGTAGGATACACGGCATCATTAACTTTCTTTTCCATATTTCTTTGACACTTTAGAGAAGTACTGAATGTCTTCCAGTAGGACAGTGCATTCCATTAAATGTAATGTCCATTCTAGTCTTCCAACATAAACACCATTGAAAAGGTGTAGGATGAGCTGAAGTGGAGAATACACAAGTGAGGATCTGGAAATATTCTCCAAGGAAGTTATTACTTATTACTTATTAAGGTAAACAAGTGAAATTGATACAGCATATTTGATTAATATAAACTGACGCTGATTCTGGAGGGCACTGTACGCTGCACTCATCTTACTGACTGTACCATCAAGGGCAGCTATCCAGCAAACTTTTTTTCTTTTGAGTTTCACCTGACCCTCCTAGTCACATGGCGAACTGAGAAGGTATTTGGGACCCCTAAACATTGGCTCATATAATACAGCATACAGTGGTTCCTTACAATGTTTCAACAAGTGTAGTCCACAAATAGTCACTGTTCAGTCTGGAGGGCAGCTGCTGTTGAGACGCTGCGATGGAATGCAGCCATTAGGTTTTGGCAGTCTTCTATAGACGAAATAGAAGGGCTTGGGGTGAGTGCGGCTGTGGAACTCAGCTTTGATACACTGAGGGTATGTGTCTGGGGCCAGTTGTTGGCTGCTGTCATCCGTGAGAAGGAAGAGAGCATAGTTTTCTGGGTCAGCCACACGGAATTTGTGGGCACAGAGGCAGCAGACTTCCTTGGCTGTAGTACAGGGGCGCACTTGCAAAGTTTTAGCTGTGCAGCCATTGTCAACCTCTTGCAGAGCCACTCGCAAGTAATTCTGAACATACATAAACATACAGAAAACAGTTAAAGTATATCAATTTAAAATATACACAACAATCTGCAGTTAAGCACTTGTGAAACGTATGAGCACTTCAATTTCCTGTGTCCTGGAATCAGTGTAATACATATACAATACTGTAATCACTGCAAGCAATACCTGGAAGTCTTCTACAGTGGGAAGATTTTTCTGGATTGTACGTCGTTGGTGCCACTGGTGCAGTGTATTGCGAGAGGTAGAGCTGAGAACACAAGCAGCCTGCTCTTCCTTGAAGTTCTTAATCAGTGACATGGCTCCATATGCACTGGTAAGATAGTATCCACCTAGAAAACATAACACAGATGTGGCAGTTATTCACATGATCATACCCACACAAATACACTTGTATGTGACACAATTTGGAAAACTCAGCATACTGCGGCATAGGTGGTGAAAAGAAGCCAGAGCAAACCACTATTTCTGCCTAAGTAAGTGCTCTTTTATTGAACAAATCAGAAAAGGCCACTGAATAACAGTGAGTATAGTGGGGAAGGCCACTTCTAGCTATAGCACTTCCATCTATGGTAGAAACTAAACCCACACTAACTAACCCACAGCCCAACACAATAAGACATAGTCAACGCATAAACACATCTTAAACTAACAAACAAGAACATTAAGAACAAAAACAAATGTCCTTTTAACGAAGGGGGAGGAGGCACGCGGCACAGCTTTGTGCACCACGCACCCAAACCCCCTTCTGAAACACGGAGCAAGTGGCAGACGCCATATGCCCCCCCTTTAAGGATCAAAAAAAGTCCCTGAGATGTGAGGGAGCACATCACCCCCACTGCAGTCTCTCTGCAGTAAGGGTTTTGGAATGTCCTTTGTCTTGGTCAACACAAGTGCTGCGGGGTACCCACTCCCTAGCCATAGTCTCTTGTTCGCAGGGTCGGTATGGGGCAAGTCTGTCTCTGTGGACTATAACATATCCTTCAGCGACAGGAGCCGTCCCTTCCTGCGGCGCAGGTTGTATAGTCACACCTGTGACTAGGGCTGACCCTGGCAATGTGAGTCATATGCCTGTTTTTGGTGAGCACTGGATGTGCCCTTGTGGTTCCTAGCGAGCTGGTGTATGGCATGGAGACAGTGGTGGAGCTCAGCATACCCTGCTAGGGGTGTGCTGCCCTCTTCCGACTTTGGTGCGCAACCAAAAACCAGCCCCACGGACGTCTTGAGCTCGCTGCTAAACATAAGAAGAACTGGGGTGAACCCAGTCGACTCTTGCATGGTGGAGCGGCACACCAGCAGGACCGGAGGTAGGTGCTGGTCCCAATCCCGCTGATGCTGGGCAGTGACAATAGCAGGGTAAGTAGCAAGCACTGATTAAAATGCTCTATGAGGCTGTCGCTCTGAGGGTGAAGTGGTGTAGCCTGAGTCTTGCAAATGTCCAGCCAGTCACAGGCCTTAGCCATGATCACCAACTTGAAGTTCAAATAATCCATGGCCACAAGAATACAGTGGTTCCCAGCGTTGGTGGTGGGGAAGGGGCAACTGTTTCCATCGGCTGCAGTATGCAATGACTCTTTCATTACATTCCTGTACTTGCAAGAGGATGGTGCCAATGCTCTTAGCTGCACTTTTTCAGGTGCAGTCAGAGGTTACTGTAAACTGCTATAGTCCAGCACCTGCCAATACCTGCTCCACAAGTCCAATGAGCTGAACCAATGTGGAGCTGGTGAGCTGATCCAGGGCGTCATCAAAGCATGGCAGCAGATACGAGTCATCTTGGCTTTGCTGCAGGAGATTTTCTAACGTAACATAAGAGGAGGTGGCACACCTCTGTTTAGCATCGGGAAAAAGCATAAGAGCTGGGTCTGGCAATCATCTCAGACTTGGTAAGTGGTAAGCCAATCATATAAGACCTGGAGGAGGGTCTCTGGTACTACTTGCTTTAACACTGATCGATAACCACTGAAGCTGTGACAGGATTTGGGCTTGAAGCTTTCTAAAATAATCATTAGGCCTTATCCAAAATGCATCATTTAGTTCTGAGATAAGTGTGTTGGCTTAAACATTTTTTAAAATCCATTCATGGCAGAGATGCAGAGATGTGTCTTATTTTTTTCAGTTTACCATTTTACCATTATCAACATTACATATAAAAAAAATCAGAAGACGTGTAGGTTCACTGGTCATTTTGGATAGAAAATTAAAAAGACTAGATTTGCATCACAAGACATCACAACCCCTGGTTCCAACACTTTGAAGAAATCCAAGTCAGTAAGTTTCTCTACAGTGCACCACACTTGTTTGTGCATTAAAGTTCCTTAGGGGACTTATGCGCTTAAATCAGCATAAACAAATTATTGAAAGGTTGCATGTATAAACTTAATATTATATATATTAATTGTTAAGATAATACAAAATCATCTAAGATAATACAACACTAAGGATCATGTATACCCGCATTCCTTAAAAACTTTCTGACCACTTCTGACCACTGCCTTTTGAGAACAGGAGACCAACACCCAGGTGGAAATGAGTCTGTAAAGGAAGTGCCTTGGACTGTAACAATGCACAGCACAGACAACCCCCTAAGGTTTCTGAAACCCTTCCGGTATCCAAACACTTACTACTGGAAAACACTGAGATGGCTGGCTCCTACAAGTTCCTGCAAATTTCTTTTTTAGGCTTGTACAAATACAATAGCGTCTAAAGCAATCAGATTATCTGAACGCATCCTGACATCCCATGTCTTATCTACAGTCGGGTCTGCAAATGTATGGACATTTTTATTGTTATTGTAGCTTCAACCACAGCATACTATGAGACTTTCAGTTTTAACTTTAAAGTATTTACATTCAAATCTGGTGAACAGTGTAGGAATTACGACCATTTTCATAAATAGCACTCCCCATGTTCAAAGGCTCAACAGTAACAAAATAAAATCATAATCATAAATTGAATGGTAATTTTTAATACTTAATACTCCTAGACATCATCAGACAGACAATGTTTTTTTCTCTGATGATGCTCTGCCAGACCTTTTACTGCAGCTGTCTTCAGTTTCTGCATGTTTTTGGGGTGTTTTATCTTTAGTATTGCCTTCAGTTAGTGAAATGCATGCTGGATTGGATGGAGGTCAGGTGATTCACTTAGCTATTGCAGAATATTCTACTTCTTTGCCTTATAAAGTCTTGGGTCGTTTCTGCACTGTGCTTCTGTCCATCTGTCCATCTGCACTGTAAAGTGTCATCTGATGATATAACCTTATACACTTCAGAAGTTATCCTGCTGCTTTGGTCAGCAGTCGCATCAATATCAATAAATAAAAAGTAATTGGCTCCACTGGCAGCCACACATGCCCACGCCATAACACTACTTGCACCATGCTAGACAGACGAGGTGGTATGCTTTGGATCATCAGCAGTTCCCTCCTTTATCCATGTTCTTCTCATCATTCTGGTACAAGTTGATCTTTTTCTCATCTGTTCTTAACTGTACTTTTTTAAAAATGTTTTTATTGGCAAATTCAAATCTGGTCTTCCCATTTTTAAGGCTTACCAATGGTTTACATCTTGTGGAGCGTTGTGAAGAGTTTTTTCTTCACCAGGTAAAAAATTCTTATGTGATCCACCACAGTTGTTTTCTATGGTCTTCTGGGTCTTTTGGTGTTTCTGAGCTCACTAGTGCATTCATTCTTGAAGAATGTAACAAATAGTTGATTTGGCCACATCTAATGTTTTTGTTCTCTCTCAGATGGTTTTATTTTTCAGCCTAAGGATGGCAATGACAGCTCTTTGGACTTTATATTGACAGTTAACAGCGACAGATTCCCAGTTCAAATGCCACACTTGAAATCAACTCTAGGCATTTTGTAAAATGGCCACAGAACAGCTAAGCAAACAACTCTCCTATTAAATGTAGTAAAATGGATGTAAATCCAACACCGTTCACCCAATTTTGATGTCAGTACCCTCAAATTAAGCTTTAAGCTTGTTAACAATAACACTTATGTACTTGACTGTATGTATAGGTATTGGTAAGTAAAAGAGCAACTGAGAAAGCAAACACAATTGTATCCACAAGTCAGTATGGGGACAGTGGGGAGGTCTACCTTCTCCATGCAACAGAGAGGGGTCCAGGAGCTCCATCATATATTGCACCTCTGTGTCCAGCTGTGGCATGTCACACTGAGCCAACACATAAGTCAACATGGGAAGGAAGTCATCAGCCCCAAACATCCTCCCTGCCACTGTTACATAGAGAAGGAATGCATTTCCAACAGTAAGTACTTATTTTCCTAATTTAACATGCAGTTCTCCATCATTTAACCAATGCATTCATTGTGTAATTATTGAGATTTCAAACTCTCTGACTGACTGACACACACACACACACACTCACGCACACACACACACACACACACACACACACACACACACACACACTCCAGACCCCCACATTGCCCTGCTCACCCGAGTAATCCTGCAAGACAGTGTAGATGAGCTTGCATACACGCAAAAGCACCATGACCTTCCTCTCTGGCGAGTACATCTTGCACATGGAACGGAGTTTGCGTCGGATTCTCTCAATGGCATGAGAATCTGGAGGCTGGGCTCCGTCTACTCCAAGCTCTTTTGGTTGCTTGGCCCTGGCCAAGGCCAGATTCTCTTGCAGCTGTTCCCATGCACCACTGCTGACCTGGAAGTCATGCAGGGCAGCCTCCAGTGAGCCATGCAGAGGCTTCAACACACATTTATGCATGGCTTTTTCCAGCACTGCATCTAAGAGGAGAAATGTGTACAATCATTCTCTAATTACACTCTCAAATACACTGCAGTTATAAAGCCAATGGACTAGGGATATAACAATACAACATACTGCACTGAAACTGTTTCACAGCATATGTTTTGTTGTATCATGAACATATTTGCTACAGGCCAGAGCATTGGATTGGAACACTAGAAAGCACAGTATTGTTTTAAATATTGTACTTGAATAATGTTTAATGTTCTAATAAACTGAAGATGAAAACATTTACATATTAACATAGGACCAATTTTTTAGCCACTCCTTATTTTGGTTGTATCAGAAAATGTATCAAATTGAGACACTAATGTATTGTATAGAATTGAATTTTGAATTTTGTGACACGTTACACCCCTACAATTAACCGATCTATGATCCAACCATTCCTACCTTTTGAGTTGTAGTTTAAAAGTCACTAAGTTTCCAATAAATTATTGAGTTAAGATTATGTTAATGTAGCTAATTAAAACATCATCAGTGTTCTGTTAAGTTCATCAGAGCTCACAGCAGAAACACTATCCAAACTGCAAAGGAACTGAATTTCAGACTACCTTAAAATCCATATACTAGGCTCCATATTGCTACTTGATATTTTATTTGCTTTAGATTCATGTACAAAATGAGTTCTGTACTACATCAAGTCTTGGAGTGCAATGAGCATTCTAACACTATCAGATACTGAGCACTGTCAAGGTAAGGGATGAAAATATTAGAAACCATACAATAAAGGCGTGTGTATAATTAGCAAATATTTATTAGCATTATATTTTAGGTATACCTTGCTTGTTCATCTTTGTGTTTTTGAAGCTAAAATCACCCCTGTAGTCCCTTTCAAAAAGACAAAAAGCTCAAGTGAATGTGCACTGTGTAAACCATTCGAATGAACCTTCTTATGTATAGATTAACTTAATTTTTGAGATTATGAATTAGTTTAACAATTACTTTTGTTTTTGCATACTACATAGCTACAAGGAGTTTAAGCAAATATTGCACAGAGCTCCAGAGCTTGTGTTATTTAAGACATTTGCTCTCAGTTGATGAAGAAAAGGCACTCCAAGTCCGCATGTGCTAGCCTTTTGACCCAGTGCTGCATTTCAACAATATGTGTTGTGGTGTTATTAGGGAATGGAATCTTAAAAGTTGGGCTATGGCCACAGGAGGTAGCTTACACAACAGCAGACATTAGAAATGTTTTGAGACCCCACACCCTCATTCCCATGTAATTTCCAATAAATCAGGTCCTCTGAACAGTGAAAGTTTAAATTATCGGTCATTACTGATGCACACAATTGTAAAAGATAATGAAATTGGAGATGCAGAGCAAGTCAACTGAACAGGTATGGCTCTACCTAATAAGAGAAATAAGCAGCTGCTTAGGGCCCCGGTGCCACCCAGGGGGCACGCTTACTAATTCTGGGTTATTACTGGGCCATTATGTTTTCTGCAACTGGTTAATCATGTCTCAAAAAAGCACATATGCACACATGCATCTAGAGCTGAAAAACAGAGTAGAAAGAGCAGACGAGGAGAAGATGTGGAGTGAAGATATGTTGTTTTTTTTTCTTTTGTAGTGTTAATGTTATGCCATTTAATTTGGCTTGTAGTTGAAAAACAAGTAGTTGATCTAGGGTCCATGTGCAAAACAAGGCCCATGGGTCAAGTCAGGCCTGTGACACAGTCCTACTAGGCCTGCGAAATGATTTTAACTTTTTATTCTTATTAGTCCATTTCACCCTGAGATGCACTACAGACTCTAGCATGCACTGCATGGGGATCCCTTTCTCCCAACAACAATCTATGGGCCAGTAGTTACATAAAAAGAAAAGATGCCTGGTGTCTAGTTCAAGCAAGTAGGTAGTTTTTAAAAAATTACCTAAAACAATTTCTTTTCATTTAGAATTACAACCCCATTTCCAAAAAAGTTGGGACACTGTGCAAAATGTAAATAAAAACAAAATGCAATGATGTGCAAATCATTTAAACCCTATATTCATTGAAGTAGTATAAAGACAACATATCAAAATGTTGAAACTGAGAAATTTTATTTAGTTTTTTGAAAAAATATATGCCCATTTTGAATTTGGTGCCAACAACATGTTTCAAAAAAGTTGGGACAGGGGCAACAAAAGGCTGGTAAACTTGTGTAATGCTAAAAAAACACCCGGTTGTTGATTGGTAACAGGTCAGTAACACGATGGGGCATAAAAGAAGAAGTAAATATGGGGAGGGGTTCACCACTTTGTGAAAGACTGCATGATCAAATAGTGCAACAATTGAAGAATAACATTTCTCAGCAGAAAATAACAAAAAAACTTTTGCTTTTCATCATCTACGGTACATAATATCATTAAAAGATTCAGGGAATCTGGAGAAATCTCTGTATGCAAGGGACAAGGCCAATAAACCAGACATGATTCTGTGGAGGAAATCACTGCATGGGCTCAGAAACACTTCTGAAAACCACTGTCTGTGAAAACGGTTCATCACTGCTTCCACAAATGCAAGTTAAAACTTAAAAACGCAAAGAAGAAACCATATATAAACAGGATCCAGGAATGCTGCTACCTTCTCTGGGCCTGAGCTTATTTAAAATGGACTGAGGGGAAGTGGAAAAGTGCCTTGTGGTCCGACAAATCAAAACTTGAAATTCTTTTTGGAAATCATGGACACTGTGTCCTCTGGGTTAAAAACCACTTAGTTTGTTATCAGTGCACAGTTCAAAAGCCAGTATTCATGATGGTATAGAGGTGCATTAGCGCACATGGCATGGGTGACATGCACATCTGTGAAGGCACCATTAATGCAGAACAATATATACATGTTTTGGCAACATATGCTGCCATCCAGATGACGTCTTTTTCAGGGAAGGCCTTGTTTATTTCAGCAAGACAATGCCAAACCAGCTCTACATGTATTACAACATCATTGCTCCGTATTAAAAGAGTCTGGGTGCTAAAAAGAAAAAAAAAGGAATTTTTAATTTAGTTCAAATTTTTTTGATGTTTGAAGTTTCATGACATTGTAGTACATAATAGTAATGATCACAAACTTAAGTGTAAAAGAAAACTTTTTAAAAATCACTCTTAGTTGAGTTACATACTTGAACAACAGTTTTGAGAAAAACTACTCAGTTGGCAGCAATTTAAGTTGTTTTGTTACAACCTAACTGACTACTCAGCAGAGACACTGAACACATTAATGGTTAGGATACCTAAAACATGTAAAGTGCATCCAAACTTGCATTTAACCTACATGTAACAACATCTGAAGACAAGAAAATAGGATCTAACAAACAGAAATCAGCTAACTAGGGGAGCATTAGTGCACATAGCATGGGACGTGCACATCTGTGAAGAAACCATTAATGCTTAAAGATATATACATGTTTTGGCAACATATTCTGCCATCCAGATGACGTCTTTTTCAGGGAAGGCCTTGTTTGCTTCAGCAAGACAATGTAAAACCACATTCTGCATGTATTACAACAGCTTTGCTTCGTATTTAAAGAGTCCTGGTGCTAAACTGGCCTGCCTGCAGTCCAGATCTGTCACCCACTGAAAACATTTTGCGCATTATGAAATGAAAAATACAACAAAGGAGACCCTGAACTGTTGAGCAGCTGAAATCATATATCAAGCAAGAATGGTAAAACATTTCATTTTAAAAACTACAGCAACTGGTCTCCTCCATTCCCAAACACTTACAGAGTGTTGTTAAAAGAAGAGGTGATGCAATGCAGTGTGTAAACATGCCCCTGTCCCAACTTGCTGTTGTTGGCATCAAATTCAAAATGAGCATATATTTTTCAAAAAACTATAAAATTTCTCATTTTCAACAGTTGATATGTTGTCTTTGTATTATTTTCAATGAAATATGGGTTTAAATGATTTGCAAATCCTTGCATTTTGTTTTTATTTACATTTTGCACAGCGTCCCACCTTTTTTGGAAACAGGGTTGTATTTTTGAATAAGTATTCAATGCCTTTTTTGCTTTTGCAGTTTTGGCATATTTTGAATAAACAATGGCCCGTTCAGGTCATTGCAAAATGTTAAGTAAAAATGAAATAAAAACACAGCTGGTTACGGATTTGCTGAGATTTTTTAATATGGCCCTTTTTAGTGGTTGAGTTTGACAGTTCTGATCTAGGGTCTTTCTAAAGAAGCAGATTTAACTTAGACTTTCTGAAGTCTGAGCATCGCAATTAACTTGCTTTATGCAGTTAACAACTTTCACTGTTAATCCAGGTTTAAATACTCAGACTGTATTTAATCCTTATGTGTGTGCACATGAAAGTCTGACATTTATGATGAATAGCCAATCAAATGAAACAAACGAGGAGTTACCAAAGAAACCGAAATCATATTACCTAAATATGAAGAAAGTAAACTATTTATAATGGTTAAAAAAAAACAACACTGTCTCCACTGCCACCATGGTTAGATCAAACTAAGTTGAAAATTAGCTAGGTAAGCAAAAAGTTATGTTTTATGAGACAGACCCCTGAATCTGCCAAACCATGCTACGAAGGTTTTCTGTGACTTATTAGAACCCTGAACGAACATCCAATCATCAAAAATACAGAAATTAGACAGTTATAAATTTACATAATTTAGATAGCTTGTGGTGGTTATACGTTAATCTTTAATGTTACAGTACATCAGCTAGCAAAATATGGGCCTCAAAAAGATCCCTATTGGGGCACCCCTAAGGCTAAAGCTGGCCCTGTAACTTAGTTAGTAATTGTAACATGTTGTGTAGGACATAGTGTAGGAGACAATATGTGATTAGTATGTTAATAAATCTGGTTTAAAACTCATAGACTTAGCATTCAAATGAGCTCACCCTGGCTTCTGACATTTTAAAGAGAGGAGGCCATGTTAAACACATGTAGGCTAACATTTTGAGCTTTAAATCAATATGTAATGATAACACTAACAAAAATATGTCCTGAGTAGCAACTTATAGCCCAAAGAGCAACTTATAGCCCCCATAGCATCATAATATTTTTCAAACACTAATAAAAGAGTATTGGAAGATTATGTCTACATTCTAAAATGCCAATATTACATTTTTCTAGATGCAGAAAGACATGTGGAGGATACAAATTCACTCAATTATAATTATAATTTACACTACTTTGTAATTGTACGAAATAATTACTTTTAATTTAAGGAGAAAGGCCCTGATTGCAATAAAGAGCTGTGATAAAAAAAAGAAAATCCAGAAGAAAATCTGAAATACTTACCAATTTGGTCTTCAGGTATCAGGGATTCAATGGGTGGATTTAGCTCAGAGCCCTGCATTAAGTAGACCTTCATCTGGGTCATAAACTGTCGGATGGTCTGCAGCAGGTCCAAGCCTGACGTGTGACAACTATGGTTCTCCTGCACAAAGCTTACATAGTCCTGTACGAGGCAGCCAAAGTAAGAGCTTTTGTCTCGGGATAGTTCGATAATACGGCGCAAGGCACGTCTCTCAGGGGTGGCCAACACGCCCAGAACTCCCCTGACCTTATGAAAGTGCCCTTTAAGTGCCTGTGGCAAGATCAGAAGTGATCCTGGACGGGCCCCCACAGGTCCCACTGGCAGGAACTTCTTGGAGTTTCGGGAGGTTCGCATCCGCAGCTGCAAGTCCCTCTGAAGTCCTGCACCGTAGTCGTCCTCCTCTTCATCCTCTTTTTCCTCATCACTGCTGTTGTCTGTGGAGAGGCCTCGGTCTGGGCTAAGGGACAGATCTGATTGGTGAGGGTGCGGGGACAAGTCCAGGGAGTCAGATGAGGAGGTGGATGTGTCACTTAGTCCTTGGCATGACTCTCCTTTTCTATCCCAAAGCTGAAGAGCCTCACTTTTATGCCTCAAAGGTGCCTCACAGGCTTGGTTGGCTTGGGACAAAGCCTTGGCTATGTTCTCCTCATCTAGCGCAAAAGTACAGCGGTGATGATCAATGTCCAGCTGCTTTTGTGGCAGAGGCGGCGCTTGGTATTTTTTTAGAGTACTATGCTTTGGCCCCATACAGCCTATGAGTTTGGGTCTCTGCACTGAGCTCTGACTGCTTTTGGCCCATGTAGCAGTCACGGGCATTCTTTTCTGACCTGGTAGCAAAGCTGGACGACAAGGCAGGCGGCGAGGTGGAGGTGGCCTGGGTGGCGGAGTGGGCCGGGATTTGTTGGTGGCCCCCTGTGATTGAGAGTTAGGCTTGAAGGGGTCTTTGTGAGAGCCTGTTATGGCATTCCCTGTGAGCCATCGGTGTGTCTGGAGAAAAAGTGGGTTAAAGAAGGACAGTGGTAGCTCACTGGAGCTACTCTGATCTTTATGAGGAGCAGCGGAGCAGGTACGGGTCAGTGCAGGAGGAGCACACTGCTGACCAGGTAAAACTTTGTGTCCTGATAGGGTCTTACTCTGTGTCCATGTTACCTGACTTTGTGACTTACTCTGTGTCCATGTTATGTGACTTTGTGTCCTTGTTACCAATGGTTCACACTGCAGGGAGCTGGGAAGTTTGTTCTGAACTAGCGAACAAGAACATGCCTTAGAGTCCCAGAATCCTGGCAAAAAACAGAGGCACAATACAACAGAGAAGTAACTAAAGAGTCATGAACTTTTAACAAAATGTCAACAGAAAGTCAGTACAAATACTCACGCTTTTTTCCTTTCTGTTTCCTGGTTAGCACAAGGTATAAGTGTGTTTGTGTGTGTGTGTGAGTGTGTGTGTGTGTGTGAGTGTGTGTGTGTGGGTGTGTGTGTGTGTGTGTGTGTGACAGAGAGAGAGTGAGATTCAAAAGTATCCTCTAATCTTCACAATCTTGAAGGTTTAGAAATGTCAGTGATTTCAGCCTTGCATTACGGTACGCAAGTGCCGATTCACAAGTCCTGAACAAACTGACACATGCTGCTAACACACCCAAAATCTCTGAGTCACTCAAATCCAAACAAAGTTTCTGTGCGGACGAGTGAACTATAAATGCCAGAGAACGCCCCTCCTTTTTCTCCTCCCCCTTTCTACCCATTACATTCAGCTGGCCTAGTTTCGTTCTCTCTGCTTGTCTATAGCAGTCATTTTGCTACAATGATGGACATTCTATAGAAATTGTATGCTTTGCTCAGTTAAACCACAACTTTTTTCTGTATCTTAAAAATTGTCCAAATTTCAAGTAGTACACCTACATGAAATCCTACATGAAACTGAATCTAGATAAATAATTTCTTGAGGGCACATTTCAGAGATCAGAATACACAGTATAAGGAATACAGTGAATACGGCGACTTAGTAAATTTCTAATTGCTTTTAAAAAGTATTTTGTAAAGCAGCAAAAAGTAAAACAAGTTTCACAATCAAATGTGACTGGAACGAAAATTGTACCTAAAATTTATTTTACAAGAAGCATTATCCTGTCTGTCAAACCTCATACAATCACCATTCCCTCATACAGTGTTATGCAAAAGTTTGGGTGTCCTGACCAAATTACATTTTGTTGATTGAAAAACTAAGAAAAAATAAGTACACATCCTCTTTAAAGAACACAGTTTTGCACATTTTAATTCCCAATTACTGTTTATTTGCTGGAAAAAAATACTTATGGTACATTTCCAGCCCCCATCCCAATATGTTAAACTCAGTAAATAAATGGAAATCATGCACAAACATTTGTAGAAAAATGCCATGTTTAAGTTCGCAGTAGAGAATGTTTTAACTTATTTTCACTTCAAAATCAATGTGTCATTTAACTTATGGTGTTCAAATGATTTTATTTATATATATATATATATATATATATATATATATATATATATATATATATATATATACACACACACACATCCACACTTGCACTTTCACTCTGATGCTCATTCCATTTGTGTCACACTTACTTGGCAACACTAATAATAACATGGAATGAGACCATAACAGGAGTGCGACTAACATTGCAGCAATGAAGGCACAGTGAGAGCTCGCTTACAATTTCATCAGCAGACAGCTTTTGCCATGTTACAACTACAAACCGTCTTTCACAACAATTAAATTAATCAGTAAACATGACAAACAACTTACAAAATCATTCTTAAGTCTTATTTGCGACAACTACAATGTTATTATCTGCTACGATATTTTCTGATTAACATTTATAACAGCGTGAACATGATATACGCTAAATCATTTATGCTAAAGGCCAAATACCTGTGGTGTAGGAATAGGAAAGAATACTACTAATGAGTGGAGCGGGTTATTGTTGAGAGCTTTTGTGCTGGCCTGATCCCTGTGCAGTACCTGCTCCTAATGTAGCCATTTTCTCTAGTTCTGCGGGGGCCTTTGCTGAGCTGATGGCTTCAGGAAGCTTCAGGGTGAAGGGCAGAACATCTCTTTAGAGGAAATCACAGGAGACAGCCAGACAGGAAGTGTCAGAAAGGGCAAAAATAAACAAGGGAAGGAGAGCAATAGCTAGAGGTTTGCAAAAAAAGCCTGAATGAATACCACAAAATTATGTCCAGGGGTGTTGTAACAGAGTTCTTTCGCCTAGTTATGGTAGTCTTGCAAAAAGCAGTGGTCTCACTGTTTATAAATTAAGGTCTAAAATATCCCATCTAAATAACTTAAAGGAGAATTCCACTTTTCTCACTGGGTCTTAACTCTATTCTGTAACCCTGACATGTTGTGAGTATTTTCAGGCACATTTCCTGTCCTTGATATTAAAATAAAACTGTAAGTAAAGCAACAAAACCACTTTCAAAAGGTTTTTGCAGCTCAGCAGAATTGCATCCAAATCTGATCTGTTCTGCTGTGTCTAATAATCATTTGCATTTAGCTATTGAAATTTTAAAAACACACACAAAGTAACAATGATTTTTAAGAACTTTACCTGCTGATGCAATAGAAGGCCACAAGGCGGAAAAGATCTGCAAAGCTGATTCCTGAACCTTCCAAAGAGAATGCTAGAACACATAACATCAAGACAGATTATTAACAAATTATAAAATTATAAAGTATGCTTATTGTCTAACCATCTCTCTGTTCATCAATCCTTCTATCATTTTGACTTTAAGGGGTCAAGTGGAAAAAGCTGTTTCATACTGTATATCCAACAAGCTGATACACAGCCCTGTTTCAAAAAAAAGTTGGGATGCTGTGCAAAATGCAAATAAAAACAGAATACAATGTGCAAATCATTTAAATCATATATTTAATGGAAAACAGCACAAAGACAACAAATGTTGAAACTGAGAGATGTTAATGTTTTTTGAAAAATACGCATTTTGAATTTGATGTCAGGTACATTTGTTGGGACAGGGGTAAAAAATGCCTGATAAAGTTGTGTAATGCTAAAAAACACCTGGTGGAACACCTCACAACTAATTGGTTTAATTGGCAACAGGTCAGTAAAGTGACTGGGTATAAAAAGAGCAACCCAGAGAGGCTGAGTCTTTCAGAAGTAAAGATGGGGAGAGGTTCACCACTCTGTGGGAAAATAGTGCAAAAATTCAAAAATAACGTTTCTCAATGTAAAATAGCAATATCTGTATCTCTAAATATTTAGAATTTGTAGAATTGTGCATGTTGATATTATTTATATACTGTATATTTGTTTATGTGTTATTTATTGTATTTCATCATATTAATATATTGATTATATACTGTTTGTGTGTATGCAGATGTGTGTTTGTGTATATATACACTATATGTAAGATGGGACACACACTAAGGCTCTCGTCAGTCAGATGCCAGAGTATATTACCTCCATGCTCACCATAAAGGACACACATTACAAAACCCGCTCAGATGATTTTATTTCCCCAAGTTTTTAGTGAGCTGGGTAAAACTGTCTTTAGCTATGGTGCACCAGTGAGCTGGAAGAAGGTACAAGGTACTCTAAAGCTTGACTCGCTTGTTTCTCCTAGGGATTTTAAAATTTTACTTTTGAATTATTTTAGTTCTGTTTGTAACTGTTTTAGTTGAATATTTTATTTGTCTATTTATTTTTATCTTTAATTTTTCTATTTTACATGCTATTATCTTTATATATTTTTACTTATTGTTTTTATTGTTTCTTATTAATATTATATAAATTGTTTTTATTGTTTTTATTTCCTTAATATTTGTAAGGATTTTCTTTTATTGTTTTAGCTTTACTTTGGAATCTTTATTCTTTATTTTAACAATCTTAATTTGTGTACTCTTCCTGTGGCTCTCGGCTACATTGTAAATGAAGGCCCCCCTCCAATGTAAACCCAAGCTTAAATAAAGAATGATGATGAAGATGATGATGATACACACACACACACACACACACACACACACGCACACAAGTTTCCCTTAAAAGAAATGTGGATACTGATCAAATACTGATTAATCTAACATTTGGTGTCAGCATTTTTGAGTGAGGCTCCAGATTTTTGCAATCCACCCTGTTATAATATTTTACTATTTTACAGTTCAGTCTTCCTCTTTGAAAGGCGTATGATATTTTAAAAAGAGGTATAATTTGAAAAATGGAAAAAAGAAAGAAAGAAAAAGAAAACAACTTCAAGGCCTATACAGTGTTTTCTCTTTTTTCTATATCTTTGTAAACAGGCATCCACTGTTGCCTTATAACCCTCCCTTACTTGTTCACTTTGCTCATTTAAGAGAAACTTTTACCTGATTTAAACATAGAGACCATAATGTAAATAAAATGATAAATCAAAAATAAATAATATCATTATTGTGACATTTTCAAAACAAAGATGTGTCTGAATGAGAAGCAACATACTGTATAAGCTCTCCTTTACAGGGTAGTGGATGACGGGAGATCCTGGCATATTATTCACACGAAGAGAGAGCACCTTTCTCTGTAGTGCAGATGACCGCCACACCAAAAATGCCTGCAGGGGGCAGAGGTCACAAACATGTCTATTATAGGGGTCAACAAATGGTAGGAGCCCCTTTTATACTTTTACTTTCCTAAACATGTCCCACAATCACAAAACACACTCACATACATCCACACACACAATTCTCCTTCTCACCCCTGCTGGTTGTTGTAGTAGGATGTGATTGGCCTCCTGCTCTGTAATAGACAGAAGTAACCAAATGGGGTGTGTGAGAGTGAGCCTGTCCAGCACACTCACGTGTCCGCTTACACAGTCGCTCACACAAGATCTCCCTCCCAAAGGGGACTGCAAGTAAACCCCACTCACCTCTCCCTCCACTCTGTAAGGAAAGAGAAAGAAATCAAGCAAGAGATTAAGGGTTTACAAAGCCATTCAAGTTCACAGTTTCATGTCCTTGACTGTACTAGTTTGTTTTCTCATCTTGTGCAATATATTTTGTGTTATTATAGTGATGTGAGTAACGTGAAGAATGAAAGAACAGAGCTTTTACTCACTCTGGGTAGAGAGGGGCTTCAGGCTCTCTGGTGTATCTCTGTGAGGCTGTATAAACCATTTCCTGCTCCAACTGATCAAGCTCTGATGCAAATGCATCAACCAACTACAGAACGAGAAAGATTGACAGAGATAGACTTTTACTGAAAACAGCTAGTATCAGAGAGAGAGAGAGAGAGAGAGAGAGAGAGAGAGAGAGAGAGAGAGAGAGAGTAAGAGGAATACATCCTCTGCAAACACTGAAAGAGAAATAGCTTATGAGGGTATACAATGAAGAACCCAGCGACAGGACACCGCTCTCATGAAACTAACAAATGTTTCAACCTCCTCTAAGATCCATACAGAGGGAGGAAGTCAGTTAGTCACCTTCCTGTGCTCAAAAAAAAAATCCATTCAGGAAACTGGACACATTAACATTACAGCCCCAAAATCAGCCATGAAGTAACTCTTCGTGTAGTCCATGTAATGCCTCCCGTAATGTCAGCTATTGCAAACTGGCTTCAGTTGCTTATCAGCCTGTGAGCTCATGAAGTGGCATAAACATTTCGTCGTTGGGGGAATAAGGGGTCTCAGGAGGGATGTGAAAGTGGACTTGGATACAGAGTTAGATGCAGAGTTTGTGAGGCCAAGAGCAATTAAACTGAATTTTCATTTTTGTTGCAAAATTTGGGTTTCGAGCCTCTAAAATTTAAAGCCAAGCAGACTGCTAAGAAGATAATGACCTACAGATGGCAGTATTCTTCTACAATACCAGAGACACAGGTTTTGTTCATGACTCTACATGTAAACACAAACATGCAAACATGCTGTTTGAACTTTATGTCCAAAATTAATACCAATTATCATATGAGAAGATAATAAATTCAAATCTGCAGATGAAGAAGATGTATGTATGTGCAGGTACTCACCACCATCATAAATAAAATAGCTTTGACAGCAGTCAAACACATGCACACTACTACTACTGAAGTTATTTGGCCACCATTTACCTACACAGTAAAATGCCAGCTATGCTTCAGAGTGCACATAATGAAAGAGATACAGAAAATAAATACATTGGTTTGTAATTTTATATGATATTTATACAATTCAAATGTATTGTTTTATTCCAAAATGTATTTCGAATACTTTATACAAGTACATTAAGCAATTTTTTTGGCCGTTTTCATACATTTTCAAATGTATTTAAAAAAAAACACTTTACATATATTTCTTGTCCATATAAGAAAAGATGTATACAAATGAAGATTCATTTCTGTCATTAGAGTAATCCATTCTCATCATTATAATGATGAAGACTAATACTCTAGTTAGACTGCTAAGATATTGATCATCCTAGCAATCACAGTAAATTTCTGCCATTCTTCTGCTTTCATCAGCTAATGGAAAAACAAAAACAAAACAAAAAATAGAATATCTCAATACAGCTTGCCCCCAAATATCCACCCCAAAGCAGTTCCAAATGTTTTTCTACCCTCAAGATACATCAAAAGAAGTTTCCTAGTATGCCTTCTGTGGCACTTTTGTTGAAGGTGAGTAGGTATGTTTATAACACTTTCAGAAATGGTTACATTATTATCAAAGAAACAGAGAGGAACAGAAACTGATAGCTGACTGAAAGGGAATTTGACAGAGGAAAGAAATACATGAGACTGAATGATGATTGAGAGTTCAAAGTCACAACTTACCTTTAAGAAACTCCCAGTTCTGTCCCTCCTGCAGGGCAGGGAACCTATGTTCATGGACATGCTGACCTGGCAGCCTACAGACCCTGCTAATTCAACAGGAAAGGGGAGACGTAAGACATGGGACTTGATACGACTGCATTCCAGTGGTGCTAGAAGCTTTTTTATGTCATCTCAGATCATTTTACCTCTTCATTTGGTGTGTTTGTGTTTCTGTCAGGCTGTGTGTAGTTTGTGTGTTCTTGACTTGCACCAACGCGTGCTGTGCACACGCACAGGAAGTTATCAAGATAAAGAGACGTCTGTGAGCCCTACTTTAAAGTCTACTGGCTGAAGCCAGTGGTACTGAGGGACTTAGAGATCAATTTGCATATTATAATGGCTCTGTATGGAGTATACTCAACCATTCTTTTATTTTTGTTTTACCAGAACACATCGCTGGACATGAAAAATCTCTTGTTAACATTTTCCCTGTGTTTCAGAGACAGTAAATTATCTGTAAGACATTTATACATTCTTCTTTAAGGGGAATTATGACAATTTTTATTGCTGCCTTCTACATAATTTAGTTACTTGTAATTCAGAGATGTAAACAAAGTCATTCATAGTGTTTTCATGTGAAATGGTTTGTTGTGGAGAAAATTACCAACCTGGATTTTCACCAAAATGATGGTGATAGAAACCAGGGATCACAATGTCTACAACAGAAATACTGCCATTTTATCTGTCATCAAAAATGACCAGTGAACCTACACATGCCTTCTAATATTTAATGTGATGTTGTGAAATACTGTCATAAATGTCATTACATCCAGCTATAGTCTATTCCTAACAGCAGTGCAGTCATCACCTTACATATTCCAACACTTCTGCCCTGACACAAAACAACAGCAACTAACCAGAAAGCTGGATTCACACAAACACAACCAACACTGCAGCACCTCCGCTATAAAGCTTGTGTCCACTCAGCACAAGCACAACTTCTGTCCACAGAAGATGATAAACCTAAGTTAAAATCAGACAGCAAAACCTACAGAACTAAAGATGTACAAACTTTAAAAGAAAAAATATATAGGCTACTGCTACAGTGTGCAGATCCAGTAAAGATGACATGAAAATGAAATCAAACAGTTGATGTGCGAAGATGATGAAAAACAACACAGACACAATCTTAAAAACCTAAACCAAATTATTGTAGGGAAAAGCATACTGCCACAGTGGATGTGAAACATGAAACATTTGTGACAGTGTTGTGACAATCTATTATTTTGGTGCCCACAACATTGTCACAATGTTAAAATGTAGTTCCTCAGAAACAGTGGTGGACAGTAACAAAGTAAACGTAATTCGTTAATGTACTTAAGTACTTTTTTGTGTATCTGTACTTTACTGAAGTATTTCCATTTTGGGCGACTTTTTACTTTCACTCCACTACATTTCAAAGTCAAATATCTTACTTTTTACTCCACTACATTATGCGAAATCCGTCGTTCCTTTTGGCTTATGTGTGCATAAAAACGTAACATGTCAAAACGAAAGAAGCGTGAAGTAAGCACACCAATCAGAGTACAGTGCATACTTAGTTTTGAGCTTGTTTTGACCTGTTGGATATACCTACCCGGTGCAAGCATATGGTTCAACGTCAGTGCAGCAGTGTAAAATTTTGGGAGTGCCTATGCCAACATAAATGATGGAACTAACCTAACTTTGTGTACATAGACCACAGTATAGAAATATGTACACATGTGCAGTTGTGACTGGCATGTGTCTTTTTTCTCAATTTATACAAACACTTTCATTTTATAGTACATTTGTTTTTGCTAGTTGCTAGTATGTTTATGAAAACCTACAGATGCAACATAGTAAAGGAAAACACATTGGTGAACCTGTGTTTAAAGCAAGTTTTCTTTAAACTTAAACTTGTAACTAAGTTGCAAATAAATCTTAAACTGAAAGTTTCCTTGTTTGCAAAAAGTTATTTCATAGACATTTGGTTCTACCTAATGGAAATTGTCTGCCTTCAGTGTTTTGTGCTTATAATAATTTTAATAGACATCAGCGTCAGACTAATTAATGACATTCTCTTAAAAGATTGGTTTACCAAGAATGACACTAGAGTATTTTCACCTAAAATAAGTTGATGAAGCAAGAGTCTTGTTACAAAAATGGTAATAGGACATTAGAGTCATAATTAATCTTTTAGTACTTTTACTTTCGATACTTAAGGACATTTGAGGGTAAAATACTTTTGTACTTTTACTCAAGTGAAGGTCTCAAGGGAGGACTTCTACTTTTACTGGAGTAATATTTTACCTTGGGTATCTCTACTTTAACTCAAGTACATGATTTGTGTACTTCATCCAAAACTGTTTAGAAAGTTGCAACAACGTAATATGATGACATTCTTTAGTTAAGAGAATTGTTTTAAGAGGAATGACAAATCCAAACTAGCTAGATGCTTGTTTAATACAATACAGAACTAGCAACAGCTACCACTGCTAGTGACATTTTAACACTTGCTAACCAGGCCAAGGAGAATCCTGTCTAAAGTGATTTTTTTATGTCGAAGTAATTCATGACTGACCATGAAAGCTTGCAGCTGTGCAAGCACAAATGTTAGTGACATGGTGACTGGCTTGAACCTCGAAGGGCAGAAGCTCACAGGACTGTCGTTGTTTTCTGCTTTAACACACTACAAATAGTCAGTGGTTAATGAGCTGTTGTTTTGTGTGGAAGTGATTATTGGCTGACTAGGAGAGATTGTGGCTGTACAAGAACCAGTGTAGGAGACACTGTAACTGGAGGCTCAAAAGACTCTTGGAAAAACGTGGCACCGTTTTTTCAAAATCATCTTATTGTTAAGCTCCTCCAAGGCCAGGGTTGGTAAACACTGCGCCAACCTACAGTGGCCCTGCATCTCCATAATAGGAATATTGGTTGTCCAGGTCCTACTACAGTCCTGCAAGTCTCTGCCTGAAAATATCTTACCTACAGTTTTATGTAGGGAGCTACCTATAAAAATGTGCTATGGTACACAAGACTGAAGCTTCTTATTTGTCCAGCTACTTATTTGCCAGCTTCTTGTTCAAGTTTTCCTATTCCACCTTAGGGGCCAGGATGTAACTGCTGCACCATTCCAAGTGAAATGGGAAAATTTGAATAGGAAGCTTTGGTAGGATATTAGCACAATTCATCAGAACACTGGGCACGCTTGGTTCACACAGCAGGTAAAAGTGGCCCAAATCTTTTTTCTTCATAAGTGACACAGATGTGTTGTCTGTGTGGCAGTGTGAACAGCAAAAAGCACACTGAATCTGCATGGTCAATTCTGATTTGGGACGCTTTCATATGTGGTACTGAAATCCGATACGTATCCCATATGAGGCATTATGACTCCATCTGAACAGCCAGATTGGAATTCATGCGACTTTTACAACAATCCAACTCAGTATTCATAAGAATTTCATGCTGCTGAGACCTCATAAACATTTGGAATGATGTTTCTGTACAAACAAAATTAGAAGACACTTATCTAAACTGCTCCATGTTTGAAGAGATTTTGAAAGAACCTCACGAATGTAGCCGTAGGAGAATGAGAAGAAAAAGAAAAGTTACGTAAGTTGGAAAGCAAAGTTTAAAGAAAACATGGATACAAACCAAGTGGCTGTGGCTGAGTAACAGGCCCGTTTTTACAGCAAGTGAAAAGCCCAGCTGTCAGCCATCGTAACTTCTTATTAGCTGTGATGCTGCCGAAGATCACAGGAGCCTGTTGACTCCATTTTGATTGTTTACCTCTGGGTGAGCGGGCCATGCGAAGCATTGTTCTTTTGTGCATGTGGGTCAGTTTGGGAGTGTGATCTATTGAGACTAATGATGCATATAGGTCATATTTAAAAGACATTGTGAACAGTCTAAAAAAATAAGATTTGGGCCGCTTTTACCTGCCCATGTCATTAACATTGCTGTCTGTGCAGTCACAGGCTCTCATAGTTGGTCATGAATCATATCCACATGAAAACCACTTTAGACCGAATTATCCTCAGCCTGGTTAGCGAGTGTTAAAATGTCACTAGCAGTGGTTGCTATTGCTAGGTCTGCACTGTGTTAAACAAGCATCTAGCTCTGCTCCAGAGCTACCAAAGTTTAGACTCATCACTTCTTCCTAAAACACATCCCGCAGTAAAAGTCTCTCCTGACATCCTGCCCAGCGTTTGATTGACAGGAGTGCCTCATTAACAGTGAAAATGCAATTACAAACAGGATTGCACTTGCTTTTCATTTTGAAATGTAACAATGAGGAAATGCAATGGCAAATGGGTGATGGTGTTTTGTTTTTAACATGTGATGAAATGCAAAATACATACACATTTTGCGTTTCAATTTGAATTATGTCTTCAACTGGAGCATCACTAAAGGTTCATGGCTAGGAGGGCTAAGCCTGTACTAGGGGAGTCGGGGGCATGGTCCCCAAAGGGATTTTTTTTAAATGCCCCCAAAATGTTTACAAAGCACTTCTAGAGTAGTAATGCACAGACAATGTCAAAGTACATCAGCCGTGTTAAGTATATCAAAAAATGGTTATTATTCAAATTGGCACACAGTAGATCTCTCTCTTCATAGTTGGTATTAGGCACAGAGATAGTATAACAACCACTATATCCATCCAATTACAACAGGCACAGATAAAGCAAAGGTATTGTCAAGCAATGCTACCTTATCTCTCTTAGATACGCTGTGGTGCAATCAGAAAGAGCATTATTTTGCTCTTTAAGCATGTTCAATTTTATTACACTCAGATTAAAAAAACTCAAGAAAATAATAATCAATCATTTTATTATTATTATTTTGTTTTAACTGGTAAAAATCTCATCTGCTGACTATTAATTTACATCTACAGGTCGAAGAATTGAGAGATATAAAACTGTTACAATAACTTTTTTACACAAAGCTGAAGTCAGCTTCTTGTTTGAGTTTTTAATGCAAAGTTACATTCTGGACCCTCTCAAAGGGAAAATTCGAACAAGAATCTGACGAAAAGGAAGCCAATTTCAGCTTTGCCCTTTTCACTGACATTAACTTACTGTAAACAACAATATATGGCAAATACTGGTATCATTGTTTCAAAATACTGAAGAGAAATCTGAAAACAAAGAATATAAAGAGCTGTCAATAATGTTATTTCTATCCCTCTTGCGCGTGTACACTCTTGTACTTACTATGAAGTGAGGTCAAACTAGCTTGTCAGCTAGTTAGCTTATGTTAGTGTTAGCCTAACCCAGGGGTCGGCAACCCAAATGTTAAGAGAAGCCATTTTGTCCAAACAAAAATCAAACCACCTTGAAAGCCACAACATTTTACGCCCATGTTTCCATCTTGGCTGTAAATACGTCTCAGTATGCGCTAATGTGCTAGTACAGGCTAATACATATAAACGAAATCACAGACTTACTTTGCTCTGCTACAAGCTTTAGCTCAGCTGTAGCCGCTTTTCTCGCAGAGTACTTTTCCACAAAAGTAGAATAACTTTAGTTTCTTGTAAAACGTTTTTCAACGTTCGATTTTTAGGAGGCTGAAGTCAGCTTTTTTTATTTGCCAGCTTCTTGTTCAAATTTTCCTGTTCCACTTTAAATGGTGCCTGAGGTGCCAGAATATAACTGGTGCACCATTTAAGGTGGAACAGAAAAATCTGAACAAGAAGTTGGAGAATGAGATGCTTCACAACTTCTTAGTGTTTAGTGAATGTCTCATCTGTCTAGTTTTTCTTCCTTTTCCCGCCTGCTCACTGCTGAGGCCTGTAAATCAAACCACTCTGAATGACTTTGTTTACATTTTACTAATTTAATTATGTAGAAATTTAGAAAAATCAATGGAATTCTCCTTTAACATGTATCTTACAATGTCAGAACATAAAACAGGAACAGACCAACCAATCACTCAATAAATAAAATGAAATAAAAAAAGGACAGAATAAAGTTGTCCCAATCAGCATGGCTATGTCTGGTGGCATGGTGGCTCATAATTCAGTGAAGAGCTGAAGAAACAGAATGAGATTATCCACACTCCAGTTAGCCCAAATACACAGTCTGACACATTAATTAAGAGTGAATTATGTCCACGCTGAGTTCAAACTTTCCCAAAGCATATGCAATATATCAGAAATATGGACAAAATATTTATATTGCGACTGTAAAGCACGGCAAATGACTAAAGTGACATTCATCACCTGCACTCTTTTGACCAAAATAATTTACTTTTGTTTGCATTTAAACCTTGCTTCCTTAAAAAAAACCCACAAACACTCATCTGCAACTGTGATTTGTCAAGATGTTCACAGCACTGTTAGAAAAAACCCCAGAACAAATCACTGTGATTTGATAGAGGGCTCATTTGCATATCACAACCATCTGCAATAGTATTGCAAAGGCCATTATTGCAATAACAATTAACAGACAATATATTGTGCAGCCCTATTATTACCGTTGGTTCTGTTGGGGAAGAGGTCCTTAGTCTGGCAAGCAGTTCAGGCTGTCTCAGCTGAACAGTGAAGTGTAAGAGGACATGCTCAACGCAGCTGCATGCAAACAAAGACACATACGATTCAATGGACAAAAATTGACATTTTCAGTGCCGCTTGCCAGTTACCCACTGTTTACTTTCTTCATTTTGATTTCTTGATTATACAAACCCCTTTCTGAAGATCTGTGATGTAATTTTTATACAGCTAAATATAAGCACACAGTATTTTAACTGCAACTTAGAGCGAGCAAGCTGTTCTAACATTTTGCCAAGCATTATTCTGTTAAAGTGATACTGTGTAGTGAATTAAGTGAATTCTAAAATGAAATTTGCTTCATTGGATCTCTTCTATTTCTACTGTTAAACAATAACTGAATATTATATAACAACTTAACAGCTGAAAGTCCTCACTCGACCAACAGAAGTCTGAAGAATAAGAGAATTTGGTATAGAAGCAAAGGTGCTATATTTTCCTTTGCCCAGACAAGGTACTACATGGGATTAACTCGCTTCGCTTATAGTTACAGGGAGTTTTCACAGATCACAGATTTAAAGATCAACACAGTTTGGGATTTTAAATTATATTCGGAATATTGTAGGATTTATGATTGAAAGAATCAGAAGGAATACATGTTTGACGAGCATGTTTAAAATAACATAAACGATAATAAAAAGTACAAGACGTACAGTTTGAATTAAATATCCCTGCATCGATCCAAAGAATTCAGTGACTAACCATAAGGCGCCGTGATTCAGGTGAAACGCACGGTGACAGTGGGGTCCATCCAAGATGACATATGCACCGTCCGGACTGTATTCGACGACTGTTACCATCTAGACTTCATCACTTCACTATGTGCTAAGAATCTACAAAGAAGACGCTTTACACGACGACGCTTTGTTTTAACATCACGCTTTCTTCTTCTGGCTCTTAACTCCGAATTGCCGACAGACACGAGCGCGCACTGGCTTAGTGGGTCATGTGTCCATCACAGGCGTGTCCCAAGTTTCTACCAATGGCAAACTAAATAAACACATACGTTAAAAAAAAAAACACAAACAGAATAATAAAAGTGTGAAACGCCTCTCCGTCAATTTCAACTCATTCTCTCTCAATCATACAACAGATTTTACAGAAACTACGAACAACCTTTCAAATGTATTCTGCCTAGTCTCGCGCACAGCGACTAAAAGAATGGGTTTCTGTTCTAATTCAGTTGTTCGTGTGTTACCTAATCGTCTTCTCCATTTGTGGTTTAAACCACGCCGGAAAAGTAGGTTCTATCAAAGGAGACCATTGTTCTTAACAGACTTTCACTTTTCTAACAAACCTTCTACGTGCAACCCCCCCTTAGATTACATATAAGCTGACAGTATGGATTGAGGTGCCCTTATAAAGTGATCGATTTCACCAAAGGAGTTAAGCTTAAATTTTTAATTCAAATTCACATACTTTTTAAATCTTGATAGTTTGGACAAAACTTGAATTACAACTGAGTCAGTCTTGCTTAAGTGAAATGCAAAAAACAAACATTTTGGAGTATAACCTGGTTTACACGGTAAATTTATTTTTTTTACAAAGATTTTTTTTTTTTTAAATAAAGACATGTCTTTCCATCTTTTCATGTTCAGATGTCCTTTTCATTAAAATCACAGGTAAGCATACATTCAAGATAATTCTGATGGTAAACATCACATCAATAAATATTCAGATTTTGCTCCAAAGCAGCACAAATACAGTGGTGAGGGTATATCCTGGTCAATTTCACCCTGTCTTCCTCCTCCTCTGGCACACATCCTGATGTTTAGATACAATCCCAGATTCAGAAGAAATTAAGGCTGTAGATTTGGTTAAAAGGGTGAAAGGAGATGGTTGAATAATGACCATGTCATTATGCGAGTCATGTTTAATTGCGCTACACTGTTTAGAGTCCCTGAAGATGGCAGCTTGTATCTGGAGAGTGGACAGATCAGTCCCAAGCACACCCTCCTAATCAGACACAAAGAAACAAACAACAGAAAATACAGTTAAAACAAATCATTTTAATATGTCAACAAATACATTGGATTTACAGTCATGGCTAGAAATAGTAGCACCCTTGCCTTTTACTAATAATGTACCAATTCTTATACATGTTAAACATGCTCCTTTGTTTGCATTAAAACAACACAAAAAACTGAGAAAAGGCCAAATATGATCTTATGTTCCACTGTAAAGGATGACTGAATTTCAAGCACTTAAACCTTTATCTGTTACTACAGCACACCTTTGACAAGTTACAGGTGCAGGCAATATAGATACCATAGTTTTAAGCAGTTCAAATACAGAAAAGTTGAGTCAACCGTTGTGTCCTTGTGTTCCACAGTGAACAGTGAGAAACAAAAGCAGGGAAAAAGAACTGTCTAATGATTTTAGAAACAAAAGTGTAGAAAAGCTTGGGTAATATCAAGGCTAGAAGTCCATCTCCTGATATCTTAAAGTTCCTGTGTCTACTGTACGCAAAGCCTTCAAAAGGTTTGCAGCCCATGGCACTGTAGCTAACCTCTCTGGACATGGGCAGAAGAGAAAAGTTGATGAGAGACTGCAGCAAAGGATTTTTTGCATGGTGCAAAAAGAACCTTTATCAAGTACCAGACAAATTCAAGCTGAGCTGCAGAAACAAGGTACAGTGTCAGCTCACACTATCCATCGTCATCTGAATAAAAGGGAGGAGATCTTTTTAGTAAAGCATATCATTATTCTCTTTACAGGAAACAAAATGAGGCCTTTAAAGTAAAGTACACAGCACTACAGTCACACGTTTTAGGGACTGTGTTGCTGCTTCTTGCACCATGTGCATTGAATGTGTGCATGGCATCGTAAAATACGAACACTACCAAAAAATTTTGGAGTGCGATGTAGGGCCCAGTGTAGGTCCCTGGAAATGGTGCTGGACTGTTCTGAAGAGCCCATCGATGGGTTCAGATCTCAATTGGGAGAAGGCAAAATTTGGGAGATCTAGAGCAGACTGCAAGAGAAGAGCAGACCAAATTTCCAGTAGACAGGTGCAAAAAAACTTATTCATTGCTATAGGAAGTCATTCAGTAATTCTTTTCAAATGGTGTGCTAACAAATGTTTGAGGGTTTTTTCAAAGTTGAGGATACCATTAAGTTTGTCCTCACCATTTTGTATTTGAATGTATGGACATACTAAGTTTTACTAAGTACTAAGTAAACAAAGAAAAGAAGGTAATATTATTAGTGAATTACAGAACTGTGGAAATCCACTTTTGACAATTTCAACTGTTCTTGTAGTGATTTGGGAAAAAAAAAAATGCAAGCGTGCTAATATTTCTGACTATGACTGTAGCACTGTTTGAAGTGCCACCATAAGCCAAAAAAAAAATTCTTGATTCTTTAATTTCAACCAGAACGAAAAACATTGCATTTTGTTAACATATAATTACTTTGGACTGAAGCTTCATGTGGAGTTGACATTTTATTCTTCAATTCTATGTACTTCTTTGTCACCTCCCTGGGGGAATGTAATGTCTATAACTCACCCTCAGCTATGGTTCCCTTTCTGAAGACACATCACCCTCTGCTCCACTACTGGCATTGGGGTCCGCTTTCGAGCGCAAGGCACCCTTCTCCCTTCCTGACTCAGAGTTGCCTTTCGGACGTGTTTTCTCCTTACGCTGCTGCTGTTTTTCTAGTTTTGAAAGCTTTTAAGCAGAACAAAAAAAGGAGGCAAATGTAAATAAAACAGAATGCAATAATTTGCAAATCTCATAGACCCATATTTTATTCACAATAGAACACAGAACATATCAGATGTTGAAAGTGAGAATTTTTACCATTTCATGACAAATATTAAGTCGTTTAGAACTTGATGGCAGCAACGCATCTCAGAAAGTTGGGACAGGACCATGTCTACCTTTGTGTAGCATCCCCTCTTCTTTTAACAACAGTCTGTAAACGTCTGGGAAGTGAGGAGACCAATTGCTGGAGTTTTGGGAGAGGAATGTTGTCCCATTCTTGTCTGATGTAGGATTCTAGCTGCTCAACAGTCCTGGGTCTTCTTTGCTGATTTTTTCGTTTCATGATGCGCCAAACGTTTTCTATTGGTGGAAGGTCTGAACTGCAGGCAGGCCAGTTCAGCACCCGGACTCTTCTTCTTTGAAGTCATGCTGGTGTGATTGATGCGGTATGTGGTTTAGTATTGTCTTGCTGAAATATGTAAGGCCTTCTCTGAAAGAGTCGTTGTCTGGATGGGAGCATATGTTGTTCTAAAACCTCTTTATAACGTTCAGCATTGATTGTGCCTTTCCAGAAGTGTAAGCTGCCCACGCCATAGGCACTAATGCAACCCCATACCATCAGAGATGCAGGATTTTGAACTGTGCGCTGATGACATGCTGGATGGTCCCTCTTCTCTTGAGTCTGCAGGACACGGCGTCCATATTTTCCAAAAAGAATGTCAAATTGATTTATCTGACCACAGAACAGTTTTCCATTTCTGGCTTCTGAGAGACTCTGCCTCTCTAAAATGCTCTTTTTATACCCAGTCATGTGAGTTAACTACAAATTGCTCCTCCAGCTGTTTTTAATAGTACCACTTACTTTTCCAGCCTTTTGTTGCCCTGTCCCAACTTTTTGAGATGCTATGCTGCATAAAGTTCTAAATGAGTTAATGTTTTTCATGAAATTGTAAAATGTCTCACTTTCTACATCTGATATATGTTCTATTGTGAATAAAATATGGGTATATGAGATTAGCAAATTATTGCATTCTGGTTTTAATTACCTTTATTTACATTTTACACAGCGTCCCAACTTTTTTGGAACTGGGGTTGTATATGCACTCCAAAGTATTTAACATCTAAGAACATTTAAAGTTTAAAATAATATCCAAAGATTCAGAAACTAAGTTTAACCTGAACCCCAGATGTGTTTTAAGTAAAGGCCTTGCATTTAACAGAGTTTAAAAGCATAAAGTCAAAAAATTTCTTTCCTGTCCATTCTTTTGAAGGTCAACATGAACGCTTGTTTCATTCTGTTCTTGATTTCGATTCAAAATTTTACACCCCTAGTCACTAGTATGTACTGCAATACATGCAAAATGTGTTACCTGTTTAGCATCTGTGGGTCCAGTAGGAGACTCTAAATGAATGGTGACAGGTCCATCATTCTGGATTTGCACCTGCATGTAGGCACCAAACTGGCCATCTACAACACAAAGTTAGAGACTAATCAGTTTCGTTCTGGTTGACCACTCGTGTCTACACTCAATGTCCATTTTATCAGCTGCACTTTGTAGTTGTACAATTACAGACTGTAGTCTTGATGTTGCTTTGCATAATTTGTTAACCCAACTTTAGCCTGTTCATCAATGGTCAGGACCCCACAGGACCACCACAGACCAAGTATTATTTAGGCGGTGGATCACTGTCATGCAATAACATCGATGTGGTGGTTGTGTGTCACACTGGTACGAGCGGGTCAGACACAGCAGTGCTGCTGGCACAGAGCGGAGCTGACAAAATGGACAATGAGTGTAGATACAAGGTAGATGTATCTAACGAAATGCTTAGTGAGAGCATATCATAAAAACGTAACTGTGAGCACGGAGCAAACCCTATACTCTTTCGAGGTTCTTGGGGGAAAACCCCCTATGTCACAGTATCTAGTGCTTGGGCAGGTAATGTCTAGATGGCACTCGCTGCCAAAACATGGATACGAATTGTGCTAATATTACCTTGTTGAAATGTCCTACTGTAGCGCATACATAACGTAGGATATTTTGATATCTTCTATCACTTTACCAAAAAACACTACCAGCATTGAAACTACGAAACTGAAGTCAGCTTTTCATTCAAATTCTCCTGTTCCACCTGAAATGGTGCAGCAGTTTAAGGTGGAACAGGGAAATTCAAACAAGAAGCAGGCAAATGTCCTATTCAGAATAATCAGGATATTCTGATAGCCTAAATCACTTTTTCAGGGGTAGCAGAAATATTAAGCTGAGTCTGTACCTGATTAAAATTAAAGACACAGTAAAACGTTTTAAAAAAAAAACTGAATTACTCTGCTGTGGTAATGATATGCACAAGCTCAGCAGGACCACTGGATGGGTAAGATAAATTGTTACAACACCTGCTGTGCAGAGAAGGTGTGCCCAAAAAAAATCTGTCTGTTGCTGTAAAATGTGCTAAGATGACTTATTTTAACAGTCTGCAGGTGATGTAATAAGCACAGGCTATCAAGATTAAGTTGTCACGTGATCATTACAATTCAACTTTGAATTTTTGCTTCCTGTACATACAAACATGGGCAGGAAAACCTTGGAAAACTACTTTTATTGTTTTACATATTAGCCTAACACAAACAATATAATTTAACAGACTGTGTTTTTTATTAATGATTTGTTGATCGAGTATTTCCTCACCTTTAATGAGCTCTGGCTTGTAAGCACTCTTCATCTGCTCCAGAATGTTGTTGTAAAAGGGCTGGGCCAATTCAGCAGGCATGGCTGAGTGAAAGTCAGGCTTGTTGCCTTTGAGAATACACTGCAGTGTGAACTGACTCACACACAACACCTCCAGTTCCTTGTCCATTACACTGCGACTCCACGCTCGGCCATTCTCATCCTCAAACACACGTAGGTTCAGAATCTTACGCACCCTGATGAACAGATACAGACCCAAACACAGACATACATATATAGTCACAGGCACTGACCACTGTATAAAATACACCTACCTTGTTTGTTTACTCACTGTCCATTTTATCAAGTGCACTTACCATACATATGTACCTAATTAGTAGGTTGCTAACTGGAAAAGCGAATTGCTTTGGCAAACTCTAACTGTAAGTAAAAATGACTAAATTCACAAATATTTCTGTTAATCTAGTTTTAACTGCCCACAAACGCAGGACAGACTAAAATAACCTTGCTGAACATTCAGCAGTACTTACATGTACTCTGCATCTCTCTGTGTGTCCTCTGCTGATATCCCAAGCAAAACGCAAAGACCTCTCCCGATGGAACTGATCTGTTCCTCCCCGACTGTCACAAAGTAAAAGAAGCACTAAGACAACGATCCTGGGTTCGTACTCACAATGAAAGCAAAATTGTATCTGAAGAAAAACAACTGCACTACATCGGAAATAACTTCAACGTGACATGGGCGAAATCATTCACGCATTCATTTAACACGTTACCAGTTTCGTACGATCACTGCTGCACACAGACTCGGCCTATCGTTATAGTGACAACCTCAGCTAGCTAGCTAAAGTTAGCTCATTCATTCGCATATTTTATACGTGCCGACTGCTTTACTAGCTTTAGCCAAAATAACATAGAAAATCAATCGCAAGGTTTTTAAATCCATTGTTATTTCACATAAACTGTTTTAATTCCTACCTGTTACGCTCGCTTTAGTGACTCTCTGAATGATTGCTTTCATTGTTTTCGCCTGAGTCGTGCCCCGGGGAACATTTGAACTTCCGGTTTCACAGCCTTCAGTACCGGCGTCACACGAACGTCAGCACGACCGACAATATTAGGCCTACACCCCATACCATTAATCTATTTCCTCATACAATATGTTTTTAAATCTGTTTTTCATGATCGTAAAATACATAGTAATCGGAAGTCTTATTTTATTTGTTTCTAAGACTAACTGCAGTACATTTTGAAGGAAAATAACTACAAACCTGACCCACACCACAAGCTGCCAGAACAGCTTCAGTGCACCATAGCATAGATTTGACAAGTTTCTGCGACACACCATTCTTCCCAAAGATAATGGTGGTGAAGATCACAGTCTAAAAATCTCACACAGGTGTTCAACTAAGTAGAGATCAGGTGTCTGCAAATACCATATCACACAAATTAATCATTTTCAAACCACTTTGTGAAATGACCCCTCATGCCCTGTGAATGGAGAGCATTGTCATCTTGGAAGAACCCACTACCATCAGGAGTGACATTTTTCATCATAGAATAAAAGTGATCCATCCAAATAACTTTGTACTGAATCTTCCCGCCAAGGAGACAAATGCCCCTGACAGCATAACAGAGGTTAGAAACTGTTTTTGAAAGTGTGCATTTGGTGACAGTGATGCTTATGCATTAGTGCACCACGTAAAGCAAAAACAGAAGCGCAATTGGTTTTCACATGACCGAGAATGCCAATGCAGAACGTGATCAGACAAGAACAGTCCATCCACAACTACAGTAGAGTTGCAGTGCATAAATGTCTAATTACAAAAACACATTTGAGAATTTAAAAAAAGGCACAGATAAGTCATTCTGCATCGTTTTGAAAGCGGGTAAGTACATGTGCAATGTACACCAAGATATAGGCCTGAATGCGGAATCCAGTGCCCTATTTATGGATGTCTTTCTTACTGACTTAAACACAGATGTCACTTCAGTCAGTGGTCTTATTGAAACACTAGTTAGTTGAGCAGTCATTGTGACCTAAGCTCTTACCACCCTCCTGCACCCTGCAAACAATGACATAGGACAAGAAAAAGGCTTTTTTTTTTCTTTAAATCATTTTTTGTCACTGTGTTTTACAATTTTCATTTTCAGTGTAAGATCAAGCTTCTAAGCAAAAACCTTTTTTTTCAAGGGTTTCAATAATTCTGCAAGTTGCTGTATGTTGTTTGTGTGTGTCTTTGGGACATTATGTTAATCACTTAACAGACCCATACAGTAAATTCTCTCATAGTTATTCAACAGGTTTTGAGATAAGTGACACTTTTTCCACAGAAAGCCTCATTAAACTGTAATTTCTTAAATTATACTAGGTCTTCTTCACAGATAGACAATGGCCAGAGGCTTGCATCTACGTTGTACCCAGGTCACAAAGCCTGTTCGCAATAATGCTTTCAGCACTGACTGCTGAGATAATGGTAACAGATGCACTGTGCACTATTTCAAACATATGAAAATATCACATATCACAAATGTCAAGCTCTATCAAACTTCCTCTTGCCCAGTGATTACAAAAAAAAAACCAAAAAAAAACACAACAACAACACAACAACAACAACGTTTGAACATTGGTGACAGAAAAGACAACACTGGGAAAAAACCCAATTCTTTTAACAAAATTGAAAACAGCCACTGACATTTCTGAACCTGTGCCAGCAAACAGCCAAACGCAATGCATTCCACCTTTAAGAATTTTATATTACAGAATGTGTGGAACGAGAGCCACCGTCCATTTTTATTAATCCATAACCTTTACAAATCAAGCTTCCTCTTCATTTTTCATCATCTTGACATCCTGAAGAGCTGTTAGCTGCAGGTCTGAAAAGGTTCAGAAATCTTGTGGAATATGGCACAAAATCTTCTTTGTAGACTATCGTTGTTGACACATGTGATGTCTTGACTGTTTTCACGTTTGGTCTTGTGTCTTCCTCTTCTTTAGGCATTTCAACTAAAAAAAATATCATTAGAGTTTTTTGAATGAAAAATGAACAAGACACTTGGCAACATTTCAGTCTACATATGATGTACAGTGTCATTCAAAATTCTTGCAGTACAGCTGAATAATTTTTAATTAGTAATAAAAGACAAGTTACAGAAATGATGCATGATGTAAAGCAATTAAAAACTGGAGCTAAATCTTTTGTTTGCCAACATTGCCCACAGTGAAATAGCTCACTGGTGTCGAGGTATTAGCAAATCAATTATTTTTCATTTATTTTAAACTTTGAACATATTTATCAATTAACTTAATATGTCTCAGATGTAACTAACTTGGGCTTCAGGCTGAACTTCTCTTTCTCCAGGTGCCTATTTCCATTTTAAGTTACTTTTTAAAAATTTCCTTATAAAAAAAAGGCATACATACTTATGCAAAATCTGGTTTCATGTGGGTCAATTCAAATATTTGATTGACAGGCTACTTTACTATGTCTCCTGCCTTGACAGTTCGGACTAATGGCTTAAATTACAAATGCTGTAATTTAAACCCCAGAAGTAGCCTATAAACTTAATATGACCAATGCAGCTTGTGGACAAAAAACTTTTGTTCTGGGGTATTTTGTTTTTGTATTTTGACACTAAAAATGCACAAATAATGAATTTTCCCACTAGGTACTTGTGGAGGGCAAAAAAGGCGTGAAAGCTATTCCGTGAAAATTTGAAAGCCGGCCAATGCTGTAAGGTGTGAAAGCATATTGGATCCAAAATTCAATTTTAAATTTCTCATTTTTATGTGCAACTGAAAAATCTAATTTAATAATAACATCTGCCATTCACTATTTGGTATACTAGTACTGGTGTTTAATTTACAAAAAAAAGAGTTGGAGGACTGATCAGTTTCTTTATTTAAATTCTTTATTTAAATAAGTCTAGTGCTTGTAAAGCAGGGCCACTGATGTATCACCTACCACACAAGCATTTAACCCTTTGAGGCCCAAACTATGTTCCAAAGACATAATAAATGTGAAAATGCTCTTCTCCTATTCACAAAGAGCAGCAACATCAAAACATTAATTTAGATTAAATCAGATTAAATGTTAGGGTTGGTTTCCCCAGCCAGGAATTAAGCCTCGTCCTGGACTACACAGCAATCTGAATGGAGATTCTCCATTGAAAGGAATATGTAGTATAGAACCAGGCGTAATCGCTTTCTGGGACTATTTTTCATTTCAATCAACAAAGTTCTGCTAGAATACTTTACACATGTAGTTGTAGAACTTTGGACAGATACATAGTTATGCACACGTGCGCTCTTATGTATGCCATGTCGTGCTCACGTTTTGGGATTTCGTAGCATGGCAGTGCCAGAACATCAACTGAAAAACGTACCCTAAACAAAAATTAATATCTGGGACGGTGAATTTTCACATCGGGGTTGCTGACAATGTTTCGGAACAGCGGAGGGTTTAGGGGAAAACGTTAGTCTGGATATCTGTGCAGTGTATTCATAGATATGCTTATTGGAAAGTTCATTACTTCTTGCTAAGCCTGTTTGTATCGTATACAAAGTACTATTCATCCAAGTCTTTTAGCTATATATGGGTCACATCACAGACAAACCCTTCACCACCACAGAGAACTCCGAATGACTACACATTAAAAATACATAAAAATATTATACAAATATATTTTGTAAACCGTTTATAGTCCATAATGTGATGAATAAACTGATAACACAGTTAGACTTAAATACATAACCTATAACACTCGGGCCTGTTGTCCTCTAGCCATTGTCTGACACAGGCGCAATGACAAACACACAATCTGAATTACCTCGCGGGTCATTTCTGTGTTGATATCTATAATATCCATAGGTCCCGAACATAGTCCATATTCCCACTGCATACAGCATCGATGCGCGCTTATTCCATTTTACAGCATCAACTGACATACTCAACTGTCGTTTATTTATACTATCTTTGAGAATTAACCAACTTCTTTTGGTTCGTTCAAACTAGGTGAAGACTGCAACTAGAACAATTTTCGTAGTCGACCACAGGCCGTGCTATCAAAATAAGAGCCCAAAACTGCCAAGGCACAAAACAAACGCTATCAGTATTAAGGCTCTTTAACGACCTCGTAATTCAGAGGACCAGTTGATATTCCCGTGGAGATAAACGTACACAGAAAAAACCGTATCGGGTTCTGAACATTTTTGTTTACCGTATAGTGCGATAGAGGCGATTTTTCCAAAACCCCGCTCATTGTGGCCACAGAGAAGTTTAGATCCGGCGTTCCTAATATGGGCATAACGTGGACTGCGGAACAACGCACGACTACAGAAGTCTATACAGGCTAGCATGAATCAGTGTGGATGGGTTTGTTTATTTACAGCTGTCTTACCAACATGGTGGAAGAGTAGATGTTCAGGTATAACTAAAAATACATTAATTTATTTAACTTGTCAGTGAGCTTCATGAAAAAAACAAAAAACAAAAAAACAACTAAGTTATTAATAATCGCACAATAGGTGGGTTTGTTTACAACTGTCTCACTAATATCGTGGAAGAGATGTTAAAATATGAGTAAAATACATTCATTTATTTATTTAACTTGTCACTGAGCTTCATGAAACAAAAACTGACGAATAATATATAATAATTGCATCGCATATTGTCCACTGCCTCCATTCTGAAGCTACCCCGCTCCTCCTCTGCCTCTGCAGTGCGGGTCGCGAGTGTTGAAGACAGTACTGCTTCTTTACACAAAGATGAATTATCGTAGTTGTTAGAAACACTTTACTGGAGGTTTAAATGAAAATGTAAGGAGTGCAATGTGTGTTTTTATATTGGAAATTGAGTAAGATTACTTAAGAATTCGATTTCAATAGTACTTAAAATGCCATCTTCCAAAATGCTGCCTAAGTGTGGTAGTGGTGTTTTATATTCACCGGCCACTCCTGCAGCCAACAACCTTGAAGTATTGTGCTTTTTTATCAGAAGACAGAATTAATGACGCTGGTCGTCATTTTGTAGTAGGCGCCATGCTCTTATTATGCCCATACCCTGCACATGCAGTTATGTTGTGACAACGTTGAAGAGACAGCAAAAGTAATCTGTACTACGTTGTCTGTACGTTGTCACAACCTCCTAGAATCCTTATAATAAGTTCCATTTTAATCAGTATTACATTTGATAACAAATGTGGTTCAGTGATGCATAGAAATAGATCTGCGAGTAATTGGGCGATGTTAATCGATTTTCATCACTATTTGACAATTTGTAATCTTAATCTCTTAATTTTACAGCGATCACAGGGCACTAGGACCTGCGGGAGGCGCTATTGTCTTTTGCTCTAATCCACACAGCAAAGTCGCAGACGTTAAATTAACTCTTTTAATTTAATTTAACATTGGAAAAGTGCGTATATTGTCCTCACTCTCCAGTGATACAACGACCCTGTTACCTTTTTAACACTAAACCTGATCAAATTTAACACTTTATATGGTTGAAAATTAACACTACACTGGTGTTGTTGTTAGATAAATAACTCCACTGGAGTAAAATTGTAACTCTAATATTTCAACACTTTTGTGAGTAAATGCAAAAATACTCACAATGTAATGTACTGTATTCCCCAAATGCGTGTTTCTTGTAAATAGCGAGAAAAAAAAGTTTGGACAGAGCCTGTTTATAAAAAACACAAAAAACAAAAGAAAAGCTGTATGTTTCCATCTGTCTACAGCAAACATTACTGCCACTGCTTGCTTGGCGAGCGGAGCAGCTCATTGGCTGTTCGCACTCACTGAAAAAAATGATTGAAAATTCATTCAGAACTTTATAAACTGAAGCTCCTTGGCCTTAGGTAGGAGATTAAATATATCTAGTTCTTATCCAATTAACAATATTGGCCTCAACCTTCAGATGGAAGCAATCTATAATACCTCTCATTTCCACTTGACAGTAATTACCATTCTTTACCAAAGTATGCATACACTACCTCCTCCGCATACCAGAGTAGTGCAGACATTTCACATCCAGCTTCACTTTTATAAAAAGCTATGTTTTAGTTGTGCAGCATTATTTTGTGCAAACACACCCTTATTACGCATGGCCCTAGGACAGTGTGGATAGTAAAGTTCCCTTTCTGTTTTGTGTTTAAGAAATAACCTATATATGAGAAATACACATTTAATATATGTATTATATATATATGTATTTCTTATTTAGGTTTATTATTAATAATAATAATGTGTTAATATCATATATTAACACTTATTAAGGCTTACTTATTGAGGTTTTTGAATTAAAATTGAAGTGTAATTACATGCGTGGCAGGCATATGCTTAATTTTATGACAGCTGTTTCTTAGTGTAAGCAAATTAAAAAAATGAGTTGCATATTCCATTTTAAAAATGACAGTATGGACACATGCAAAATTCCTCCCTGTAGACACTTAACAGTCAGAGTGAGCTGTCAAGTCGACGTTAATACAAGATCGTGTTTCGGAATCTCTTCTGTCAGATTAGCTACAGCTACAGCAGTGTTGTGACCCAGTTACACAGTTCACTCAACATTAGAGAAACCAAAAATTAATTTGCCATGTGTTACATTTTACACTTCTAAATTTTACAAATATTTACAAATGTGCGTTTATATTTATGCATACTATTCATGCTTATCTGCCTACTGAGTATGTAGGTCCATGTTGAAGCCTGTAAGCTATGCAGAGTTATGTCATCTTTACAAATCCTCAACACCACACCGCCACCCACCCCTCAAAGCTCCAACAGGTCTCCAAAATTTACCCATCCAAGTACATCACAACAAGGGGATCACTGTTGTTGAAATAAAATTTATGCATAGCATTCATTATTAACAATCAAGTTATATCTGGAATGTAAATCTATACATTAACAATTAAAAATTCTTACTATGAGAATTCTATGCAGTGTAGAGAAAATATTGTGGCGTTAGACAAACACAAATGATCCAAACAGAAACAAAACTCAAACACTGACAGGTCAGAAAGGGCCCTGCAGAAAATTCTGTGCCAGTAAATAAATGGATTTAAACTATTCATTTGGTTCTATGAGTGCAAATTACAAACCAAAATACACTCTACTTTTCTTTTTAAATGACTTACTGTACATGCTTCAAATTTATAGATCAGGAAAATGACAATCACACCTGCATATTTGTACCTGTAGTTACACTGTAATGAGACACAGTGGGCTTGTTACAATTGTGAGGCATTTGAACCTTGACAAGACCTCCCACATATCAAAATAACATATCCCATTTACCAGGAAACCGTTAAATCAGTCCCAAGGTTGTGTATGCACATCTGAGTACACCATGACTTTTGACAACAAGGTTTTACAAGATTTTTTGATACATACTGAAGAATTCTTGAACAAAGATGAAAACACTTTTTGAGGCATCAAGGCCAAAGGCTGAAATGAAAATGGTAATTCTGCCCCACAGTGGAGGATCAGATTTATGTTTTTGTTCTTCCCTTTTGCATGCTTCAGGCTGAGCTGGACACAGCAAGTTTCTTCAGATGGTCCATGAACACTTGGAGGCTGACGTCATCTGTGAGAATGGGTGCTCCAGCCTCCTAACAGAGGTTTAATGTACAATTGGTTAGATAATGTCAAAGATTTACAATCAGTAAGTTTCTTTGACAACTATTAATATGCCTATTTACAGTGTATTCTAATGCAATCACAACATGCATAAAGTAATAAGTATATAGGATGTTAAGACTTGGACAACCTTAGAAGACTCCACCAAACCCCATTAATTGCCTGTTCTACAAAAAAGGTATGTGAAGGTGATATATACCTGCCCCCAGGCATAGAGGTTGTTATGCGTTTGGGAGGGGTTCACTTTAGAAAGCAGGAAGCGGGCCTGCGATCCTCCATGCTCTGTGTCAATGTAGCGGGGCATAGGGAAGCGGGTTTGCAGGATCTCCTGAGCATCATCTAGAGGAGCCTGCAACAGCTGCTTAAAGTTCTCATACTCTGGCATGTCTTGGTAACCTGCTTTCCGCCACTGAGCAATAGTCTATGAGGCGGAAAAAAAGGAGGAAAACCATTTAATCTGTGAATAAAGCTAATACCTAGAAATAATGATGATGACGATGATGATGTGATAATTTTTATTTATATGGCACTTTTCATGCCGGTGGCAGCTCAAAGTGCTTTATAGACAGGTGATGAAGCTTAACAGTAATACAATGACATAGATTAAATTAAAAGAAATACCACGAGACGCTGAGTTTTAATTAAATGCCAAATTAAAGAGCTACGTTTTTAGATGCTTCTTAAAAGTGTGCACTGAACCTGACTGTCTAATAAAAGGTGGAATTAAGTTCCACAGTTTAGAGCTTGCTCATCCACAACATTAGCATATCACTTATCTAGTACTTGGTGACACCACAATAAAATATTAATATTAAATAAAATAAATGTACCTCTCCATGGTAGATGACCAACTGGAAAAACGTGTCCATTAATAGAATACGATCTGGAAGGATACTGCTGCTGTCCAAAAGAACAGGCTGAAAAAAATAAAAAAAAAATACAATATAATCATCCACTGTTAAACACCTCATAGAGTCTCTTATACATTAGGCACTTAATTCTGCATAAACGCATGATGTTGCTGAGCAAACCTCAGGAGGGCCAAAGAATGAATAGGAGTAGAGGATGGGCTGGATCATGATAAGTGACTGTGTTAGGTCCTGGCGCAGAAAGTGGTGCCTGTAGTAGGATGACTCATCAGGACTGTTATTGAACACCTGCAGAAACGGAGACCTCCTCAAGTGGAACATGAACTAAAACCAAAAGATCAGAGAAGAATAAATGATCCATTGTAAAAAAGTAAGTCATCCATATGCTTTATTAGAAAAGTTGATGCTTCACCTGAGGGTAGAGAGACAGGGATTCCGATAGCCTGAAGGAATTAGGGTCATCTTTATTGAACTGTCCGAACTTCTGGCACTGAAACAAACACCACAACTCAATATAAGAGAAGACAAAAACACATTGAACACTCTCTTGGACTGACTAACAGGAACTTCCCCTGTCCTTGTGCATGAAGGGGAAAAGTTTTTCAATATGCATGCATTGTTCTGGGCATATGCATCACTTGCTGTGGGAATATAAAATCAAACAGCATGAAAAAAATGTGACACCACTCAGTCAAGGCACAGTATCTTAGTCTCAGAACAAACAACTGTGGACAATAGCAGTATAAACAGCCACTTCAAACATGCACAACTGAACACTAACGAAAGCTAGAAGTCTGTTTATCTGTGCGTATATCCAATGTTTTTCTTGTTTTTTTTAATTACTGTAAGGGATAGCAAACAAGATATATTAGCTGTTTGACCATTGATACAGCATTGCTTATCATGGATGGAGGAAACAGAAATGTAATGGGGTGGGATATTCAATTCAACTGCAGGTACTTACTGCATTTTTACCCAAATCAACTGAAGCAGAATCTAGCATTTGTACTATTTTGCAGTACTCATATAGTCAGGCTTTTACCACCACGTCTGTTTACAAAAATCATTTGTATTAGCATTTCAAGATTAAAGAGCTTCTAAATAAGCTTCCTGTGCAGGGCTGAGGTGAGAACTCACCAGACGAATGAGCTGTCTGTCAAGCCAGCGGAGAACATCTGGACCTTCCTCTGACTCTGCCTTGAACACGCCCAGCCTCGCCATGAGAACAGCAGCAGCTTCCTGGTCGAAGGACGACTCAATGTGCTGAATCTGAGACTGTGCATCTGCCCAGCTAGTCGTGGCACAAACATAACTAGCTGGTTAGACATGAGTGACGCATACATACACTTCACAAGCTAAAATCTATTTTAGGAATGAAGGAAACACCGGTATTCTCTGCATCAGTACTAATGGAGAACTAGCCTCAGGTGAAACAGATTAAAGCTCAAATACCAAAGGGTTTACTCAGCGCTAATAGTGAATTGTGGTTTTGAGACAAATATGAAAATTGACTGTCATGGTAATATACCTTGGTGACATCAAGAAAAAAAGAAAACTTGAAATACAGGTCTACAGGGAGGGTGACGCAAACCTCCACTAAAAGGAAGAACTAACACTGCTTACTTTCTTGCGATGGTGCTGACGCGGATCCTCCTCTGCGTGTTAGAGTGTTGGTACTGCGTGACAAACTGGATGGCCCCTCTGCCTCCCTGAGGGATGGGTGAGTTGTGCTACAAATAAAAAAAAAACCCACACCAGAGAACAATGAGACACACCCAAGAAAACAAATAGAAAGACCTCATTCCCTAGTGCATAAACAGATTTTGCTCTACCATAAAATTTCAAACATACCTGATTCACCACTTCAAAATATAGAGCAAGTGTGGTGGATGGGCTAAGACTACAAATCTTCCACTGGCAGGTACCACCAACTCCCAACTCCTACAAATACAAAACAAGAAATTTGTTTTAATATATTTGTTTCACAAATAAATGCTGGCCTAGCACTACAGCTCTCAATTCTCATATGTTCTTTTCAATATTATTGAGGTTTGGGTGTATGAAGAAACAAGGTGGTCAGATTACTTACATTCTCTGAGACACAAGGTCCTTTACTGTTGAGAGACACACAGGGTCCAATAGCTCCTGCCACTTTCAGTTCTCTTGAGGTCTAATGCAAGAAATTGGAGAAGATAGAAATTCCATCTTATGTTCTAGTCACAGTTATATATATATATATATATATATATATATATATATTATATTAGATGAAAATAGAATTGACTCCTCTGAGTCTAATGCACTAACATTATTATATTTCTCACTAAGTATGTGCTACCTTGACTTCTAAAACTCCTCCAAAAGCCATGTGGAATTCCCCATTGTAGTCTTTACTGAAGACTCTCTGGAATGTCTGCTTGAACAGAGAGGTGTTGAAGGAGTCTCCCATGACAATGTGTCCCCTGATACAAAACAAGAGTCCAACCACAGAATAGGTATGTACATAATGACTGCATTACAATAATGAGGTCAATATTTTATAGAACATGTGTGTACATTATAGATTTTCATACCCTGTAAGATTGGACAGACACTTCATCTCCAGTAATCCAGTCTGGTCCAGAGCAAAGGCATAGATGTCAATGCTGTGTCCATTCACTGCAGCACGGTTCGCCAAAGCCTCATAGTACTGCAACATTTCAGCAAATATTATACTATATATTATAATATCTTGTAGCACAGCTCCAACAATGCATTTTATTTTAATTATCATGATTCACCATTTACCTTGATAGCCTTCTTCATATGACGGGCGTTGTCCTTTTGAATGTCATGCCATGACCGGATGGGAGTCTTCAATTCATCCCCTACCACCATGCCAGGACCCTGGGTGGGAGGCCCTCCCATGAAAAGCATCACACGAGCTCCAGTATTTGGGAATGTACCCTATAACCGTGGAAAAGATTCCTGTCAGTAGTCTAGTAGAAAACAACAACCAGGTAAGCATAAACATTTGAAAACAACTACTGCAGATGGTATAAATATTAACTGGTATAAACAATCACGGCAACCTATTAGTGCCATGAAAATCAATGAAACTACATTAAACCTTTTCATGTTTGCTACATGAAATTCAAACCAGATAAATAGGTAATCTAAAGACAAAAACAGCTGTCTCATATTTTACTTTGTGTTAACAAAATCCAGTATTCGGGTCCATTGGGCAATGCCATTCTAACTGTTATGCAACAGTGATGACTGCAGGGAGCACAAGGTGCACTCCAACAAGATGACAATCCAGTAAAGAAAAAGGGACCTTTGACCCTTAAATGCCAGCACTACATCATATGTAGTCACGAGTAGATTAAAAATCTTTAAGGCAAAATTTAAAAGGGAGGCAAGAACATGTACCTGATCCACTGATTTATTAAGTTCAGGTGTTTTGCCCCTGATATGCTGCACAAACATACACTACTTAAGTCACACCAACTGGGATTGGAAATGTAATGTTGGGTAAATGTGCTTTAACAAACTGACATGCATGAACAGATAATAATCAAAACATATATTATCTTATTCTTTGAAAAACAACTGCTTTTTGGTTCAAAAGATCAGCAGTTTAGCACTTTTGAACACATATGTAAACCTGTGCTCAGCACAATAACTGAAATATTTGGTCTGAAACCTTTAATGTAGTCATAGCTCACCCAGACCTCTCTTTTGAATATCAGAGCACCTTATGCTAATGGTTTAACTCAACAGGCCTCTGAGTCATGATGGCTGGGTCTGCTCCTAGGTGTCTAGGCTATGACCATCTTCTGTTACAGTGTTAAAGTTTCTCATCCTTATGCTTGTACAGTTAAGTATATACTTTTTATAATGCATTTCTTAATACTAGCTGTCCTAGGTTCTGTGATAACATCTGGAAACAATTTTCTCTCACTTCAGGGATAAACAGACTAGAAACCAATTGATGTTTGATTATTTTTTTCTTTCTTTAAGGAAATGATTTATGTGTGTTAAAAGTACCTCCAGTAGTCCTACAGCAATGGAGAGAGCAATGCCTGTGGAACGAAGTGGTCTCTTTCCCTGTGGAACAGGCCAGGGGTCCCTCTGTAGCTCGCCAAGTAGGTCAGTCAGGTTCATATCTACTTTATGCACAGGCTGCAGAAATCTGAGAAATACAAGGCAGACAGACAACTTTCAAAATGGCAACTTCCCCATAAATCCTTAAGCTCACTACGCATTCAAAAACAAGACTAGATGAACCATCTCCTAAATTAGTATTGTTACTCATTATTAATATCCAAGTCTACCTGACATCTACAAGGGTCAAGGTGTGTTGCAACATTAAAAGAATGCTCCAGTGTTTTTCAACCTAATCACTGCTTTATCTGTAGCATATCTGCAGTTATCGCAGCCACTCATTTAAACACTTTTCCCTACACTTATTAAAATAACTGAATACAAATAAACTCTAAAGCACTATTATTAAACCTATTATAATCAACATGTTTTCTGATCATTGGATAAGTACAAGAAAATTGTTTTTGGTAATCATTTGTATACTACAGATATGGCAGATAGAAATTAGATGGAAAATTAAGAGTGTCTGACCTGCAAGAAGTGGCAGCATCTTGAGGGGCCAGAGGTCTGCCTTGCTGTCCTGAGGCTGCTGGCTTCATCAGACCCAGCATCTCCTGCAAGCAGGATGCAAGTGTTTTAATATAATGCCATTTCATCAATAAAACCTCTTGCTTAATGCAGACATTATGCTACTTACCTGAATCTGTTTGGGAGAAAGCTCCTTGGTCCCACGGAAGACATAACTCTTGGCAATGCCTTCACAGCTGAGCTCATGGACCTGGATCATACGGCCAAATGTAATGAGTCCTACCAGGGCATTTGGGGGCAGCAGGCTGAGAGACATCTGCAGAGATTCCCTCAGGGCTTGCAAGTCCTCCTCCTCCAAGCACGTGTCCACCACATACAGGAAGACAAGCGGAGTTGGGGGACCACGCTAGAAAGAAGCGCACAGAGAAATGACTATTATATCAAACTGAGTATTATCTATTACCTAATATTCGAACAAAAGAAAAGCAGTCACTGTTAATATATGCTGTCCATTCATACAATACAGAAGGACTGTGTGTACTACAGAAAATCAGACTGTGTTTACCTGTACTATGTACTCAATAGTGGAAAACTGTGGCATGAGTTCAGCGGGCTGATTCACCTCTGAAATGCCTGCATATGATGGAGGGAACTGTAGTAAAGAACATAATTAGACTGCATGCACTCAACACCATATTTGCAGGAAACAGTAGATGTCTGCACAGAATATTCTCACACTTGGTCACTTGATTTCTCAGGGGAATGTGATAACTTTCTTGTTACACATTTGACACTTACAGGGTTTCTCTGGAAGCAGAAATTGCATGCCCAGATCTTAGCTCTGAAGTCCACTTGACTAAAAGAGAAAAACATGTCTCACATGACTACCACAAAATATCAGACAGATATACAATAGAATAAGAAGCACTCCAAGAAGTCCATTACCTAAAATCAATTGTGTGGACTTAGAATTATATATATATAGCTAGAGCTAGCTGCTCTCGGAACAAAACCTCGTAACTTTACAGGAGAAGGAAAAAAAACATACTTCACTTCTAATGTAAGTCAGTGGAACCAAACTTTTTGGCAATTTCTTTTAGTCCATTCATTAGAAAAACCCTTATTTCTTTAACTTCAAATTACATTATTATAAATACATATAGTCCGCTTCCAACAACTTCCAACACCTACAGTGTGAGACCAACGTTCCTCAAGCAAGCAGGATATCAATATTTATCTGAAGACCATGTGACTTACCAGAGGGGGTTGAGAACGGCTTTGCAGCTGGCTCGACTGCAGAGCACAGGCTCATACTGCACAGGAGGAAGGTCGGGACGCTCTTTAAGAGGGGTGAAAAGGCAAGAGACTGGGACCACCAGTCGTGTGGCCTCTAGTCTGCTGGAAGGCCAAAGGTTCCAACTGCATCGTACCCCATCACGGTCCTCATTCTGCTGGATAAACTCCTGGTACGTGGCCATTCCAGCTACGCAGAGACACTGTAAGCAACGTGGCAAACAGTTAAAAATGAGCGACTACTGAGATAACTCAAGACTTTTAAGCTCGTGGGTAACGCCTCCGAACTGGAATGACAACATGCCACAGAGCTCGTTTAAAATTTCAGTCCGCACTTCATTCTACGCAAGAAAGCCTTTTCATTCATGACATTGTTCCTTTCGGCAGTGAACTGACTGAAAAGGTTAAACGGAGGGAAAAAAAACTAACATGCGTCACAGAAAATTGTCATGCTATTTTAATGTCAAACACCGGGTCACACCTACAGTACAAACAATATCGACCGAAACAAAGTAGGTTGCTGACTGGCTGGTGAAAAGTGAAGTCACAGAATCCAAAATACTAACTGGAGTGGACTTTATCCCCTGAACCAGATGATACTATGCATGTTCCAAGCTCATTGTCCCCAGTTTATCAGTTTCTTTCTACATTTACCTTATCTCTTGTTCCACTTGATGACCCTGGCTGTCAAAATGAACTACTCAGTCAAATCAGTTTTTGCGCACTCAAAGAAAGCTCCCAGTTTGTTAGCTACCACATTATCATGCATTCGCCGTGTATAATGAATGTAGGCTACTGCCAAAACAGATTTTACCTACATTTCTAATTCACCAAATATAACTACGTCAGCTAACAGTGTATCATCAGCAGGAGCTTGTTTGCAAAATAACACAAAAGGCGTCTATGTCCAAACATAGTAAATTACTGAAAATTTATTATTTTGGGAAAACACCCGCTAGTCACACGAACGATTACACAGATATAAAACACATTTGGATGGGTACACACACTATCAGTATTACACGTAAAGGGTGACGTGAGGGCTATGGTACAACTGCTGTTATTAGGATAACGTAACAGGTGTTTTTTTAACTGAAATGTTTATACGGACGTGGAATCACAATATTCTTGCACAGAACTGTGAAAAGAACAGCTTTGGGAAAAGCTAGCTAACTGTGCTAGCTAGCTAACATTTTAACGCGACAAGAGCTAGCGTTAACTGAACATGTCCCCGAACACTTAGTTAAGCGAATATGGTCCTTGGAATAACTGGAATACCCATAGATCATTTCAATAGTAAAATTGTATTCTTACTCAGTGTTTCTTTGAAGTGAAGCAAAATGGAAGCACCAAAATCGCTGTTTTATTTAACTTAACGTGAAAGCTACAATGGACTAGCTAACGCTGGCTAGCTAGTAGAAAAATGTAAAAACCCACTTTCGATACAAAAACAAGACAACTTAGCTTAAGCCAGTGCAACTAGGTTACGCAGCTAAAATACAAAACTCTCTATACTTCGCCCTCAGTTAGCAAATAGCCTAAGGCGAAGCTCCTGTCCACTCTGTTGCTGCTAGCTAGCTGGCTGGCTGGAGGAGCCAGATACCGGCTAGTACTGGTGTCTTAAGCTAGCGTTCGAACTACGTTGGACACCGGCCTAGGTTACTTCCAGTAAAGGTAAATCGACGTAACCTACCTTTAAGTTGGATCCGGTTTATAATCGTAACGTCAATAAATAATGTATAAATAAAATAATACTACAGGACAGATGGTCATTCAGGTGGAAAAGACAACTTTATTACGAAAAATTCGCCGCATCCGTCTGTTCTTGTACCACCGTAGAATGACGTGTTACTATACATCCTGCTCTTTGCCATTGGTCCTTCTGCTCTGATGTCATTGTCAAACGCCCCACCCCACAAAACCCTTTAAGCGACGACACTAATTTAGATTTCAAATACCAGAGCTACACCAAGAGCAAATAACACGACATTGTAAAGCAAGATGTACAACACTACACATGCCATACACAATTTATGCCATCAGAGACAAAAGTGGGACATCGTTAACATGATAGGAAATCATGGCACTAGTGAGGTTTTGCAACATAGCAGCATATTTCAGCTCTTTAAATTTTCAAAATATTTCCATCAAACGTGTATATAATAATGCATGTAGTATGATGATGATGATGACAATAATAATAATAATAATAATAATTATTATTATTGTTATTATTATTTGATGATGATGATGATATTGACATTACACCAGATGTTGAGGATCAAGGTGAAGCGGGGCAAACCAATAGCACATCATCATTCAACCCTTCATAGAAACCCACTGTTTTGATACCCCTTGAATTATTAAGCCCTGTAATTCTTTCTTTCATTCCCCCATTCTCAGAAAGAAATGCTTAGATTTTCAAGTTACAATACTGTTCAAATAAAACTCATAACTACATGACATACTGACAACCTCATCTTTACAATCATGTTATACTTTCCTTCTTTCGTCCTTCCATCTTGCCATAATACTTACCGATTTTATCATAAAAATATGACTCATTCCCTACATTTTGCATACAGAGCTAAGAGATTATTCCAGTTTTTTGGTGCTGCACTACACCCTGCAACACCTGGACTGCCCTAAAACATCTAACACTTTAGCCCTTGCTTTAACACTATCCTAACCTTTTCCTGGGTAAAGTAAGACATCTTGATGTTTCCCTCCTGTCTACTACTGTATCTTCAACTTCTTCGTTAACAGGAAAATGTATACAGACATACAGTATACAAACTATGTACACATAATTTATAGGAACTACACAAAACACACAACACACAGAATACACAGTATACAATCAATTTGCAGATAATATAAGGGCAATAATATACAAACAATGTACATATTATTTACAGACAAAAAAGACACAATACACAAACAACATAAGATTATATAGGAACAGACAGTATGCATGATGAAGAAGGCCCAGTTGCATTGCCTCAAGCACTGCCGGTGCAGTTCTATATCACCATAATAGAATCAATCGCGACAACCTCCAATCTCCATCTCGTTCTGCTCTGCATCTTCACACACTAAGCATGAGCTTTGGCAAACTGTGCGAAGTGCAAAGAAGATCACTGACTGCCCACCTCTTTGATACTGCATCTAAAAAATTACCTTTTGATTATTTTGTGTTAGATTTTTCTGTATTTATACCTGCACATTCACAAATTTCTCCGAGATTTAGGTTCATCATTTTTATATATAAAATGTATTTCAGTTTTGATTTGTCTGTATTTCAGTACTCATTTCATTGTGTACTGGTATGGAGCCCTTTATTATGACAGGGAAATTCATGGTATCAGTATCACTTTGTGTTGACAGTTAAACCAAAGAGTATTAAAGCCCAAGAGACGAAACTAGATGGTGCAGCTAGATGGTGCTGCAGTAGCGCTGCCGCCATTTTGGACTGAAACCGCCAAAAGGAACAGCACAACCTACAGACATTCAAGTCCCAACACAAATGTATTTCAATAAATAGGATGATGGTCTTGTTTCTAAACTATGATACAAATTCAGGTAGAATAAATGAGGTTATGAAACTATTAACCTTACTGGGCAAATTTCATATACACAGATCCAGAGTCAGGTCCTTGGTTCCTAATTTTAGGCAATTCTGCAATGGCCAAATTTTTTTTTATAAATCTTCATTGCAAATAAGCTAAAAACACATCTCTTCAGTTAATTATTAAAAATTATTAAAATGTGAGCTTTTAAAACAGAACTTTTGAAAGTGTTTTGCTGTTGTGAAAACCAATTATTGTACCAGCTGCTGGACATTGATTAGTGATGTACATATCAAGGTTTGAGGGGTGACCTAATGTTAGTTATCTATGTTAGGTCTGTCAATATAGCATGGCACATGTTTAGGTGTTTTTATGTGATTCTGCTTTTTTATGAAATGTTAAACCCTATCAGGTTGAATGCTATGCAGTGTCTATTTTCAGGAGAGTCCATTTTGGGAGCAAATAAGTGCGTGCTCTTGGTTGACGGCAGAGTTGTCCTACAACTGACTGACCATTCAGATTTCACTTCTGCCCTGGCTGTCCTCTTTAAGCCATGTGTTCAACATTGAATATCGAGAGGAGGCAGCAAGATCACTGGAATTTATCCAGACGTAAGCTCTTGTTTGTTGTACTCGAGCACTCATTCAGTAACCACTTACATGACTTGTAAAATACTACTCAAAATTAGCTAAATGAATACTCGAATACTAGCTTTCTATCAAAAAGAGTACTAAATTACTGAACATTCCCATCCCTGTTCTTCACCCAGCCATCAATGTGCTCACTGAAATCTTTTTAGTCCATCCTTTTGAAATATTTTTACATGTGGTCTTTTTATATTCATTACAACAGCACTGAAAGTTGTTGTAGAGTAGACATACCATAACAAAATCTGTGGATGTGACCTTAGTTATAGTTCAAATTCTGACCCATATAGTGGTATTTGGTCCTTGTCATTGTGAAATATTGATGTCTGGTCCATTAATCCCTTCCCTGTTGTGAGAACAAGAGCTTTACTGGGAGTGTACTGCACCAAAATGAATTATCTATATATACATAATTAGGTATAGATCGGAAAACAACACGATTTTGAGAGGCTAAATGTAGCTGAAAAAATGTTTTGAAGGTGCACATTTCACTTTTAATGCTCTATTCAGCCCCCTGGCTTTCAAAATGGTGGAACTATTTTCTGGTGTAGCATTGCCACTGTATCACCTCATAGGCTGAATATGGAATTGGGCTGTGAATGTGTGTGGGACAGTGGCAGAAAAGTTCTAGCTTTTTGGCAACCTGGGAACTGAAAAAAAGTGTTTAAAGTACTAAAACTACTATATATGTGGGTGACTGTGCATCAAAAAAAAGTTCAAAATCGAGTTGTTTTCTGGTCTGTACCTACCTCATTCATTTTGGAGCAGTACACTCCTTGTGAAGCTCTCGTTCACATGACAGGGAAGGAGTTAATGGACTAAACTTGGTCAATGTAATACACTTGCATGGAGCAGCAAATGGGTAACATATGGAGCATCAAGCATCTATATAGGTAAGAATCCGAACTATCACTTTAACCAAGTTTTTCTCCTTGGCTGGGGTTAGTTGTATGATGTCTTTTATATTTACACGTTTTTTGTCAGGATAAATGTAGAGTGCACTTCCAAAGTCCAGGTGAGCAGAAAGACTGGCAAGATGGTCCAATGAAAGAATGAGTCCCTCAATCCACATGTAGAATTGTTGATCAGGGACTTCTTTGAGTATGACTGGCAGAACAACTGATACCAGGTGAGACTGTTAATTCATTTTTACCTTGAATACTTTCATAAAGACATTACTCTAGCGTTCAAGTTTATTTACAGCACTTATTCACTGCTGCATGACACAGGGCAATGGACCTTTATAACGCCCTTTTGAGTGTGTGTGTGTGTGGGGGGGTGTGTGTGTTAGGTACCATTGTACTGTGTTACTGCCCTTTTGTGTAGTGTTGTCAGTAGTAGAAACATATTGTGGTACTTTTAATAGGAAGTAAGGAGTCAACTAAAATTGTCGTTGAGCCATTAGTCCTGCCTACAAAGTTCGATATCGATAACTAATTCCTTTTTATCTTTCGACTGCAGGGAAGAAGACTCCAGCCCAAGAAAAGGGTTCCAGCCTAGAAAGAGGCATGCATTTCAGGAAGAAGATCACAGTACAGGAAGCAGAATCTAGTTCAGAAACAGTAAAGTCAGTCTTAGACATTTTATTCTTTAAAATTATACAGTTATTGGTTTATATTTAATTTCTGGGTTTTATACATTTCCTCTTTTAACTGAGCATTTATTTGCTTCCACTGCTTGGATTTTACTGTTTTGATTATAAATATTACTTTAAAATATCTTTTCTACATTGTGACGTTTTGTGTGTTTTTTCACATTGATTCAAAGTTACTATGATACATGTGACTGTCAGCAAGTCGCAGAAAGCAAACGTGAAACGACTTGGACACGTTTATGATTAACAATTTCTTCCTTTTGTTTTTTTTTTTTTTCATTTATATTGGTCTCGAGAAGTATAATCAAAATAAGACTCCTTAAACAATAAATCAATCATTTTGAAACTCTCTAAGTATGCCGGAAAGTATAATAATTCAAGTCGATGCAGTTTGCATTGTTAGGGTAACTTGAACAAAGAGGAATGATTAATATGCTCAGGAAAATAGGCCTACTGTTTACAAAATAAAAATACAAAATAAAATCTGTTTAGCGCCTATGTATTTTTGAATGTAATATGTTGAAAGTTGAATGAAGCGATACAATAAATGAATTTGTGACAGTAAAAACAGTCTTCATTTTACAGTATGTAATTATTTACAGAAAATGTACAGTATTAAAATTAATGCAGTAATGCCTGTTACAGTGGTCTAATATTTGCTGTGATAATAAAATACAGCACTGTTGCTGTGATGCCACTAGCAGTACTGTGATTATTACTGTAATAAAAATTACAATATTTTGTATTTTTGTACTGTGATAAAATTTACAGTAATGATACAGCAATTTACTAGCCAATCGCTGACAGTTACTGTACATTTCACAGTGTTCTTTTTACTGTCAACACAAATACATAAACAAAAAATATAACAGAATTTAAAGGATGGGTGTTGCTAGGCCAATTTTATTTCTTTCCTAAGTAAATGTACCTTATCATGTATAGTTTATTCTCTTTCACAATATACTGTGGTATTAAGGCACAATCTGGGGGAGGCGCTGCTGCTGCTTCTTTAATGCTGTGGTTGATAGCCTGTGTTGCTAGCTAACATTTACTG